ATGAATATGATGGCAATCTTCTGCAGGGTCGGAAGCTGAAGCTTCTGGATCTGAACGATGGGCAGGATCAAGATGCCGACGTCTATTATAACGTGCGCAAGGACAGTACCAAAGAAGAAGTCACTACTCTTGATGGCACAGGTATAGTGTCCTATCGTGGGATCCCAGAACGCTCGCACGGGGTAGCAGTGGAATGTCGTCAGGAATGTCTGATATAGTGTGAGCTTAGGCCTTGCGGTATCTTGAGGCTGCTTACGCGAACGAGGATCCAGAGAATGGAGCAGACCAACAAGACCGAGACGAAGATCTGGATGTTTGCGACGCGGAACATGCGCCAGTAAAAGGATAGGATGGAAATCTTGGCGAAGAAGAGGGTGAAGGCGTAGAAGTGTTCCATTATAAAGAGATATTTCTTGGTTGTGTAATTGGCTTCCGTAAAGGTCATGCCCTCTACGTCCTTGGCGTGCAGTCCGAAGCCATGGTGAATCCCTTGTAAGAAGTCAGCGATTGTCGATGTCGATGTCGAGGAGGAACCGTGCAGATAGGTAATACAATGCCCCAGCAGACAGCGGTGACCTTGATGCTGTTAACGATAATCCCAAGTAGTCGCGTGTCCATCAACATACATAACTTGCACAAGCAAAGTAATCATCCCACCAGAATCGGATCCTCGTAATTCTTCGGCTGATGAGACGTAGGATAAGAAAGATAGTCGCAGCTGCAAAAGTAATATACTCGGCGGCCCAAAGATCAGGCTGTCTCGACCGCATTCTGGTATATGTCGTGCAGCGTCAAGAAGTAAGAATGACAACTGAACCCCTCGATTAGCGAAAAAGCAAGGTGAAGTGCCGGGGATGATATACGTCTGCCGACCATGTCAATGAGCACCGTCGATCATTTCATGCAGCTAAGTACTGTAGCCTTGTAAGGATGCCGTGCTAGACCAAGCCTCGATCCAGGGGTAGAATGCTCCGACAGAGGGGGGTGAGCTTAAGCCGTCGATGGAAGGTCCAGGCTGTGTTATGCTTGGAGATTGAGAAGCATAGACCATCGGGGAAGAAGAGGCTCATGGGATAAAGAATTGTTGGGCCGTTTGCTAAACTTGGCGATCGGAGCATGTGCAAGCACCTAAAGTGGTAAGCAGCCACAATTGAACACGGACCGTCTAGCATATTGAAGACTGACGGGGTTGCATCATTACGGTGAAGACAAGCAAGGTAAGGAGTGCTAAGAAGAGAAGCACTTGTTTCATCTTGGACATTCGTAAGGAAGTCAAACCGGAAATGCCGAGTAATTGTTGGTCATTGAATGCCGACTAACCCAAATGTTGCTGCAGACTTTACGAATACAGTATGTACAGGTTGGCTGTACCGTAGCAGTCAAAGCGTAGCACTAGGATCCAAGCCCCAGGCTTAGAACAAGGGTTCTCCATGATCCTCCAGCTTATTCATCAGGATTGGGGACAGCTTATTCGACAGGGCTCTTGGTAGTGCATCACTGCAGTGAAGCGGCTGATGCGATCCGGCGTTTAGCTTTAAACTCTATTGTCCAACTCGAGTTTGAGCCTTTGAACCGTCCGCCGCCGTTTTCCCATCGTCTCTTGGCCTAGATTGTTTCGAATTTCCACCGTTCACTTAGTGTCGATCTCGCCATTGTCGCGTGATTTGGTCTGTGTCTACTGGCTCATTGTTCCGGGTCCAGACTCAACCGACGGTTTGGGTGTTGAGATGCTACCCTTGCCTTGGTAGTGCTGAAGGTTCGCTAGCTTTTGGGCAGCTTACAGGGGCCGGCTTTTTCAGGGCGAGCTCGCTTGGGGTAATATCGCAGCAGTCGCACGGTCGACAGTCCAACCCAACGACCTGAACGCCTCGGAAAAAGTCTGAAGCACACTGACGTGGAAGGGAACGCGTGTCAGCCATCTAACAGAGTTTGAACTTTCGGAGCTTAACAGAAGACTCGACAGCTTTGTAGTGTGCGTGCGTGCGTGCGTGCGTGACAGGAGTTGATGTTCCGACACCACGTTGGCTTGCATATTCGTGATATCACATCCTCACTCCCATCTTTAGAGAGAATGCAGGTTATCGATCCCAAAAAAGCAACATTCAGGCACCAAGCCAGAATAGTTTAGGCTCCGAGAACAAATGCCCATGCCGCTGCCCAGGAACAACGTTGGCCGACGTCAAGGATCGGGCTAGGGCCTGTCGATCATTTCCAGGGCCCATGCTCGGTCGGCATCGACACGCGGAGACGCCGTTCTGTTGCCAATTTATGAACACGGGACGATCAAGAATATGTATGTACGTACATACGTTGCAGTACGTGCTCACGGCAACGAACGTTGAACCATTCGGGCCTTTAGCTCCATCGTACAAAAACTCAATCGGAATTAATCGAGGCCAGCTATTGATACTATTGATCCTCTAGCCAAGTCCAATTTGAGAGCAGATTGGGACAAATTCATCATCTTAGAGAAATAGATACTGCGTATAGCAAGCGTAAACCTTGTACCTAGTTACGTAGAGAACTGCCACCCTACCTCCCCAGCTTCCCCAGTTTCACAACCGAGGTTCGGCACATGAAAGTTGTCAGATATGACAGGCAATTGTTGAAGATGTTTCGTGTGGAGACTGGGAAATGTTTTATGACAAATGAGAATCAGATAAGGCAATGACCTGCATTTTTCAGCTAAGCCTGTCCAAAACTCACATCGTATTTGTTATCGGGCAATGAAATTCCATCTACCAATATTTGCCAGGTTCGCGGTTTAGTACCAGCGAAAAGTTCCGTAGTTAATGATGGTCGATTTTCTAGCTCATAAGCTAACACAACCTGAATAACATCTAATCGTAGTCGCAGTTTGCTTACGAGCAGGTTTTATTCCCGTCGATCCTGCTTAGTCCAAGACTACAAAAACATTGTTTGTGCGTGGTCAAAGGGGGCAGGGCACACAATCCCCCGCCTCGTTGTTACATCAACAAAAACCCTGGATGCGCCAACTGCAACATAACTACTCATAGTTAGTGCGCGAAGCAATATTGAATGCCGCGGTATCCTTTAAACTTTAGCATTGACTCTATAAAGAAGCAGATGCCTGATTTATGACAGGTCTATCGGTAAGGCTATACCCCTGTTCCGATTTTCTTGGTTATAGCTGGCGTATTATTAAAAGCTATCTCCTGAGTAAAGACAAGAATTTGAATAGTGATTATTACTGCTGTTAGGCTATTTAATGATCCCTGTATAGCTGGTTCACCTGAGGGTGACGAAAGTTACGTATAGTTCAAAGCTTCAACTTCAAACCACCTGCTGGATACCGTTAGCATTATTAAGATTTTGTTGGGAAAATGTATACTATTGTCCAAGCCCTGCGTGACTGAGAAACGATGTTGCCGTGAATATGTATGTCTCAGTCCATGGCACAGACTGCAAATAAAAGATCCTGGGAGGCTATTCCGGATGTTTAACGAACTGTGCTCACAAGCAGCTGATATCGTCTGTGAAACTGCTAGTGATTTGCAAACCAAGGACAACAATTTCAGCCTGAAAACCCCAAGCTAAATGGTTTCAAGCAACAAGCAGATCTTGAGACATGTGAACTCATACCATTTTTCTACTATCCCCTGTGATAACAATGCAAGGCGAGATTGTTCTGACGACTCGCAATTCCTGCTCTAGCCCGTCCTCTTTCAGGAGCCTTTATGGATCACTCAAATCATAACAAGAGACTAGAAGAAACTGCTGACGTAGACATCAGTGAATACAACCGTCTGTACCCTGTCTCAAACCATGGAAGTTCAGTCCGGCACAGGTTCACCTGACTATTGCAGCTCAAGTTACATGAAAATTTAGTGCGATGTCGACTTGTTCCTGACCATGATAAACAAGCCTGGGACTCATATGAGGATAGAAGTGTTTAGATGTATTTCAGTTATCGGTATTATCCACTGAACGACTTGTATAACTTGATCTGAACCTCAGCTAGGTAAATCGACTGTAACCTGTCATCTTACCCAGGCTTCATTCGTATTTGACAGCCAGTATCATATGCTCTAGAAGGCGCCTGTCCTTATTATTTCCATGCTATGCAATGAGCTCACTGAGGGACACTAGAGTAAAGCTATGATTTTGTTGTATCCTGGTTTGTTAGTTGTATTAACTTTTCATGCTGGCTGGGAGTTACAGCCCATCTTGATCTTGCCCCCATCTTCCTAAGTAGATTATTTGTTTCTGAAGTAAATAAACTCCCTTGCCTCGAAAAAGTAGACACAGCAGCTGAAACTGAACTCGTGAGCTTCTGATTAATCTAGAACTACTGAGGCTTGCGTAGAGCTGCAGGCTAGCGTTTTGGCGGTGCTGGCGGGATGCAAGTCACCGATGCGGATTAGTGCATCTCGGTGATGAAAAATACTTCTTCCCACATGCAAACTAGGCCCAGCATGAAGTACTGTTCATCTTGAGCTTAAGATCAAAATCCCCTCATCAGCTTCCATCTGTGCGCTACTAGAAGTATGTACCCAATCAGATAAGCTTGTCCCCGGCCGAGTTCACAACTGGTGTTTATTTAGAGGCACAAGAGCCTGTAGTGTTGCCACTAGGCCAACATTTCACATTGACTACTGTCGATAGACCACGACGTTGTCAATAGTTGGCCGAAAAGGGTTGGAGGAGGATCTTGTCGACCCAATCGAGGGGTTCAGCTGCCCCTCATCGGATCAGTGAACACCAGAGCTGGAACAATTTGGCTGGCATACTGAGACAGATCAACTTATTATGGAATGGCTTATCCCTATTTAAATGGTCTGGGCCATGACGCCTCTTTTGTCCTAGATATAAAAGCCTGGACATCGCAATGCCATCCAAAACGCAAACCCAATGCCAATTTCTTACTTGATATCCCTCATACTATAATTGCTAGATAAAAGATCCCTTTTAAGATCTCAGAACACCATATTTTCCCGGACATCAAATCCACCAGATCTTGTCCTCTTATCACTTCGATCATGCCCGCACCTCCTCGCCCCGGCCGTGGCAGACCCGCCGCCTTTTCCAAGCATGACGAGGATCTCTGGAAAGCCTATGCCAAAGCACTCCAGACAAAATTCTTCAGCAATATTGATACAAAGAATGAGATCTTCTATGCCGCTCCCATCGGGGTAATGGGCATTCCTGTTGGTGGTAATATTCCTCAGGAAATCACCAACAAAGGGGTTTACGATATTGGCGATGCTGTCATGCAGCTGGATGCTCCAGTTTTCGCTTCTGGAGACAAGAAGTACTCTCAGCGACTTCAAGAGTAAGGGGCCCTTCGCGATTTCAATGAACTCAACGATGACTAACGTGAACAACAGAGTGCTTGGGGCCGTAGAGCTCCGAGGGAATCGAGACATGGGTGCCCAGAAACGATTGAACGACATTCAAGCAAAAGTCAGAAAGCTCAATGCACAGCATGCAGAGCTGATGATGAAAGTAACGGAGGCTTACGCGGCTGACGAAGATAAAGGCAACCTGACTATCGGACAGTGGATTCCAAGAAATGTAAGATGGTTGTGCAATCCATCAAACTCCTCGTATTGCGGACCTAGGCACTAACAAACTGTCGGGCGTACAGTACCCGAGCTTTGACTTTTTGTCTCGAGAGAAGCAAGCTGCTTCTGCGACTGAAGCATCTCTGCGTGCTCAGCTTGGCGGCCCTGCTGCTGATCAGCTCAACAGGCAGAGGCAGAGGCTGTTCAGTGCCTGTGAACCGGATAAAGCCAATCCTGGGCTCAACATGCCATGTGCCCTTAGCTTTGGCAACATCGTCAACGGTTTTTCTGATCCTCCCCAGGAAAATGGGGGATTTTTGAGACCTACCTATACCATCGAAAACTCTTACAGTGACACGGCTAGTAACTGGATCAGGGACGCCGGTGGCGAGAACAAGCTAAGCTTGACCTTCAACATCAATGATGCAAAGTCAGAGAGTTGGGACAAGTTTGGTTTCGCTAATGTCAACGCCAATTCGGGCTTCACTTGTTTCTTCAAGGCGAGCTACACCCAGGATCATCAGATGAAGGAGGAATTGATCACGGCTCAGGAGGCTGGCTCTGAACTCTCAGTGCAACTGTCAGCGGCCGAAGCGGGTGTCTTTACCGTCAAGCCAGGTGACTGGGATGTGCCCAACATCATGGAGGAGTACCGAGACTTTCGACCCGAAATCGCTCGTGAGATTGGTGCTGCGGCCAGAGTCGACCAAATCATTCTGGCTTACAAGGTCGCCATGAAGCTGTCCTTACAAACCAATGTCGCCGAGCGTGTCTATGATATAACTCAAAAGGCCAAGAGCACTGGCGGGTCAGTGAGTTTCTTTGGACTTGAGGTTAGGTTTGGGGGAGGAAGCAAGGACGAGGTCAACACTTCTGGCTCGTCTATTGAAATCCGCAAGGACCTTGGATATCCAGTTCTACTGGGCGTGAAGGGCAAGAAACTTCCGGGCCTTCGTCGCTAGTAGATGTATGCCCAGGCACTGAACTGTCGAAGTGGAAAGTCATATGTCTGGAGAAAGGCTTCTCATACTATAGGCTAAGGACAGGAATGAATATAAATGCAAAGCTGTTCGATATCATAGTACCTGACTTTGGACACATTTGGTAACAGGTTTTGTCTTATCTTAGTACTCTCACCAGTGACGTGATTCGCTGACGCAGTATCACGCATCGACCTATGACTCAGACAGCAAATACTGCAGATGGAAAAAGGACTGACCTTGAGCTGGTCAAAATTGATTGAACCCAAAAAGACTTCAGTTCCCCACGATCAAATGGTGGAGCAATACCTTCTTTAGCAGCTCGAGAACACGCCATTCGCCTGCTCATCTCTCATACGTTTGAGCGGTGGCAGCGCCAACTATGTCTATCGAGGCATTCTTATCCATGCCATGCGTACCAGAGACTATGCTCCGAATACGGAGAGAGTTATTGTGAAATACTCACTAGATCATGTACCAGGAAATGCTAGGTTCAAAGTTGACTTGTCACGCTGCGTATGTCCACATCTGATCTCCTTTCCCATCAAAGCCAAAGAGCCAATGTGCATAAGCTAGATAATGACTGCCCACTGACCTCACTCTCTGTGCAGTGCATCGAGAATATCGCACTGGAGTACTTGAATCAGTCATCGCTGGTGGCCATGAAAGTCAAGATCCCTATTACTTATTTTCTAGATCTCTATGCTCATAGAGGAATTGCGGTACAACAAGATTTCCGCCATTCGACAGACATAGCATCCATCATACGTTCAGCAGATCTGAGTAAATTGTGGAAGCAATTTCAGGCATTGACCACTAGTAAAGAGGTTGGACGCTGGTTGCGTCACTTCCATGAATGGGCCTCGGAACCCCAACAAGCAGACTTCAGAAACAAAATTGGATGCAACGGGCCCATCCAAAGACTCAAGCACAAGGTTACCCGCGGCGCATTCATTGACGTCTTGAAGACCTTTCCCGATATCCTGGAAAAGAACTCCGGGGTTCTGGAAAGGGTCAAAGAGCAAGCAGAACTCGAGCTTCAAAATCTCATCAGTGGGAAGGATGGACTAAATCGAGGTATGATACATGGTGATTGCTGGATGGGAAAGTGAGTTACAGGAACGTTTGAGCCGACCTATGCAGCGAAAGTTATTGCTAGCTAGTGTTCTACTATCGAAATACCCTCCGGCTCCAAGCGGCCGTGATACCGCTGCAGACATCATCTTGATTGACTGGGAAATGTGCCAATTTGGCCATCGAGCATACGACTTGGGACATATGATAGGTGATCTGTATGAGGCGTATCATTTTCACGACTCTGATATCGCTTTGACGATGATCAGAGGGTTCATAGACGGCTATGAGGAAATCGACGACGACATGGCTTTCCGAACAGCTATTCACACTGGTGTGCAGCTTCTGGGCTGGTACAATCGGCGTGCCCCATCGGATACCGTGAAAGGGACCGAGGAACAGATTTTGAGTGCAGAAAAGATCTCGACGCGCTTTGTTGTTGGCGGCTGGGAGAGGGAAAAGCCGTGGTTTCAAGGTACCCCATTGGCACCGTTGCTTCATTCGAATACATAGGTCACGGTAACTAGGCTCATTACCTTGTACGGACCAATGCCAACGGATTACCGAAAGCGTATCCCCCCGCCTAGAGATGAGCAATATGGCAAGTCAAGCCTATATAGAGCTGTCACCAATCCGTAGCAGGCTAGAAATCAAAGGACTTGCTTTCACAGCTGATCATTTCCCTCTGAATGCTGTAAGACGGCGCAGTCCAGCTCGCGCAATGGACCCAACACGGTTAGCGCCGTATTTCAGTGGCGCTGCCCTGTGACAGCCTCCACCTCGATCAATGTTCCCCATCGGGAATAACCTCATGTAAGCCGGCCAATGTGCGACAGAGGGTCAAGTATAAGACGAGTGATGTGCCCAGATAAGAGTATCAGACAAACTATTCCAAGAGATAAGTTCATCGAAATTACATTGTTTTACGCATCAAGTCTTCACCTCTCAGTCAGGATGTACCCCCATCAACTCGACTGTCAACAACAGGCCTTGCCAGTGGAATTACCAGTTGAAACAGTCCCTCATCACGATTACATGTACCAGCCGAGCAATCGTACTTACCTTCCACAAATACTACCCTCGCCTCCCATGGGAAGACCAACACTTTCTCCATCACGCCCCATTCTCATCCCCTCAACGTCAATCACAGGCTCACTGGAAGTAACTCCCCCATACCACCGAGCTTACCCTCTCATCCTCAGCTCATACGGCATCTCTTCAAAAGATTTTATGGCCATCATCGATGCTCTCAACATCGCTCTCGCCGAGCCAGCGCCATTCAAAGCAATGGAGGTCGCAGGCGATGGTCTCGGTTTCGTCCCTAACGAGATAGCCCAAGGCGTTTCTTTGGGCCTTGGACTGGCTGCAGGTACTGGAACTGCTGCTACAGCATATTTTCGAGAGAGAAGGGTACTTGAGAGAGTGAATCGCGATATCTTCGCACCAAAAGGCTTAGTGATGAGGACCATGAAGGATGAGGAAGTGATGCAGCAACTCAACACTACGGCCAAGAGTCTCGATCCACTACAACGACTACAAGAAATCTCACCACATGTAGAAGCCTTGTCTTTCGACGTAGAGCCACCGGTCAGACACTCCAATATGCTGGATCGCATCAGCGCCAAACAAGCTGCCGTCACACAAGCCAGCAAGGAGAAGAAAAAACACAAGAAGCAAGAAAAACGTCTTCAGAAGCGCGAAAAGGCAGCTGATAAGTTTGATCGCTCTGTTGAGTCTATCGATGAGCAGTATAACTCCGACGTTGAAAGCCGGATTGAGATTGAGGCTAAGATCGCGAGGTTGGAGGATAGGATCGCAGAGATCAACGTCAAAGCAGAGGAGAGACTGATTGAGTCAAGTGAGAAGAAGGTTAGCGAGATTGAAAGGAGACGAAGAAAGGATTTGGAAGAAGTTGAGAAGGATCGAGCAAGGTTGATAGAGAAACATGGCAAGGCGATCGCCAAGGTGAATAAGAAGGCTGAGAAGAAGGATGAGAAAGACGAGAAGAAGGTGGCCAAATTGGAATGGATCATGATTCGAACTATGTAGACTTTTCCCTAGATAACAATTCATAGGTGTACGTGTTATTTGATTAGAATTACGCTCGATGTCTTCCATTCTCGTCTTCTCCCGATCTCAAACCCATACGTCCCAGCAATGACCCCATTCATGATTTCCTCAGCCCCCTTCTCCTCTGCGCTGCCCTTTTCGAAGTTCATACTTGCTATTTGGAGCGGGAATATGAATAATAAGGACTCAGTGCTATGAGACTCATGTCCAAGATACGATGTCGCCAGTTGGCATATCTCAGTTGCAAGAGCTTTCCTAACTACTTTTCGATATTCGAGAATAGCTGGAATTTCGGCCACGAGAGGAATGTTAAAGAAGGTACAGAGGCCTGTCATGCAGAGAATGATCGCTCTTTGCAATGCAAGAAGTGCTTTGTGTCTAACCGGATGCGAAGTGCTGTCTTGTGTTGAAGCGAGAGGTGAGCCAGTGAGAGGCCGAGGGTGTTGATAGAACTGCTCCCAGTCTTCGAGATCCGATAATGTAGTCTCGACTCGCTGTCGAAGTTCCTCAAAGAACTTGTTGTCACCTTCACCTCTTTCTACCAGATCCATGTCATGCAACTGGCCGGGAACGCGGGCAAAGATGTCGTGTAAGGCATCACTAGCTGTCTTGGGTACGGTCGACGGCCAGGGGATGGTCTGCCACTCTGGAAGTGTGAGATAGCAATGCTTTCTGTTTATAAGTGCGCACAATATCTATGCCAGTCAGCGATACTTCATGTTGGGGGAAGAGCTGCATACTATCTCGAATCGGCACTGTCTGAGCAGTTCCCTTTCCAGGACTGTTTGGTGTCTCCAAGGTCCTCTCAGCTTGACCTTGAACCAACAATTTAGTATGGACTCAGGTATCTGGTGCATCACAGAACTTACCAACTGAGTTATTCCCTCGTAGTGCTTCAGCCATCCCGTCTTATCAGTAAAGACGATGTTCTCAAACATGCACAAACAAATTACACTCGCAAGCGTGTCCCATTCCAGGACAGCAGTCGAACACGCCAGATCAAGCTGCACTCTGTTCAAAGCCTTCACATATTCTCTACTTCCGAGCTCAAAGATTCGTTTATCACGGTTTGTTTTGCCAAAGTAGACTGCCGCTAATGCTCGCACTGCAAGACTTCGCGTAGAATCTGGCATTGTGATGGATTCGAGATTGGCCATTAAGGGCGTAACTTCGTCGATCCGCGATAGCAGGTGAGCATGAATTACGGCATCTTGATCCAGTAACAGTGGCGGCGGACGCCAGATCTGTCTTTCAGTGGCCTTAGAAGAAGAGGGACTGACCAATCGAACCTGCAGCTGATTGTCCTTTGCAGGCGGTTTATCCTTCGTGAATCGCGTCGTCTCATCAACAAACTCGCCGTACGTAACGTAGCCTTCACATGCGATCCCAGCTTTCTCACATCGCCGACAGTGCGGCTTACTTTGATCTACAGTGAGCGTCAGTCAGCGTGTCTCTCAAAGCGACATCCAAAGAGACGGTACCGCATTTTACGCGTCTTCGCTTGCAAGTTCTACACGCTTTGCTGCGACCTCCACGATTGACCATGACGATTAGTTCGAGACTGCTCAAGCTGACTGTCCATCGACGCGCTCAGGATGAGATGAGGGGACATGTCAGATGGGATTTGCCAAGATTGCGCCACAGGAGAGTCGTCATCATCCTTCGTTTGATCATGGCGCAGTGATTGCCAGCAGTTGCCAACTCATGACCAGATCTCTGGGCGTTCCAGAGCTCAATGAAGGATTGCCTTGATTTGCGACCGCAGGCACTGACAGATTCGCATAAACTGAAGCATGCCATGGGGGACCGAGACGCGTCTCAATTGGCTTCACACTCAGCGGTGTAACACAATTGAGGCCGCGCACACCGAAGACCGTGTGCTTTTTGCAATGAAGAGCACTACCCTTTTGCAAATCTAGTATATTCTACAGTGATTGCTCTATGATCTCCCCTTGATCTACGAATCGAAGCCATGTCCAGATCTGAAGAAGATCTTAAGCTTGTCCATCTTATCCTCAGCCCTACCCTACGGCCCCCAAGATCACGAACCAACGTCCGCTAACGTTGACTCCCCACGCTGCTAATTTACCGCCCTCCCTCTCTCCCCTCTCCTTTCCGCCCGCCGCCCTGTTTTATCAATTTATCCCCTGTACTCCGTACCTAGCTAAATTACGGTCCCACCAATGACCACCAACTGCCAAGTTTTTAGGCACGTCCTTCCAATCCAAGACCGCCAGAGCATCCATTTCGTCGTCCCCTGCCAAGCCATCACTGGAAATTAAGGTAATTTAAGCAATGAATTGTGCTGCGGGGCTCATAGCCTCCATCGTTTCACTCAACACCAAGATCATGATCACATCAGTCGGTCAATGTCAATGTCAATTCAATCAATTCCATTCAATTCTCTTGATGCCCTTCCTTGTTCTACCGCAACTCCAAGTATTCCTGAATTATCCACAGGTGATATGCATGATACCTATGCTGTAATACAACTGCAAAAATTGATGATGCCACTCTATCCGTATTACCAATTACATTGTTTCTTTCTGTGTCGTGTTCTCGTCAATGTGCGTGCTCTTTGATGCTGCTCCGATACCCTGGTGTCGCCCCTTGGCAGAAATAGTGGTCCAGCACCAACTCCTCTGCCTTGATGTCCAACCATCCAGGCGACGAGTCGCCAATGCCAAAGCTCAGCCAGATCTCGTCGTCCAAGTACCCGTGGCTTCTCTGCGCGGGTTGATCGCCGTGGTACACCATGCTTCCTGTCCAAATGTATCTGCTATTGGTCTCGCCGTGGTAGGTGAGCTTCTTGCTGACGCTCATCATGTGGTATGGCGCGACCGGCGAGTAGACCACTATTCGGTGGTCGTACCATGTGTTTGTGTATTGAGGAGGATCGTAGCGCATCTGCACCATGCCCATAATGACCGTGTTGTTCTCCATCGGCTCACAAGCACCGCGATTGCAGAGCGTGAGGCTGAGCATGGGCGTTGACTGATGCACGCGCTTGTCGGTGAGCATAACGTCGTTCATGCAGGTCTTCTCGGCAGAGTGCCATGTCTTCTTCTCGTTGTCGGGAGGGAAAGGTTCGTCTACGGCGGATTCGGGCTCAGCTTCCATGTCCTGGACAGGCCCCTCGGTCGAGTTGAAGCGGAACAGCTGGCTAGGCTCTACCATGAACATCATCTCGTCGTCATCGGCGCTGAAGGGATTGTAGACAGGAGCCCAGTTCTTCTCGCGTTGATATCGGGCGTTGGACTCTTGGCCCTCGGGGGGCTGGCGACGGAGGAGGACGGGCTTGTCGAATTCGATGCCAGGGAGTTCTTTCGCGTGCTTTCCCATCTGTTTGACAAGCTCGGGCACAGCTGCACGTGCATCAATGATGTACATGCCCTCGCAGAGGTTCTCGTCATCGACTTGGTGGGTGAAGATGAGCATGGGAGTACCGTTCTTCCTCCAGAAGAGCTTCATGTCCTCAGGACCAATGTATTTATCCATGTCAGGCTGAGCCTTGCAGTGATGCTCGGGACCCTGAGCTTCTGTAAAGTCCTCCACGAGCATCTTATGCCAATCGTTGTCCGCAGTGAGCTCCGGCCGGCCGAAGGCATCCCATGTGAGGCTAACGAAGGTGGCGACTTGCTGAGCTCGTCTGTATTTCTTGCCCTTGATATCTTGGTCGACGTGGGGAGCGCGCGCAATGACGAGGAAGTCGTGCTTGCTGCCCTTTGGCAGTTCAAGAAGGGTCGGGTTCATAATCTTCTGGCCCGTCTTCTTGACATTTATGGAGTTGTAGAAACCCAAGTTATTCCGCGTACTCGTGAGGAGTCGGTAATCGTTGGTTCGGGAGAGGAGAGGATCGTAGCCGGAATGGCCATTGCCGAATAGTCGGTCGCTCATGGTGAAGGTGAGGATCATGGCGACGAGGAGAGTTGTTGTCGTCACGTAGAGAATGATGCGCCGCGGGTGAGGATGAGGAATGCGAACGCTCGAGAGGCGCACGCTCAAGTTACGCAAGCTGTTAGGCAAGCGCATATTGGAAACGCGCATCTTGAATGAAGGAGCCGCGTCGGCTGGCGAAAAGAATTGGAGCGAAAGACAGAGGAGGCTCAAGCCTCACATCGAGGAACAGAAGAAGACGTGTCTCGATTCGTGCGGCCGCAATCGGGCTCGGGTCGTTTGAGGTAGCGGTGGGTGGTGCTAGAAGTGCAAGCAGAGAAGGAGAGAAAAAGACAGCGTCACGAAGGGAATAAAAGACGGCAAAAGAGCGGATGGAAAAGAAAAGATGGAGACTAAGTGAGGCGAAGTGATGTCTACACGATGGAATGAATGCGAGCGCCCCCCTAAAACAAGCATAATAGGAAGGAATCCAACGATTTCAACAGACTTTTTTTCTTCTGGTTAAGGGGGGGGGGGGTTGCAATTACAGGGCCTAGCAGGGGTGAGGGCCACTAAATCTAGAGTTATTTTTCAATGAAGCTCCGATTCCCTGACATCCTGTTGGTCAATGCGTCATAGACTGCGCCACAATTGGTTGATTCCCTCCAGAGCTCTCCACTGCCGTTGGTACCGCACCCAGTGAAAGAACAGGTTCAGGACATGAGCTTGTTGATCAGTGAGTTCTTTTTAAACTTGTTTACGTCTCAGACATCGGCGATTAAAACACGTGGGGCCTCTTCATCTCATCTCAGATCAGACAGATTATTCGTGATATTCAGACACAAAATCTGTCAATTGAACGCAAAGTCGTGGCACAGAGTGTTCTAGATTTGGATGCGGAGAAGGCCTGTAATACAGTGCATGAACAGCAGATGCTCACGCGGATGGTTGCCATATTGATACGGTATCATATCATCGTTCGCACAGTCGCAACGCCAAGTCTGGTCACGCACCACAAGATGAATCTGTGGAGATTGTCAACATGGAATTGTAGATTTGCCAAGGTGATCATCCACCTTTTTTCGTCTCTTCTCAATATGTAAATCAGCCCTATGGCGAACTCTCTTTCTTATGCACTCTGGCCGAGCTTATATATCTACCAACATACTGTGTCGATTGTCAGTGTCACAGATGATGAGGCGGTGATGCATAGGTACGTCAACACTGCGTAACATTCTATGAGGTCTGGACTCTTCGTTAAGGCCTTGGCGGCACCAGAAGGATTGACTGCCTAAGCGACGACCAAGCATGGCCAGTACTTTGCGCCTCTTTTATGTTCCTCCACCCACTCACTGAACCGTCATATCTTGTGATGGATGGGCCGAAGCGAGACGCGTCACGTCACCCTCAGGCTGACATCGCTCTGCAACTCTGGATACGGGACGCCCCTTGACACAGCATCTTGGGATTCTTGTTTTTGAGCTTTCAATCCGGCTACGAAAGTGGCGGTGCTCAGGGAAATTGATTGATGACTTGGTGAGGCAAAGTGTTTGTATCCTTATCTGGTACCACAATGATGCAAGAGAATGCAGCCATAAAACTGGGGTTTGATGCGATATGCGAACATCCACAATGGCTCCTTTGACGAAAAATTTCGACAAGAATGCTTGATTCAGGAGTCACGATTCCTTGCATATGTGTTCTGTCCTTCCTAAATTCCTGACTCAATCATGCGTACACCATGACCTGTATCACTATTTCGTAGGCACCATGCTGTTCCAGGGAAATAAGACCAAATTGTTGTCAGCCACCTACATGAAACTATTTAGAGCCGCCTTCCTATAGACGGAATCCTACCTGCAAAGACTGGGTGCTGCAATTCTTGGCAGTCACAACGGTAACCATAGCTGATGCAGCCCATTCGAGAATGAACAGGACTCTGGAGGACGGCTTCAGCTATTATTGTGATGTTGTACTTGATGTGTAGCATTTACTACATCTCGGCTGACTGGTATCAAGCTCCTTGGCACAGACGTCCGTGGAATATCACAGTGAGGATCCCGATGCGAGAAAAGACCCCAGTCTGAGGAGTAAAATATTTGTTTAAAGTAGAGTACGTTTGATAGAAGCTTGAGCGGCTCCACCTGCGAGCTCTGCAGTTGGGGTTATTTGCGGCCAACAACAACAATGCTCTACCAAAGAGGTAGGCTCTTTATGGCTTCAAGCTTGGTTCTGCGGTAAGTGACTCAGGTTCACAAACATTTTAAAGCAGTTGTTATTGAGATCTTTTTAGAGCAGAAATGAGGTTGTTCAATAGATTGTACTTTGCTGATGGTTTTGGTAATCGAGGAGGTAGTCAACTGAGGATGAAGTTCTCAACCTTCATTTAGAAAGTGGAGAGATATCGAGGCCTCGAGGAACACGAATATAGATATAGTATTCCTATTTCAACCTTGAGACAGTGGGAAGGGGGAGCTCGCCAGTAGTTGAGGCCCATGATAAGTCTATGGAATATAAAGCCATGGAAGGACGCACTGCAGACTGTTTGAAGATCGGCCTTACTTTAGTCTGGTCTATATCTTGGTGTGATGGCTAGAAGTATTATTTTAGATGCACTAGATGAGTTATTTATTATATAGTCGGCAAACTATATACAGCTTATACCTTGCTTTCCTACTACTATTACAACTACTCTGCGAGTATCACCAAAGTTGGCCACGAAGCCCATAATTTATCAACATCACTCCTTGATCGTACGGGAGGTACTAGGGAACTAATACATATATAGTAAATGGGCAATGTAAGCTTGAGTGCTATTGGCAACATAGCCAGGCTTACCATGCTTTTAGGGCGATGTGAGTACTGATGCATGGATGGCTGTGCATTGAGAGAGAGGGCAAACAAGCAAAGAGTAACACAAGCCAAGGAAAAAGCATCAGTGCTAAAAGATTCCAGACAACAACGCGCCCAGTTAAACATTAAATGGTTTTCACATAGGTAAAACGGATGTAAGGCAGGATATGAGGTAAAAACGATAAAGCCCATAATGCTTAAGGTCCGTGCAAGTTTTGAACTTGCTAAATATCAGTTTCCCTCGGAACTGGTTCAGGAGATGGGACCTAAATCTGATAAAGACCGATGAGGCTCATGCAATGGAGTCTAGTGTGTTCGGGTCCAAAGTGAGGTAACCAGATAACGAGAAGCGAGTGTGCATGCAGATGAGATAAAGTGAATGGAGGAGTTGCAGTCAGAGTGGAGGTGTTGCATACGAATCAGCCAGACATAAGCAGCACAGCGATACTATATTTTCGGATGCCGCCAAGTGTATGAAGTAATGCCACAGTTGTTCATCTGCCGAAGCTTCACCAGAGGCCCGCATATGAGGCGACTTGGCATCACAGATGGCTCAAAATCCAGTTACGGGGATGTTGCAAGTGGGACATCTGTATTTGAAAGGACCGCGAGTCACTGATAGAGGCTCCGCGTTGCCCTTTAAGCTCCCATGTAAGGTAGCTCTCTCATCTGCCAGAGGCTCCAGTGAGGGATCTCAAAACGGAGAAGCCAAGACAAGAACGAGTTCATCCTGAAGTGCAAACGGTTGTAGGACTCATGAGGGGCTTCATGAAACCTTCTACTGATAGTAAAGGGACGACACGCTCGAGAGAACAGAATCTTGGCAAGGTGCCGATTGAGAAATGCCGAGAGGAGATATGGCCGTGCTTGTTCTTGGCCAAATCCCGGGGTCCCTTTTGGTTGTTCTTCATAACCTAAGTTACCTATCATATCCATCCCACTTCCCGTCCAGCTTGAGCTTGTAACCTTTTCTTGGCAGGCCCTTTCTTTACAGCACTTTCGCTCCGGAACTATAAGTAATCGCCGCGTGTGATTCTTTGTGAAGCAATCTGACCACTACTATAGCATAGTTGACTTACAGCGCTATAGGTAGCATCTTATCAGAGTCATGGGGTCTAATTTAGCCTTCAAGGGCACCGTTACGTTGCATTACTTATTCCACTATCAGCGGGATCTCCGTCCTCGGATGCTAAAGATTATACAGAAGAGGAATGGTTCGGCAAGCCGTTGATGGTAGTTATATGTATCCTGGTCAACACCCCTGTGCTAGTCGGAAAATCGATTGACCTGACGTTTGACATGTGCTTCAGGGCTGAGCCTTGGCGTAAAACCTAGGCCATCCTAGTGTTGTTGTGATTACCTGCCTATTTCAAGATAATCAAGTTCATTTAAGGAAGTTCAGTCGATTTAGTTAATCAAGATCTCTCGTAAACGGCAACTTCCATATAACAAGGTCTTGATCATTTGTCGCGATGGCTTCACTCAATCGCGCCGCTTTGGCGTCCCTGCTGCGCCGCATCCCTGCTTCATCACCAACAGGCCTATAACCGCCCACGTCGCAAAAGCGAATGATACCATGAATTATCTGGCAGCCAACCTTTAACCGTGATTCGCCTATCAATCTTGTCCCTTTTTCGCATCGCATTAAACCCACCAGCCTATAGCATGCCACCAACCCATGTAACCACTCACCTGAGATGTTATTCCCACCGTTAGACGCCTTCCCCATTTCGACTAGAGCCATGCATGTGATGGTCGGCATTTGCCGTATTGACAGCTCTAAGGGTCCTAATGGTCCAGAGCTGAACTGCTAGTGGACTGTTGTGCTATAGCTTTGGAAATATGGTATACCTACTTTCCTAATCTGTTGGCTGCCAAGTCACCGTTGGGACGAACTCAATTCCCTATTCACTAGCGTCGGTATTGAGTTGGTCTGTTATATCTTGATGCCATCTCTCACCATGTTCAGCCCATCACGCTCACTTCCAGGCATCGCCTTGTCACTCATTCAACAAGTCTCTCGTTTTTCACCATGAGAACCTCGTTCTCGTCCATTCTTTTCAGCCTCTGGCTTCTTTGCCTTGGCGTGCTCGCACATGACGAGTCATGCGGTTGCACTGTCAAGTACATTGTTGTTGAGATGCCTAGTCAGACAGTCGCTGCTCAGACCAAGCCTCCGACAATTACTTCTGTGCAAACCAAGCCCACCAACATCCGATCTAAGCCCAACCAGACGACTGTTCGCGCATCTTCAACTTCGGCTCACCACAACACCACGGCGACTTTCCTTCCCAAGCCCCCCGCAAAAGTCGACTTGAGCAACCCCGAAAATGCGGTTCCCAAGAAGAACATCTCCATGTCTTACGGCGATGTTGAGAAGCCCCGCAACCAGACCTTCCCTACGCTCAACACAACTGCTCCTAAGGGAGCCATCGACATGGACCTTGTCATGAACCACCCAGCTGTTGTTCTGGATCACATTGACGCTATTGTCTCGGTCGAGTGTACAGCCGATTCCGTCAAGGTCCAGTTCGGAAAGTCTGCTGCCTATGAGAAGGCCATCGATACTTGGTCAGACGATGAACCTTTCATTCTTATCACGAACAACTTGGGCAATTGCAAGACCGACATTGGCCAAGCTTTCTACCTTGTTGATGGCGTTACTACAGATAAGGGTGATAAGACCATCACTTGCCATGCCGCTGAGCAAGAGCTGGCTGACATTGCTGGTATGTCTCTCTGCAAGGGACCAAGGATACAAGACAACACTAACATGTTCTAGAAACCTGTGAAATGTCATTCACCTCCATCCCCGCCACCAAGTTGACGAAGCGCCTCACACTGAACCCCAGTCTTTCTCTCAACTTCGGTACTGGCCTTGAGAGAGACACTGTTCTTTTCCAGGAACAGCCATGGGTGACCATCAAGGCCGAAAAGGCAGAGTTCTCTTCCACTGTCTCCTTCTCTGGCCGCGCCAAGTACAACTTCTGGCGCTTCAAAGTACGTGATTCCGACGCAATGTGAAGCCCGATTTACTGACTTGAGTAGATGGAAGATCTCTATTTCGATCTTAATACCCATTTCTCAGCCGATGTCGCTTTGGCCGCCGATGTAGCCGCAGCTTGGTCTCGATCTATCCTTTACGACCCCGATACCCTCACATACACACTCGTCGAAGTTCCTGGTATCCTCTCTCTCGGACCAGGCCTGTCTTTCGCGGTTGGAGTTGATGTTGATACCTCAGCCGCCGTTGCCGTAAGAGCTGGCGCCGGTATTGCTATCCCTGCCGCCAACGTCCATCTCGATTTTCTCGACTCGGGCAAGAATGCTGCTACTGGCTGGGAGCCTCAGTATACTTCGTACGCCAACATTACCGAGAGCGTTGAGGTTGGCTTGAACGCTAGTGCATCGCTGACTGTTCAGCTCACTTTCAAGCTTCTCGGAGGCCTGGTCGATCTCAGCAGCGGACTCACAGCCACTCCCGAATTTGTGAACAAGTTCACTCTGGATGCTGCACAGTCGGCTCATGCTTCGAACGATGGTGCTGGAGTGAACCTTTTGGACGCCGAAAAGGTTGCCCCAGCTACGACAACTGGCTCAGAACTTGCTGTCGCAAATGAGTCCAAGGATTGTGGTGTTTCTCTCAAGTCCGACTTCATTTTTGATCTGGAGGGCTTTGCGACAAAGTGGTGGAAGGCTAATCTCTATCACGTTGAGGTCCCCATTACAGATGTTTGCTATAATTTCCAGTAGAGATAGCTTGAGAGATACCTTGCAAACAAGGACCGCTTGACGTAGTTGGCAGTTATAGTATTAGTCTTAGTCTCATAATTCTCATATACCCTTTGTGCGACCAAACCTTTAGCCTGATTGTGTCTGCGTAGGCATCTAGAATGAGTCTGACAACATTACGCCACTCAATCCAGGCATCCAGGTAACGGTGCACTATAAAAGCGAACCCGGCCGAGGGAATGAGGTATAAGATAACAGTTTATCCAATTCATTAATTTCTCGTAAAAGATGCCTGCAAAAGATACGTCTGATCAAATCTGTCACCAGGTATCTGCATGGCTCAACACCACGCCATATGCAGCGTCTTTACTCGAACCTTTGGCTGGCGGACAAGCCAATTTTACATTTCGCGTTCATCTGATCGATCCCCTGGATGATGGTACAGCTGAAGTCATTGTTAAATGTTAAGCATGGCGAGCCTTATATGGCCCGTCACCCCGCCAATGCCGTCACTGTTAACCGATGCGTGAGTGAAAAGAGGATATAGGAAGGGCTTCCGCTGACATGACAAAGGACGTCGAAGGAGATATCTTGTCGAAATTATCTATGAATCCCATAGATGTGGCACAGTCTGGAAACACAGCATACACTGTTAAAACAGCAACAGCTTATGCCTACGATGCCAAAACCAAGATGTTGGTTCAAGAGTATCTTCCCAACGTCGTAGATCTTAAGACCTACTCTCTGAACCACTTCGCATCTCCGACACCTGAGCACTTACGCAAACCAGCCCATGAACTGGGCAAAGTGCTGGCGATGTACATGGTTAAATTTCATGACATGACCAGAGAAATTGTGCAGGATTCGCTTGAACAGAAGCAGACCCAACATCTATCAGGTTTCAAGAGAGTTATTGATACCAGCAATGAAATGCAGAGGCTGAAACATTGTATCAATTTTGATGGGTTGATCGATCGTGTCGACCAGTTCCCTGGGATTTTGTTGGAAGCAAAGGATACACTTCGTCTCGTCAAAAACATGGCACTGCATGAGTTGAGCGACCCGTCGGCAGACTTGACACTGATTCATGGCGACTATCACACGCAGAAGTGAGTCCATCCCCAGCCTTCAGAACCCAAAATTAATGGTTTGAAAGCATCCTACTGGAAGATGACAATCTTGAACCGAAAAGTCTCAGAACCTTGTACGTTATCGACTGGGAAAATTCACAAGTTGGTGTTCCAAGCCTCGATCACGGCGGCATGCTGGGCGAGATGTATGTACTGTGGAAATACAAACGCATCGACGCTGGGCTATGGATGCTTCAAGGTTACGCCGAGGGGTTGGGGCCTCGGACTGAGGATGCTACATGGCGAGTGGCCCTTCAAGTAGGGGTACATCTTTTGAGTTTTGGTACGTTGTCAACGGGCTGGGGTACGACTGAGGAAGTGGAAGATATGGCTCGTCTGGCAAGAGATGTGATTGTCAAGGCTTGGACCAGAGATAGAAGTTGGTTTGACAAGAGCGATTTTGCCTGCTTGTTTGCAGCTACTCTTCAGGATTGAGGATTTCCTTGGATGTTCGGGGTCATCAATCATGGTTATTCAAGAGCCTCAATCGTTGACCCATTTTTTAAGCCTGATAGTTACACTAGAATTGCTCAAGATCGTGACATAATCAGTGGATATTGACGAAGCTTGTTGCCCACGGCAGTGACCTCCAATGCCGGCATCAGTACGGAGTAAATTGCAGGGAACAGAAATTAGTATGATGCCCAGGACCACGCCTGAGTTGCACAAACAACCAGATCACGAATGATATGACTCGGTTACAGCTGGACACTCGTCTACAAGCCAATCAAGTTATGGCATATACGCGTCGTTAAGAATCTCGATGAGTTTGCTAACAAATTCTTGATTTGAGCTGCTGCCAAGTCCACCCGCTCGGATAATGCGGCCTCGGCTGACGGCGTTGCAATATGGAGCCGCAAATCCCCGATCCAATCAAACGCAGTGATCTCCAAGAACTGCAAGGAACAGAGTCGGGACAGGCAGGTTTAGCTGTTGATTTATTTTATGCTGTGACGTCAAAGACATGGGCTTTTGACAACAAACATCACCAATGATCTCATCTCCTCACTAAGCATAAAATAAATAAAATAGCTACAAACTCAATTGACTTTTTGATCTTCAGCGCGTTCAGACTCCCTGTGACCTCTCGCTAATTCACTATGGCTCGTCAAAATACCCTGAGCAAGGCTCTTGTAGGCCTGCTGCCTCTCGCTTCAGCAGCTTCACTCAACTCTGAGTACACCTTCAATCCTCTTCATCACCTCGCGGGAATTGCTCCCTACTTCGAGCCCCAAGATCCTCCCGCTTCGCCCGATGCACCCCAAGGCTGCACCCCCGAGCGCGCTGCGTATCTTGTGCGACACGCTGCCATTTACGCCAACGATTTTGACTTTGAGGAGTATATTGAGCCATTCATCGAGAAGGTTCAAAACAAGACCAAAATCGACTGGAGCAAGATTCCTTATCTCAACTTTCTGGACGATTGGGAACCTCCCATTTCTGATGCTGAGGTGTCCCCGTTGACCAACGTGGGAAGACTGGAGGCTACGCGATTGGGTGTTGATCTGGAGTTCCGATATCCTGAGTTCAAGCAGCCCAAGAAGGTCTGGACTTCATCGGCCGAGCGAACTGTCAAGTCCGCTCAATCTTTCGTCCGTGGTCTTGAGTCCGACGATAAGTCTATCAAGGTTGAGACCATCTACGAGTCAGAAGAATCTGGTGCCGACAGTTTGACTCCCTACAAGGCCTGCCCCGCCTACGATGGCTCTACCGGCAGCGACGAAGCCGAAGTCTACCAAAAGAAGTACACCAAGCCAATTGTCGATCGCTTCAACGCTCTTGCATCCGACTTTAACTTCACTGTCAACGACATCTTTGGCATGCAGCAGCTTTGCGGCTACGAGACTGTTACCCGCGGCAAGTCGCCGTTCTGCAACCTTGAGCTTTTCACTCCCGATGACTGGCTTGGCTGGGAGTATTCTGAGGACGTGCGATATCACTACAACGCTGGGTACGGCAACCAGATCTCTGGTTACGTTGGTATGCCATGGCTCAACACTACAGCTGGTCTCCTCCTCGACGATGATTCAGATGAGGAGCTGTATGTCAGCTTCACCCACCGTGAACTGCCCCCCATGGTCCTCGTCGCCATGGGTCTGTTCAACAACTCCGAGCCTGCTGGGACAGACTCTCAGATCAACGACACCATGCCTCTGAGCAAGATCAACTACCGTCGCGCCTGGAAGAGCTCCCATGTGCTGCCCTTCCTGAGCAACATCGCCATCGAGCGCCTCAATTGCACCAACGCCTACGGCTACGAAGACGGAGAGTACTACCGCGTGCTAGTCAACAGTGCGCCCCAGGCTCTACCTTCATGCGAAGACGGACCCGGAACAAGCTGCACCCGAAAGAGCTTCGAGGAGTATGTGCAGGACAGAGTCGAAAAGTTTACTGGCTTCTCAGAAAAGTGTGGAGTGGAGTACAAGAACTCTACTGACATTCTGTCCATTTACAACAATTAATGATAGTCACGATTATGTAATTTTAAATACAAATTTTAATATTTATCACACTTGATTTGACGGCGCCGACTCTCATAAATCTTGTGGATCAACGTTGAGCTTTCAATGCTCTGATGATATGGCAAGCCGCCTTACCTGAAGAGCCTCGGTCCAAAATATGCGATATTTGGGACTTGGAGCAAGGGGAAGACATAATTTCAACCACGTCCCGAGGGATAACCAATACAAATTTCCTGGCCTGTTGCCGCGAATCCCGTCACCTTGCTGAGAAGAATGGAACTCTCATGCTATTAAAGAGCCTTGTACCGGGCAAAGGGAGGGGAATGAAAGTCTGAATAGATCGCAATGTCGAGATTGTCTCCATCCCTTTCGAACCGCGCTATCTCGACACGATCACCACTCTCCCACCGAATGTCAGAACCCTCGCTGACGCAATGAGTAATACCCACGACCCTGAACGTATAAGGACCGTTAGGAAATACATTTGCAAATGGCGACACGAAGATAGTATCGACATTGATAATTTATATATACTTTTGCCTTGCTGACGAACTTCCTATGTATGTTTTTCCATTGTCTGAATGATTTATTGCCGAAGACCTGCTAACATATATTTTGCACATAGTAATCATAAGAAAATAGGGATGGGAGGAGACTCCATGTTTCATCTCCGAGGTTTGGAGGCATTTGTACGATATGACCTAGCAAATCTGAGAACTAGGGACCATGTTTACCATCTTGAATACTTACTGCTCACCCTTGTTTCTAGTCTCTTGATTGATAGAATATGAGAATCATTAGTCTAGTCTATATTCTAAAGTCTCAGAAAGAGAACACCTTCTGAGGATGCCCTTTTATTCGTTTTATGGCGCTGAAATGCCATTAATATTTTTTTAGCGAATCATCCCGTGACATAAAGAAGGCACCGCAGACAAAATAATAACCAGATGAAAGGAATAAATTGCGCAGAGAGTATATAGAAAATAAGCCTTCCGAATAGTTTCCATAAGAATGATAGCCTGCCCCTGTAATTAATGATCCCAACACTTGATCCTTTAATTCATAATGGTATATATGGTGGGTGTGATGTTAAAACCTTTTGAAGCCACCACTAAATAGACTCGGAAAGGTAATGCTATACAGATCTTTCACTTCGGCCGCGATATCGTGTTTCACAAGGTTTTGGTTCTGGTTTGATAGCCTCACTTCTCTATTTCGCCTGCCTTCCCTAAGCTTTCGTTAGTATAGAGCTAAAAATGATTTCAAGAGCCTTGATCTTGGTATAATAAGTGCTAAGCACAACCAAAGTTTACAGTTGAGGGGTAACAGAAATTCTAAGTGACAAAAGTTGAAGTTAACTGGATGGATCGCACGACTGAGTGCTCTTGGAAGTAATGCTTGAGTTTCTATTACAATGATATGGCGCTTGTCACCTTGAGAATACCAATGAAGATGCTATTTTAGGCCATTAATCGGATCGCCTTAACAGCATTGTATACTTTATTGAAATCTGACGAGCAAGGGCACCAAAGCATACTTGAAACTCTCTCTTTGACGGAGATTCCTTGAGACCTATAAATGTTTCTCGCCCCGTTGCGCTTTTGTACCTTGCCTTTCCCCCCATTTCGTCTTCACGCATGCCAAGTCGAATATCACACAAGAATACACGCAAAGGTCGCTATCACTCTACCCTGTCATCAAGCCACTCACAGCACTTTTCGAACCATGACTGTTGGTTCTTACGAATATCCCTGCGAAGACAGGCCGCCCACTCCCACTAAACCTTTTTGTTACACCTGTTACTACTTTCCTAATCCGCCTCACCTTGCTCCCGCGAAGCATCTATCTCCTGCTATGCTTCAGCTTGTCAGAGACCGAAGAAATAAAACCAGGTTCAAGCCATATCGAGTGCCCTTGGGGGCTAGATTATAACAGCATGCACATTGTACAGGGGCTTCCCTCAAAGGAGCGGTACGGAATTACTTTATATTTCGCTCGACACCCTAACAGTTGTACTTCAAAGGACCAAATCATGCCGGCACCGACAGATGCGAGGGCCGGAGGATTCGGCGGTTGGAAGAGGCGCTTGACTATCATGATATGGGACACAATGATGATGGTTGCTTCACTGTATGAGGCCGAGGTCACTGTCAAGTGGGCTTCCGAAACTGAGAATTTTCATTAAACGAGTTTGCAAAAGGTTATTCGGGCGATGTACACGGCAGGCTTGACGCCCTCGTTGGTTTAGTATCTCGTAGTTGCTGAACACTTAATCGAAACCTGACTCATCTGTACCTTTTAGCAACCTAGTAGCATCGCATAACTTAAGTTCTCTGTTTAGATTCGGCATCTCAAGCATAAATCGCAATTGCAAATAACACGTCTGGCTGATTTGACTTATCTTTTAAGGCTATGCGCATATTGCCTACCAAAAGCTGAAGTTAATTGGGATTTTACAGTGCGTTGGATTGATATATCTCGTTGAGATGTCATAAGCTTTAAGTATGAATCACACGTCTGGCTGACAATTTGATGCTATCGCGTAAGTTTGGTACTCGAACCTTGAGTCTAACTGAGAAGTCTATGGCCAGAAAGGCCGTCACAACAAAAGAAAGAGACATATTAAAGTCCCACTACGTCTTTGAAAGTTCTGTGTCAGAAAGTTAGAAGAAAAATGAGCAGAAGATGTCTCATATAAAAGAGCAACCCCTCCCCTCACTCGTGTTTATTTCTCTTCCATCATCATCACACAAACGTCCCATCAGAACTCTACCAAAGCTCCTGCACCGTTCTTAAAGCAGCACTAAGTCTCCATTTCTGAGCAATATACACTCAGATATCACCTACTGCCATCATGGGTCAATCCATGTCAAGCGATTTCGAGAGCTTCAACAACTTACCACCTGAGCTTCGGCTGATGATTTGGGAAGAAGCTATTCCGAAGAAAAAGGACACACATGCGGCCTACAAGATCTTCCACGACGCCTTCTTACGTGGTCTGCGGTTTAAAAAGCCAGAGGATGCAGATGGACCTCGGCCCCTCCTGGAGGCATGCTACGATGCTCGTGCAGTGGCAATGAAGGGTGGATCGTACATGACTGTCAAGGACAAAAGATCTCGAATATTCTGCAAAACACTCAGAGGAATTTTCGAAAAGAGATACCATTCCGTTTGGATTGATAGTAGCATTACAACTTTGCACGTACCAATCGCTGCACTGACATGTGGACGCATCACCAATTTACCAACCAGCATCCAGGCTATTGCTTGTATGGTGCCTACGCCAAAGGGACTCGAAGCCTTGCAAAATTGCCTCACCCATGATCCAGAGTACAAAGGTATCAAGACCGTGTACCTTGGGATTGCTGGTATACCCATCAACTATAGCAACGGCGACGACCCAGACTGTTATCCCTGCACGGAATCAGAGTCAGCCGTTGTCCCGCTTGACGATGAGAAGTTGATCACATATCTTGCATCGGCTTATAAAGTCCACGTCTCTACGGCGATCGGTGATGGTGTGATTCGTGAGGACGCATTCCATCGCAAAAGCGGACTGAGGTTCAAGAAGAGCCTCGAAAAGGACTGGACATATCAGCAGAACTTGCGCTCGAAATGGGACCCCAAGAATGGCGTCAGGTTACTCCCGGCTGTTATATTCGGACAAAAGACGAGGCCAGTAGTACTCTGCACTAGTGGTCGTCTCCGTGGCGCTGCCCTTAAGCTTCAGGTGGGTTGGCGTATGGCCCAGGCTGACCTTATGTGGATGGATGCGTTTGCCTATGACAACGGAGCTGGTAATGAGGACAACCTCAATGAGCTTCCGTATCAGAGGCGGGTCCGAAGGGCGGTTCGCAGCGAGAAGGATATGCTCCGGGACTTTCACTGGTCACCACACAATGCCGAAGGAGAGAAAAGATGGACTGCGTACTTGAGGTAGCAAAATGGTCTCACTTGTGTATATTTGGCATATTTTGTATCTAGATGAAGGACAAGAGATCCTTGTGCGTGCTTTCAACCAAATCCCAACCATCATGTTCGGATTGAGACCCTTCGCTCCTCTTGTCGTGATCATCCTTACCCGGATCTGGGTACTTCCTCACATGTTCAATGGCCCAGATAAGGTCCTTGCTCAACACAGGAGGTATTCTGCCTTCCCCGGACAATGTCCCGAGGCCCGCGATCTTAAAGAACCCCTCCAGCCATCCGAAAGTCTCACCAGTCTCCCACTCTATCTCGTGAAACTTTCGTCCTTGCTGCTTACAAAGCTTCTCTCTATCAAGTTCCCATTTCTTTTGTTCTTCTTTTGGTGGAAGAGAAATAGAGTTTCTCCCCGAGAAGAGTCGTGCAAGTGCAATGGCTTGGTATTCGAAGCTTCGAAATGTCAAGACGCGAGGCATGCCGACAACTGCCAAGTTGGGGATGTCCTGGAAGAAAGTATGCCAGTAGTTGTTGATAAGCTTTCTTTTCTTGTAGTCAAATAATGGTCGACCGTTCACCTTGCTGTTCCAAAATGGGTAAGATGGAAGATATCCTGTACAGTAAAGGATGTGATCAATGTCTTTGAGTTCACTTCCATCGTCGAACACGATTGTACCATCTAGTCGATACTCTTTGATAACTGTCTTCCACTCCATTCCGAGGAGAGGTTCATCGCCATCCAATCTCCCTCGCGATCGTCGTGACTGGTAGAGCGGTTGTTTGACAGACTGCAGAAGATCCACTGCTATATCATGACCAGATGCGGAGTTTCCAATAACAAGAACTCTTTTGTTGGCGTAGATCCAAGGTGAGCGATAGAATTTGGAGTGTATTACTCTACCAGGGAACTTCTCCATGTAGGGCTCCAAGCCTTGGACATGGGGAACCTAGTCTCAACCGTCAACAGGTAGTTACCTTACCGAATGACAGTGCACTTACCCAGGGAATGGCATAGTGCCCGTTAGCAAGTATAACGGCGTCAAAATCTTCTTGCCACCATACATCGACGTGACGCAGAGGGTCATATTTTCGCAGTGTTAGCCTCCAAGGCGTCAGACCTCCCTTTGTAGCTGTGTGTAGCTGTGAGATATCCTCTACGGTGGTGTTGAGAGACAAATATTCGTCAGTCTTTTCGGTGGAGAAATATGTTTCGATGTATTGGCGAGGGACATAATGGGGGACGAAAGGTCCGTAGGAGAACGGCTGGTCCGAGAATGACATTGCGATTTGAGGCACATTAGTTCTGTTCCTGGTCAGTAACTCGGGTGTCGAATAAAGGAGTGATCGACTTGCGTTAGATTCTGATAGATAGGAGTATGGGCGTATCTCTCTTGCTGATTCGGAGGCGTTGTGGTCGGTAGGTTCTCTGGAATCTCCAGTGGCTTATCAATATCTTCTGGGTAGCCCCCAGGATGAATAGGAGCGACTACTGGGTCGGCATCGTAAATCCTAATATTGGTGAGTCCAAGTCTTTGTTCCGATTACTCTGTCCTTACCAAGTACCCCCAGGTGTTTCTCTCCGTTCAAACACTCGAATGCGGTCGAAGTAATTCTCTGCCTTCAAAGCTGCCGCGGAAATAGCGCCTACCAAGACAGATGATTAGCTCTTCCATAGGTTGTCAAGCGGGGTGAAAGCGTGAAGAATCACCGGCAGCTCCGGCTCCAACCACAGCAACAGACTTGATGTTATAGTCTCCCATAATAAATTCCAGAAACCGATAATATTATTGTTATGAGAAAGATAAATATCGAGAATCTATTGGCGGAACTGGCTACTCATCGAGTTCATATTCCTTATCACAACACGCCATATGCTGAGATCATTCATCATATTCGTCATGTGTAACATCTATGTCACCATCGCGCATCACGTGAATCATCACCGATCATGCAACGTCTGATATGGTAGTTGACACAATGTCTGAATATACAAAATGGAAAGCACTATTAATTCCATCATTATTCTCCCATTTCATCCTATCACTGAGGCTTTGGGGTCGACTCTGCCTCTTTCAGCTTTCTTTCCAACACGTCTATGCCACCAAGTTGCTTAACAGTCGAGTCGAAAGTACCCGTCGGAAACAAAGTGCCTAGGCGTGCCAAACCAGCACTACCTCCTCGAAAGATCAGATAAGGTGGTTTGCGTTGACTCAAGTCTCCAGCAACTTGTTTCGCCCAGGTCATTGCATCGGGTTTGTTCATCCCTACTTCATTGCCGTTCATGGAAGATTCGATAGCCTCATTGGCGACGTTGTATATCGAATCCTTGGGAAGCTCAGCATCCAGTGAATTGCTGTGAAAGGTAGACTTGACGCCACCAGTGAACATGTTGATAGCGCGAATGCCGAAAGGGGCGAGTTCGACTCTCAAACTCTCAGTCAGACTGGCTGCAGCGGCCTTGGATGCTGCATAAGTTCCTTGGAATGGGATACCAGCTCCGAGAAGACCTGATGCAGAGGTGTTGTTGATAAGTAAAGCTCCGTGGGTGGACTTGAGAAGCAGAGGAACGAAGGCCTGGGTGACTCTGACGATAGAGAAGACATTGAGTTCAAACAGTTCGTGGCTCTTGGCGATATCAACATGTATTATAGGCATGCTGTAACCGGTGCCAGCATTATTGAGCAAGGCGTCTAGTGAGCCTCCGGTGATTTGCTTGACTTTCTCAACGGCTGCTGAGACGGATTCATCCGAACCAACATCCATTTCGATGCATTCGAGTCCAGCTTCCTTGACCTTTCCGAGCTTCGCTAGGTTGCGTCCAGAAGGGAAGACACGCCATCCACGATCTTTCAATGCCAGTGCCAGAGCAGAGCCAAGACTGCCGTCGGAGCAGCCTGTTATCAAGATGGTGCGCTTGTCAGACATGATAAAATTTGGTGTTACGCGAATTTCTAGCCAAGAGGTGACGACGAAACAAAAAGATTACTGATGGCTAATGAAACTGGTGTAACGGGGCGAATCTGTTTATATGCCATGTTTGCTACTTGACTCTCACCTCCCCTTCAGCCCTGTTAATACATTTCGACTGCGCACTCGCATAAGACGGCCAATCAATGGCGCAGTCCCCAATGGTTGGTCATCAGTTCAGGGCGTGAGCGATCTTTTTCACGCCTTGTGATTGGATCAGCGGAATCCCGATGTTACACTTGGGATATCACCATTGTCCGAACTTTTCTGCGTCAAATAATTGGGCAGACAGGCTGACACCATCGTGGGGGCTTCTGGAGGAAACAGTCAAGGATATTCAAACAGGTCTGGGTCATTGGCCGCAAATACCTTAAGTTAAAGCACACGGGTCTATATACACGTTTGATTATTAGAGGTGGCGCTTCTAGGAACTTAACCTTTGGCTCAAAACACAGAGTATACAGAATTCAGGAGCCTTGTGTCTCTTATATGATCTATGGTGTAACTATCGAACTGATATCGCGTCGCTCCTTTCCACGATATACAGTTCCCTTTCAATCATTATCGGGGCGATTGTTGGCCCGACTCTAGGGTGACGGAGTTGCGGGGTTTCAGCCCAGCCGCCTCTCAGACAGGCTATTGAGGTTGGTAGCCAGTACCCAATCACTTTCTACCCATGGCGTGCTCAATCTCTTTGAGCGCAGCAAGTACCTTCTCATCGTACTGCCTTCGTCCAACAACTTGTAGGTTGATAGGCATACCAGCGTATTTCTCAGGGCTGTACAGGTCATAGTTGAACTTGTCGTCATCGTTCTTGGGGACGTAGTCTACATCCTTGGGGTCCTTCTCAGGGTCGACTGTTGTTACTGGGAAGACTGCAGCGGGACTGGAGCTCACCGTTAGAGGAGTTTGGTAGACTATCATGAGGATAACTTACTAGTCAAGCAGGTTCCAGTGAGAAGTGTAGCCCCAGTATCGTGACTGATCGTGAGGTGCTGCGGCACCGGGGAATGGCGGGCACAGAATCACATCAACTTCTCTTCCGTCGTTCTTGCTTGTGTATGACCACGCTCGAGCATATGCTGCCCTATAATCATCGCGCTTGGTGCACAGCTAAGAAGCCGTCAGTACTGCCCGACGAACCATACCAAGTAAACTTACCTCCCAAAGCTCATGCATCGTCAAATCCTTCACGCTGGGCTGCTCTTGAATGATGAACTTCGTCAAAGGAAGGACAGGCTCTCCAGCGGCTTCCATGAGCTCAAGGGCCTCCTTGCCTCCATCAGGCCAGTATAATGCTGATAGAATCTCCCATCCCTTCTTGTGATCCAAAGGCTCACAGTCCCAGTCTACGACTTCCATACCAGCTTTGCGGCAGGCTTCTGCAACCTCCTCCAGAGCTCTTGTCATGGGAGGATGGGGCTGGACAACACCGTCCCACCACTGAACCGCAACCTTTAGAGGTCTGTCGAATTTGTAAGGAGTCCATGGCTTGGCTGTAAGGGAAGGGTCAATGAGCCAAGGCTTCTTTGACAAGGCAATTTCCATAAACAGTTCGAGGGACTCGCGGTCAACTGTCATCGGTCCAGGTGTTGAGGAAACGGTCTCTTTTCCGGCCATGATCGATCGGGCGCCCATGACTGAGATTCGCTTGAGAGTTGGTCTATCTGGAGTTAGAAAAGATATATCTGAGCATGGCTACCAGGATTACTCACTTGAAAGCGTAGATTCCGTTGTGGGCAGCTGGGCAACGGACGCTGCCACCAATATCACCACCAATACCCTAACCAGGTTAGTCGAAGCTCAGATCACGGACAAAGTTACACTTACCAAGATGCTTCCACGGAAACCGAGCAAAGCTCCCTCACCACCACTGCTGCCACCAGCCGTCAAATCACGGTTATACGGGTTGACTGTTCGTCCGTAAATGTTGCTAATGGTCTCAAGGTGCATGATAGTTTGAGGTTGAGTAGTCCGCACGTAGAAGACGCAGCCTTCATCATACAAGTGGTCATATAAAAGGTTGGAGCCATGAGCTTTGCCTATCCACGCAACGAATGAGGCGTGAGTTGAGACGTTCTCGCCAACCATGCCATGATGTTCCTTGGTTGAAATGGGAAGACCGAAGAGCTTTCCCTTGGGTTCCGGTAGCGAATCGAGATACTTGGCTCGCTCAATAGCTTGATCCCACATAAGCTCAACTAAACAGTTGGTCTACTCGAACTGTTAGCATCGTAGTAGGGTGTAGGTCGGCCATGACTTACAGCAACCTGTGCGAGAGCAGCTCTCCGCAAGAATGCACGGGTAACCTCCTCAACCTTGATCTCTCGCTTACGGAGGACTTCGAGCAGCTCGATCACCGAGTACTTTTCTGTGATCTCAATCTCGCGTGCAGTCAATACACCTTGAGGAAGGCTTTGGGAGCTAAGAGGCAGCTCATTGGGGATGCCCTGTAGCTTTGGTTCGACCTTGCCAAGGCCGATATCGCGCTGTTGTAAGGCAGCTGATACTGTTTCTTTATAAGATGCCATGATGCCCAATTTAATCTTACAAGTTGTTAGTGTTGTTGTTGATTAGCGGTGCTAGGGGGAAGGGGCACATACTGTAGTCTGTTGTATTAGAGAAGAAGAATGAAAGAAAGAAGGGATAAGTTGAAAGAATGTCAAATGATTACATTCTCCAAGTCATTCAAGTCATGTGGGGTTGGGGTCTGTATCGCCCGTCGGCTTATCCTATGCCGCTATTGGCAGGCCGAGCCGACGATATCCAACCGCTAAACCCCGCATTTGAGCGCCCTTTTCATTGTCAACTTGTCATATCAACCGATAACTAGCCCAAGTCGCAGTGCATGCAACAGATTAGATAACGTACGTGGAATTGTTTGAGGCGTAAGATCCTCACGTGGGGTAGTCCCGGGACCCGAGATTGCCAGCGATAAAGAGGCGACACGGCTCCGAGTTTATCGGGTCCTCTACAGTACTCGGGGCTTTGAAGGCCTCGGATAATCCTTCTAGAAAAGGAAATCGTTCCAAATTACGCCGGGCCAAAATCACAATCTTCAAATAGCTATTTAATTCTCTCAGCAGTTAATTGTTTCCCCTGTCCGTCTTCGACAGCACTCTTTCTGAATTGTTTGGCTGATGTTACCTTTTACCCTTGTTCAAGTCTACTGCGCAGTTCGCCGTCGGCCGATATACCTACAGATCTCACTAAGGTCTCATAAACATCACGTGGACTTCATGCAAATCCTCAGTTGAAGGTCTAGATCTGCCACCATGCGAGCCAGAATAGCTTTTAGCCCTCACGGGGATCTTTACCCAACTATGTCTAGAGGTGAGCCAAACATGAATATTTGGAAATCGCCAAAGGTGTTGTCAGGGCTACAGTGAAACGCCGCCTCCATAAATGGCAGACCAGCAAGGAATAACGGTTCCAATGATAATCGTTGGCAGTGGGACAAGATAACGTCGTGGCGATAAATTTGGCTGAGTCGAAGACAAAAGATCTATGTTACACAATCTTTGCTTCGTGCATTAAAATTAGTTATTATGCACAGAGTGTTGAGGTTTGATAAGAGGGCTTCGAATTTCAAAGCGGGACTGAACCTAAAAATGACGCTTTGTTGATCATGCCATTGACAGAATGGTGACAGACACGACACAAAAACTAGTACCTGAGTGTTTGCTTTAAAACTAGACCTGACGGCAGAGAAATAGCCGATGTAGATCACTAAGTGGAGTTTAAAGCAGGCCTCAGCATGAGCTCGTCCGTTTCATAAGTACACACCAGCTGGAGCAACGCCCAGGGTACCCATGCTGAGATATCTGGGTTTGTGCCTAGTAGACAAAACGGTGTAAGGGCAAGTTCGCACAGGTGTGAGACCTGAACCTGCGTCAAACCTTTGGTTATTAGCGTATACATAGAAAAGGCAAAGAAAGAAGAGGGATCCCAATCGCCTATTTTATCTCATGTTTATAGGATCCGCATCCGATAGACTTTTCATAGAACAGCCATTTGAGCTTCCTACCAATCAAAATGCCTATCAAATCAAGATGGTCTACTCCGACGCCTCCAATGTCTCTACCCACCTGGGTCTTTGGAAGTGCACAGCATGGCCCACGCAATGAAAAGATCGCTTTTGTGGATGCCGATAACCCAAAGAATACTTTGGCGATTTGGGAGTTCGAGTTGTACTCGAAACGCCTGGCAGTAGGTCTCCGTCGTCTCGGCGTCACGCCGGGAGACCGAGTCTTGGTCTTCTCTGAGAATGGTATCTTTGTCCCATGTCTGTTCTTTGGCATCATTATGGCCGGAGCCATATACACAGGCGCGACTTCATCAAGCACTGCTTTGGAACTCAGCTATCAGTTAAAAGATAGCGGCGCAAAAGTTCTAATTACCAGTATGAATCTTATCAAAACTGCCGTTGAATCAGCACGCACTATCGGCCTGGAAAAGAACCGTATCTTTCATCAAGACTCGCGAAGTCACGACCACAACAATCTGTCTCATGACGGCGTACGCTCGTGGAATGAGCTTCTTGGCCCCGCCCACGAGGCAGAAAGCTTCCAGTGGTTTGAACCGCCAAACCCTGAGACTACGATATGTTGTCTAAACTACAGCTCTGGGACAACTGGCAGACCCAAAGGCGTCGAGGTGACACATTTAGCCTATGTTTCCAATGGTGAAGCGCATCTCCTACTTCATCACCTTCAGCAAGAAGCTTGGCTCGGGTCTTACCGTGCTCGCGCTCTGTGCTTTCTCCCACTCAACCACGCTGCGGCACAGACAACATTTATTGCCAATTATCCCAAGATGGGCGTGGAGACCTATATCATGAGGCAGTATAACTTCAATGACATGCTCAGTCACATTGAGAAGTACCAGATCACAGAGTTGATGACTGCCCCACCAATTATCTCATCGCTCGTGGCGAACTCGGCACTGGTGGGTGATAGCCTCAGGAGCGTCAGAAATGTTATTTGCGGGACAGCACCACTTGCTTTGTCACTGGAGCAAAGAGCAAACGCTCTATTTAAAGATGATCGTGTCAGTATTCGCCAGGGTTGGGGTATGACAGAGTTGACTTGTCTGGGAACCATGAACGATCCTCGTCTAGCTGGCTCTCCGGGTTCTGTCGGCGAGACAGCACCAAATTCAGCTATCAAGCTGATGCGTGGGGCGACTGAGATTACGGAGGCCAACAAAGAAGGTGAACTCTGGTTTACAAGCCCGACACTCATGGCAGGATACTGGAAGAATCCTCAAGCGACTGGAGAGACCATTATTGAACAAAACGGCAAACGATGGCTAAAGACAGGAGATATAGCCTATGTAGACTCATGGGAATCAGGGGCTAAAATCTACCTCGTAGATCGTTCCAAAGAAATTCTCAAGGTAAAGGGTTTCCAGGTTGCACCCGCTGAGCTCGAGGCGGTTCTTGCTACTCATCCTGATATCATCGACAGCGGTGTTGTTGGTATCAACATCCAGGGACATAAACTCCCAAGAGCATATGTGGTGAGACGCCCTGGCGTATGTCTTACTGCTCGCGATATAATGAGTTGGATGGAAAGTAAGGTTGCACACTATAAGTGTCTCGACGGCGGCATAGCCTTTCTCGATGCCATCCCCCGAACTCAGGTCAGTGTAGTGAGACCACAATATATGTGCTATCAAACTAATGAGATATTGCTGTGTACAGTCCGGCAAGATCCTCCGCCGAATTCTGCGCGATCGCGCCAAGGAAGAGACAAATGGGTTCATGCCAGTGAAGGCAAAACTGGTATAATACTTGGGTTTCAGCTATGATAGAAGACTGATACTAAACTTAGGATAAGGCAAAAGATTGACTCTATAGACTGAGAAATGCTAAGATTCTCCCCTCTCTCGAATTTGGTGACTTTTCGAAGGACAGATTACTCTTTGCGAGCTACCATTCCAAGCAGAGCATCCTTACTGCTATCAACACCAACCTAAGTAAAAGTTCGGTTTACCGCTTGAGGGCTCATCAAGTGCTCAACCTACAAGAAGCCGGATACCACCACTGATCTGCTTGAGGATGACACCTTGCCAATATCTTGCACCCCGACAGGCTTGTTGCGCGCCTCTCGATGCTAATCTAAGCATCCGAGCGCCTTGAAATGTAGACAAGGTGACCTAAGTCGCGATTTATAACTGCCAATAACGTGGTTAGCCATTGAAGGGATGGAAAACTTGTTTCAAGCATGCGCCATTGTGTTCCAATATAATTGGTGATCTCTTTCAGGTCCCTGCGGACACTTTGACACTTACCCAACTCAACAACGGGCGCACCACTAATGCGTAATCTCTCTTGCCCATCTTCTCGTATTGGATATTGGCAGAGATGAAAGAAGTCACAAGAACCGGAACGTGGCCTTTACTTAGGGTGCACGGCCGTTATGATACGTAGAGATGCTGAGGTTTTCTTTTTTCCATCATCGAAGCAATGTCAAAGAAGCCGTCCGTGCTTTTCTCAGCCATACTCAGACCGACTGAGCTGATCAGGTAGAAGCTTGTTTGATTCGAGAATAACCCTGGAAGTCATCTGTGCTTCTGAAATCTTGAGCCAAAGTTCGATCCACATAAAAGAAGCTCTAGCCAGTCCGATGCCGATGTTACCTCTAACAGACAATTTCATCAGAAATCACTACATCCCAGGATCCCAATGAGTACCGGGTAAATGCCGAAAGCCGAAAGCTACGTCGTCCCGGGGCAAGTGAGTGTCAATGAGGGCTTTTTCGTATGGATATATGCTCGCGAACCGTCCCGATCTTTCGCATAAGCCCTCATTGCAACCACAATCCGTCGATCCGAGGAACTTTTGCCTCATGTTCGAGCTTTGATAGGTTAGACTTGTGACCGAGAGCTGATGATCGCTATGCTGAATTCAGTACATTGGAGGGGCTCTGATTAGCTTGCAAAGATCCTTGTCAAACTCAAAAATCCGAGTGCAACAGCGCATAACGAAAAGCGGTTATGTGATCTTTCACGGCCGTCAAGGTTGGTCTCCTAGAATAGAGAGCATGAAAAGCCACCACTTGAATGGTTACATGCCGCTTGCTTGTTTTCAACGTTTGTTTCTCGGAAGAAGGCCGCAAACTGTAAATTCCTGTGGGCTAAAGTGCTCAGCTCGGTATACTCAGTTGAAGCGCGGTCACCCCAACATTACGAACCAACTTCTCCTACCTCTTATCAGTTGAAGGGCCCAATTTCTCGGCATATCTGAAATTTCAATCACTCGACTCCCGCCTGCATCATGTCGATTATACAGCCACCAAAGACCGATAAATATTCTCGTCTCAATGGACTTATCGCCGAGGCAAAGCAGAAGTCGCCGTTCTACAGCGATCTCTACCGAAATATGGCGGCTACTGACCAGCTTACCCCCAAAGAGGTCCCTTTGATCGATCATTCCAAGTACTGGGCGGCCTATCATGATTCTGAACGTTCGGTTATGACCTCTTGCCAGATAGACGGCGTTCTGATGGAAACTGGTGGTTGGAGAATATCCCAGAACCCATTATATAGCAGCGCCACTAACCGGACTCAATGTGCAGGCACTACTGGTATTCCCAAGTTTACTAGTTACTCTCAAATAGAGCTGCTTCGGACCGCATCCCTGCTGGCAGACGGACTTCTCCATGCGGGATTGCGGGCAGGTGATCGAGTCGCGAATCTCTTTTACGCAGGAGACCTCTACGGGTCTTTTCTCTTGCATATTTTGAGCGTAATTTCTCTGCCTGTACCTGCCATTCAGATACCAATTGGAGGTTTGATGGCGCCGGATGTGACTGCTCAGCTTCTGCGAACATGCCGCGCAACGGCAGTGCTCTCAACCATAACATCACTGGTCCGTCTGGCCTCATATTGCCGCCCTAAAGAAGAAAGGTTCCTATCTGTGACGGCTGTCATGTTTGGAGGCGAGCCAATGTTTGATGATCAAGTCGCTGCGGTGGCCTATCTGTTCCCTAATGCCACTATACGCAGCTGCATATACGGCTCCATCGATGCCGGTGTTGTGGCCGTGTCTGCTGGAAATCCAGACCCAGCAGAGCATATAGTACTCTCGGCAGCGGCCATAGTCGAGATCCTTGTCGACGAAGATGAAGGGCCTGTCCCGACTGAACAACCAGATATTCCCGGAACACTTGTTGTAACCAACTTGATCCGAGACCTGACACCTGTCATTCGTTATCCAACAGGGGATCGCGCGGAGTGGGTTGACAAAACGGCTGGAATCTTCCGTCTTCTCGGACGAAGCAACCAGGCTGTCCGGCTAGGTCCTGTTTCTCTAGACATTTCACATCTACGTCAGCTTGCCAGAGCTGTTTTGAAGACTGTGGCTATAGAAGCTTTCCAGGTGGTGGTTACCCGTCAAGACTCGAAGGATGCTATGGAGATAATGATAAACACCGCCGAGCCCCCTCCTGCAGCATCTGAAGATGCCATAATTGAGATGCTGAATGAGCAGAGGCCTATGTTGAAGAGGCATATTGAGATGGGTTTGGTTGCTCCCGCTAAGGTTTGTTTCAAATCCATCTGCGATATGAAAGCAAACCCACGTAGCGGGAAATTACCTGAGATTATCGACTTAAGACTAGGCACTGCATAAACAGTCTATAGAGTGTAGAGTTTGTAGTTTATCAAGTGTACCTTTCCCGCTCGGACGCAGTAAGTGACTCTGGTCCTGAATTTGGGCATCTGGCTCTGGTGAGGAACAGAAGCGGCACTTCACTGTCTCACTTTAATGCCAAGGTATCACTAGAGTCCATTTAAGTGTAGGTTATGCGGGTTGCTCCGTTGACAATTGTCCGATATGCTCTTTTCCTCCGCAAGTCTACACCTCTGGTCAATAGCCCCATGCTGAATCGTAGGGCGACCTGTGTAAGCGAAAACGAAGCCTTACGGCACTTCGGCATTCAACTCTGAAGCTATCTCAAGTGCCGGTATTACTCCGATGGTCTAACGAATAGTAGTGCCTCGCGCTAAGGCCCCGAGCTCGTAGTCAATGGCTATACGAGAAAAGCGTAGGCTTAAAATTCTACGATACAGGTGCTCCCATGTAGTCAATCCCTCATTCACCTATCAGAAAGTGCATAAGAAAATGTCCCCGAGGTAATACGTATGTTGGCTGACAGGGGTGGTAGGATGAGAAAGGGCGACCCCCCTAAAATTGATCGATATTCCTCGACAGGCATCCCAGGGCCTGCGTAGGACAAGTAACACTGGTGCCAAACTTTAAACTCCAGCCATGCATGCGATAAGTCAACTATGGCTGTTGATCTGGTAAGGGTCGAGCATAAACAGGCATCAACCCGCCTCGATGACCCCTCATACTGAGGGTAACTGGTGTGAGGGAATATTCTGTTAACTCAGCATCAGGCCAGTGCATACGAGAACTAGGGCGAAGAGAAAGTTGCATAAAAACACGAAATTGACAGGAGGTGAGCGGGCGTAGCTATGCTTTGGCCACGTCAACGCTTTCAAGTTTACCAAGGGCACGGCCATCTTTAGCCGAGACATTTGTTCAAAGCAAATCAAGCTTCATGCCATAGCGCACGTAGGGCATAATTAGGAAGGCCCATTTCGTCATGCACTACTCGACCTTAGATCGTCCGGGGCTGAACTCTTTCGGGAGCCGAGAGTCATGTCCCCAGTCTTTTCGTGAAACGTAGCTTCTTAGTATACTATCTCATGAAGCTACAAGTTCAAAATACCATCATTTGTGACTAACCTAATCGAGCCTGTCCTACATGTCACCAGTGACTTCGAATCAAAGCCGTATATAACACACTCAGATATCATAGCTACTCAGTCGTATCTGTTGTATGGGACTGTAGTTTCGTACAGAAGCCTTCAAAATGCATCTCTATCTTGTTGAATCACTGCTTTCACAAATCTCTAAAATGTATCTTCTGCTTATTGCCTTTGCCATCGCCATCCTGACTTACCTTCTAATCTCAACACTTCTTGGTATCTTTCGTGCTGTGCGTTCTCCGCTTCAAAAGATTCCCGGACCATGGTACGCGCCATTGACTACTTTCCATTTACGATATCTATTTTCAACAGGTGAAATCTGGAAGCTTGTACAACGCAGTCACGCAAAATATGGCCCGATATGTCGTCTTGGTCCAAGACACGTCTGGGTTTCCGACAAAGAGTCTCTGAAGCAGATCCTGTCAACCATCGACCTCCCCAAGGTTGCCATGTACGCCGAGATTTCTCGAGATCGAACGAGTCCTGGCCTCTTTGGTGAAATGTAAGTATAAATGTCCGGCCTTGGCAAGGTTATGATTCGAAGACTAATTGTTCTAATACTGCACAGTCGATTCCATCCCCATAAGCGCCTCAAGAGGTTCCTTTCTCCAGCGTTCACAGTGGGCTATGTTGATAATTTAGAGTCAGTCTTCAAGAGCGTAATGCGAGACCTTCTTCAAAATTACGTGGCACTTTTGGCTGAAAGTGCCCCGACTGTAGATACAGTCCAGACTGATCTCATGGATGACCTTCACAAAGCTGCGCTTGATATGTACGTCCGAAACACAACAATGGAATTTCGCATCGGTATGTCTTGATGCTAACAGCCGCGATAGCATGGGAGAAAGTTCATTTAGCAAGGGCTTCGGGCAGATTAAACCCAACGAAGCTTCTGGCGACAGGCAGATGGATGAGACATGGAAGTCCATTCCGAGAGCCATTTTTGATGGTCTCGCAGACAGATACAAGGTACGACTCCATGCACCGGTTACGAATGCATTGCTAATAAGTTATGTTTCACCAGTACGTCTACATCAAAAGATTTCTACGACGAATCGGATTCAATGTCGAGTTTGATTGGCCCAAGCAAATGATTATGGTAAACCGGGGTTCTGCTACTAATTTGGGTGTCGCTAACGTTCAAAGGCTATCGACTCGATCGTTCGTCAGCGCTCAGATGAGAAAAAGCACTCGCCCGATCTTCTTCAGCATCTCATTGAAAACGGTAAAAGGCCCGATAATGAACAAACAATGAACTCGCGAGACATTCTGGACCAGATGTCCGAAATCCTTCTCGCTGGCTCAGAAACGACCTCTGGTACCATTGCCTGTTTGTTCCTGGAGCTTGCACGTAATCCTCGAGTCCGTGCTAAGCTGCTCGCATCCCTCCCTACCATCAGCCATGATGACGTTGACGATATCATTGTTAGCAAGACTGTTCGTGATTCAGCAGACTATCAGTATCTGGAAGCTTGTATCAAGGAAAATCTTCGGCTGCATCCTATTGCATCCGAGATGGGTCGTCGTACTGGTAACCAGTGGATCAACTTGATGGGATACGACTTGCCTCCGCACACGGTAGTCTCTGCCTCATATCGAGACCTTCATCGCAACGAAGATTACTGGCCTGATGCTTTGAGCTTCATCCCTGAGAGATGGCTCCCTGACAAGGAGAGAGGCGACTACCCTGCAGCTGAGTATGTCGTCGCAACGCCTATTTAGATAGAGCTCATGCTGACCTCGTCTTGTAGTACAACCGCATACTTTCCTTTCTCTGCTGGAAGACACTCCTGCATCGGTATCAAGTGAGTTTTCTTGCCTTGGCAATTTCGAAAGCCATCTGCTGTCTTACTGACTCTTTACCCCTTCACAGCTTTGCCTGGGCAGAGATGAGAATGATTGCTGCTAATCTTCTCACGAGATATGACCTCACAGAGGTGCCAGGACAGATAGTTGACTTCCGCCAGTTTATTACAATGCAATTCCATACAGGCCACTGGAACGTGCTTCTACAGAAGCGAAAGTAATGAGACTTAGTTTTTGCCGCCTTTCAGGTTGGGAGTGAAAGCTGTAGTTCATTCCGTGGCCGATGAGTGTGGAGATCTGCGATGATAGGTCTCTATATATACTTCAACTACAATAACCAGAGATGCGCCAGCTACGTCCTCCTGCGCCTCGCCCTATCAATATAGAATTTGCATCAACTGTCAATGTTTCCCGAGCCTACTCTACAAAATCAACCTGAAAGCGCACCACTCAACTTCCAGTAAACAGCATAGTTGAACCCCTGAGCATCATAGAAAGGACCCAACTCGACAGCCTTTCCACCAGAGGTAGCCCCAAATGTCAAACCAGTGTTACTCTTTCGCTTGATACTTGTCAGGTCGATCGTAGGGTTGCCGTTCAGGGTAGACTCCCCATAGTTACCAGCCAAAATGACAGGACCAAAAGCAATCGCACCCAAAGTCTGGTCATCGTTGGCAGCAACGGTGTGCAGGCTCAGGGGTAATTGGACTGTAACGGTATCTCCTGACTTCCACTGTCTCTTGATTAGAGCGTACTTGCCAGATTGAATGGCCACATCGGCAGCTTGGCCGTTGACCTTGATGGAGGCTTTAGAAGTCCAAGATGGGATGCGGACGGCGAGGGTCCATTCACCAGTATCACCGGAGATTTTGAATGTTGACGTATCGCTTTCAGGGAAGTCAGTCGTCTGGGTGACAGAAACCTTCTTCTGAGACCAATTGAGCTTCGAGGGAGTGAAGAGGTTGACGTAGAGCGTGTCAGAAGTGTGAAAGTAGATCGAGTCCATGAGCCTGGTATTGGTCTCGACTCCTGTGCCCTGGCAGCACCAGAAGGAGTTGTAATCAGTGCTCCAGGTACCGCCACCCCAAGCAGGGCCAACTCCGCGGCGTCCACCAGCCTTGAGAGGTGTGAAATACGTGACATGTCCATGGTCACTGCTAGGGTTCTGCTGGCCAAGCAAGTGGTTTAGCAGGGCCTTCTCGTAGAAGTCAAAGTATGAAGCGTCAGTCGGGTTCAAGGCCCAAAGCTCACGAGTGAGTTTCAGCATGTTGTAGCTATTGCAAGCCTCGCAAGTATCGTCTGTAAGGAATCCGGCAATAGCATCGGGAGCTCGGAAGTGCTCGGCCTGACTGTTTCCACCAATGGCGTAGGTATGCTTGTTTACGACAATATTCCAGGCGTTTTGACCAATTTCGAGGTACTTCTTATCACCGCCGACCTTATACTCACGAAGAGCACCAATCCACTTGGGAAGTTGAGTGTTGGCGTGAAGACCGGAGAGTTTGTCGACGTTCTGTTGTAGGGGGTCGAAGATGACAGCATGGTCGAAGCGCTGGGCGACCTTGAGCCACTTTGCATCTTTGGTATAGAACGCGATATCGGCGAGGACCTCATTCATTCCACCAGACTCAGTCTGTAGCATGCTTTGCATCTGGCTGTAGCTCAGCTTCGAGGTGCGAGTGTCAACCCAACTGGCAAGCGACAGCATGGTGTCTTTAGCAGTCTGATCACCCATACGGCGATAAACATCTAGCAGTCCCGCCAGAGTCTTGTGAATGGCGTAGTACGGAACATTTCCGTTGCTCAGCGTGCGGTCCTCGACTTTAGAGATGTCACTTTCGGGAAAGCCAGAAAGATATCCTTTGGTGAAGCCAGCCTTTGCGTTGTTGGCTTGGCATTTGGCGAGCTCCTGTACAAAGTATGTAGCTCGCGAGCCACATTCTTTGACTCCCGCGGAAGCATAACACTGTGTCCAGGCTGAAAGAAAATGGCCTTGGACATGGCTTCGGAAGGGAAAGTCGGGAGCATCCCAGCCACCATTAGTCTGTGCACCATTTGTATCGAGGCCGTGATTCTTGCGGAAAACATAGAGTAGACGATCGGGGTCAATTGAAAGAAGATAGTTCAATGTTCGGTTCTGGTTGTCCATCCATCGACTATCAGTGAGGGAGACCTGAGTCAAGTCGAAGGCATCAGCCACGTCGTTGACAGCTTGGCCGCTAACGGGAAGAATAAGGGGCGCAAGGCCCAAAAAGAGGGCTGAGGCTTTGACCACGACCATGACGAATCCGGTTCTCGTTGATCGGTTAGCTTGATCAGGCGAATGCCACGCCGGATCAACAGCTGTTTATATATCCATGGCATCGATACCCATAAAGCCTGGGGAAAAAAAAACCCTTGATTACCCCATATCATCAGTTGGATTGGGTCTGAGCTCTTATCGTCATTGGAGCGCCAAGTTTAATGTTACATCTGCAGATCCGGGGGACCTTCCATATGGCATTCAGCCGATGCTTTGACTGATGATCTGCCATGAGATTTCTGTTCCACAAATAAGAAACACGAAACACCTGCTTGTGATTAATTGGATAAAATACGCACACCAATGCTGCGTCATGGCAGTGATCTACATGAAGGGACCCGTACCGTCATGCGATGCCATGTCTCAAATAGAGTTGCGCGCCAATGCTTCATGATCCGGTTCGCAAGCTGGACACTTGGTGATGACGCAGAGCTTAGGCATTATGCTTAGTTTAGACTACCGCGCCAATGTAGGTTGGATGTGAGCTGAAGCTTGTCCTATGCCAGGAAATGCAGATGCGGAGAAGGGAGATCCGATCTATATGGGGAAGGTCAGTAAAAAAGGTCATGTTGCTCGTGAGGGGTTTGGGGTTGTATCGCGGTGGGAGCAATTGTCGTTTCCGGTGGGAAGCGACTCAAATCCCGGTGGATATGCCGAGTGGCCAAGGCCAAGATGTTCTCTCGGAGACAAGGGCATGGAAATGATATAAGAGAACCAATTATACTCTGCTCTACTCAGTTGTGTCTATGTGGAGTAACTCTAGCCGCGGAATAACCTGCTATTGCAAGATTACTGAGGCTGCGTCTTTACCGTCCAGTCCTCATCCTTACCCATGTCATTGGATGCAGAGTCTTCTACCACAGCCTCCACCACGGTCGAGTCTCCAAATTTCGCATTGATCTCTTCCAGTTTCAAGCCCTTCGTCTCCACAAAGGTGAAATAGGCAATGATAAGAAAGATAAAGTCCCATGAAGCATTGATAAAGTAGAACTTCCATCCCAGATCAGCCATCGCGTAAGCCATGGCAAAGGAGGCAAGAAGACTAGGTTATGTTGTTAGTAGAGTTTCAAGCACAAGAGATATATCTGTCGTACCCAGCACTGGAGTCAAGCATGCGGAAGATAGCAATGCCTGTAGCACGCAGCTTGAATGGTGATACCTCAGTTGGATACAAGCTCGTCATTGGCGTGATCGAAAAGGCGTAGAAGCCTTGGAAGAGGAAAATGACGCCAATAGTTCCATATATGGCGGAATTGTTAGTGCTTTCACCAAAACCTGTAGTCTTTTGGTTAGCAAGCATCAGACTAAACACATGCCAGAACCTACGCTTGATGAGACCCCCGATGAGTAAGAGGGTAACGGTCATGCCGCCAACACCGATGAAGGTCTGTAATCTGCGCCCTAGGATGTCCAGCATGAAACTACCGAGTACAGCGACCGCGAACGACCAGCAGTTGATAATGACCTGGATCTGCGTTTGTGTTGTCGTGTTGGTTATGCCGGCCTGATTTAGGATCTTGGTGAGGTAGAAGCTGCAATTGTCAGACTGACAGACCAAGCACTTTCACAATGGTATGACCTACGATATGATGAAGTTACCAAACAAGTTGATCATGGGTCCAAAGCTGCACAGAATGGCCAGTCTGCGCCTGTTGGGCCCACTGGAAATCATCTCTCTCCAAGGGTTGCGAGGATATTCTTGTGCTTCACGCAAGATTGTGCTTCTGATCTCTTCCAGCTGCTCACTTCCTCTCTGGAGGTCGGTCTTGTCCTTTCCCTGCATAATGACCAGAACTTCAAGTGCTTCTTCGTTGCGATCCTTAGAGATCAACCATCGTGGAGACTCCGGCACGAATGGAACAATCATGACAGCTAACAAGCTGGGAACAAACTGGAGAAGAGAAGGTAGTCGCCAAGCCCATGTGCTTTGTATGTTTTGACTTCCATAGTTGATGATTGCCGAGGCCAGACTACCAACGTAATAGCACGAGAAGAACAACCCCAGAACACGGGCTCGTCGACGTGGAGGGAGTAGCTCGCCAAGAAGAGTTGGCGCAGCGCCATTGCTGATAGCAGATCCAACGCCTACCAGGAAACGGGCGATCACGAACATGGGTATGTTTTGGGCAGCAGCCTGTAAGATGATGCCGATTGTCGTTACGATCGATGCGATGTAGATTGCACGTCGGCGGCCGAAGTGATCAGGGATAGGGCCCATGAGAAAAGCACCAAAGATGCTGCCCATCCAATTGGCCGCGTTGTTGAGACCTTCAGTGGCCGTGTTCAAGTGGAAGTATTCGGAGTAGGAGGGCAAGATCAACAGGCCATTCATGACGGATGAGTCGTAACCCAGTGTCTGTATGTTGTTAGCTGACTCTGCAATAGGGGGGATCCGTACGTACAGCCGAGTTCACGATAGTTACTGCCAGAAGAAGAGGCATGAGGATCTTGTGGTCTGCAGGCACAAGCCTCGAGACATGCTTACGTTCGTATGCCATGATTGAGATGTTCGCCGTTGAATGATGAACCGAACCAGGAGTTTGGTTTTCTTCATGGCGGGTTACAGGACGCATCTTATATCTTGTAACAAAAACATTTACTACCATTGGCTTATCAAGTCTGGGGAAGATAGAACCCAGGGAATTGGTCATATCAGGCCCACAACTCCCCGCATCGGATCTAGATCCTGGGGAGATAACGATTTGATTGAGTTCTGACCAATAGCTTCACAGTCTGAGCCGAAGTCGGTCGAGCTCGGCCGAGCTCACCCACTAGCGAGTAGTTCGTCAATCAAGCAACTGAAAGTCAGAGACATGAGATAGAACTAAGAGATAAAAGGATAGGACATCACCGAACCGTAAACTTAACCTCTTTCAATCAAAGGACTTATCAAAATGCCTGGCCCTATCCGACAGTGGCCCGCGTGGCCTGAGTACACCTCTGAGACTGACACGTCCTCCAAGGACCCCGAGTTCCTGGAGGTCAAGAAAGCGATCATCAGCGAGTATGGCGCTGGGGCACTTCAACAAAGCTGGATAAAGGTCTGCAAGGAACTCGAAAACATCACTGATGAGATTATCGAGAAGGGAAACACTATCGTCCCAGTCTTCGACACTCAACAAATTATCAAAAATGGCTTCTCACCGGAGCAAGAGGCTGAGATCAAGAGAATCGGCTCGTTCGTCTGTCGCAACACCGTTCCCCAGAAAGAAGCGACAAAACTTTACTCTGATCTCAAGACTTATGTCGCGGATAACAAAGGCTCCATCCAGGCATGGCCCAAGGAAAGCCCATCAATGCTCGTTTTGTACAACTCGCCAGCGCAAAACACGCTTCGCTCTCATCCAAATCACCTGAAGCTGCAGCGAAAGCTGAATGAGCTGTGGAAATACTCTGCAGAGGATACCTCACCCGAACCCCTTGTCTATCTTGATGGTATTCGCGATCGTGCGCCAGGCCAGCCTTTCCTCGGGTTGGGTCCTCATATCGATGCTGGAAGTTTGTGTCGCTGGGCTGACCCAACTTACCGGAAAGTCTACGATGAGATCTTTTCCGGTAGACCAGAAGATCATGATGCTTATGACCTAGAAGCGAGAAAGAACGCCGACCAAGAGCTTTACAAGGGCCTTGCTCACTCTACGGTGTTGCGCACGTTCCAAGGATGGACTGCGTTGACGCCAACGGCACCAAGAGAGGGGACCATTATGGTATACCCTGATGTTAAGACTGTAATTGCATACCTGCTTCTGCGACCCTTTTTCAGTCCACCGAAGGATCCTGATCAGATAATGGACGCTGAGCAGTGGACGTTTGATAACTCCACGGGTTGGTTCCCGGGAACTATGAAGCCAGAAAGTCAGCGCTTGAGTCGGTCATCCCATCCTCATCTTAGGCTCGAAGAATGCCTTATTCATATGCCAGAGGTACAACCTGGCGATACAGTCTGGTGGCATTGCGATGTAAGTTGATCCGCATTAATCATCTCCATCCCATTATCTGACAAAGATTACTTCCAGGTTTGTCATGCTGTTGATACTGAGCATCTTGGAAAGAACAACGCGGCAGTAGCCTTCATAGCTGCATGCCCTACAACGTCAGCGAATGAAGCCTACGTCAAAGGACAGCTTCTTGCTACACTAGAGGGACGGCCTTCTGCTGATTACGCCGATGGGAATGACCTGGATGAGAGCACACTGAAAGGATATGTGGGCCTTGATGGTCTGAATGATGAGGCGCGTAAGGCTTTCGGATTCCACCTATTGTAAATATCCGGTATACTCTCGACGTCTCGCAAGATTGTATGTTTTATTCGGTGTGAGAAATAAACTATTCAGACAGGCTAAGCCCATAATAACCTGCCCGTGGTTCCGTGATATTAAATCCTTTCGTGACATTGGACTCTATTCTCAAGATTACTTGCTTGAGTGTAATAATAAAGACCGTAATGCACAGTAATAATATTATTCAGAGACACGTTGTGTTTATAATGAATTGGTCATCACTGCGTGGATGGTGGGGGAGAGTGATGTATGGCTGATCTCATTCTGCCGCCTGTCGCGAAGAGCGTCAGCATAAAAGCAAGCCATAAGCAAACCACTCTCCTCTATATAAGAATCCTACCAACACTTCAATTCCAAGATACAGGACATTTAGCTCAAGATAACCATACAACATGTCTACTGCTATTGTTGTTGGAGCTACAGGTCGGTGATTGTCCCAGAATCATTGCTGCATGTCTCACAGTCGCCATAGGTATTCTGGGCCGAGAAATCGTTCATCGGCTTGGCCAGAACCCACAAAAATGGAGCAAAGTCTACTCCCTCTCGCGATCACAGAAAGAAGAGTTCCCCTCCAATGTTGAGCATAGACACATCGACCTCACTCAGAACGCTGATGAGGTAGCCAAGAACCTGCAGGGTATCACGGCTGAATACGTCTTCTTTGCCGCTTACCTCGAGGAGGCAAACGAACAGAAGAATTGGGATGTCAATGGCGATATGCTACAAGCCTTCCTGGATGCCCTCGTGAAAAGCGGCATTGACAAGAAACTCAAGAGATTCTTACTGGTTACGGGCGCGAAGCAGTATGGTGTCCATCTCGGACCTGTCAAGAATCCTATGCTTGAGTCCGATCCTTGGCAGACTGACCAGTCAACCTTTCCACCCAACTTCTACTACCGTCAGCAGGATATTCTGAAGAACTTTTACGAGCAGTCAAATGGCCGTATCAGCTGGAATGTCACTTACCCCAATGATGTCATTGGCTATGCGCGAGGAAACTTTATGAACCTGGCTACGGCAGTCGGCATTTACGCGGCAACCAGCAAAGAACTTGGTCAGGACCTTATCTTCCCTGGTTCGGAGAGGTTCTACACTGGATTCGACTGTTTCACAAGCGCCGACCTCCATGCAAAGTTTTGTGAATGGGTCGTGCTCGAATCTTCGACTGCCAATGAAGCTTTCAACGTCGTCAATGGTGATGTTGAGAGCTGGCAGAACCTATGGCCTAAAGTCGCAGAACGATTTGGAACCAAGGTCGATGCCGCTCAATTCCAGAAGTCTCACCCGTTGAGCTCATCTACTGATCTAAACCTCATTCCTCCAATTAGCTTGCACGAGGAGAAGTCGGGACTCAAAGGCATCACCAAACTAGGCAGGATGGAGCAGACGATTGATTTGACGAAATGGAGTCAGGAGTCGGAGGTCAAGGAAGCCTGGAAGAAACTCGCTAAGCGAGAGGGCTTGGATGAAAAGGCATTGGAAGGGGCTACGTGGGGATTTCTCGGTTTTGTGCTGGGTAGGAATTATGATCTCGTGATCAGTATGAGTAAAGCGCGAAAGCTTGGTTGGACTGGGTAAGTTGAATACCGTTCAGAAATGCTGAGTCTCGGCTAATATTGAACAAGATATGAGGATAGTTGGGAGAGCCTGAGCAAGGTTTTCGATACCCTCAAAGACGTCAAAGTTCTTCCCTGAGTTTCCAGGTCGGCCTGCCTGTTATCTATAACGAGATGGACCAAAGAATCCCTAGTCTTGAATCCATTCATGTACCAGCTTCAATTATACTTTTCCTCAAGACTATAGCAGCATGCCGAGCTAGTAGGTTATGTGACTCAACAGCGTCTAGCAAGACAAGCCCAGCTTCAATGGCATCGAGATACTCTCGGTTGTCCTTGGAGTTGGTGCTTTGGCATTCCCGCAACAGAAACATGGCAGAAGAGTAAATATGATACGACAGCGCCCTTCAAAATCAGTACCCTGCAAGTAAGCGCATGGGCGGGGTTGTCTTACCACTGCTTTCTAGTTGATGCCGGCTGATCCCAGCTTCGGTTAATCCAAATTAGGCTCATGGCAGACGTGACGCTAACCGTTCGTGCCCAGTGATATTCCTCGGGAGATGACAGCCACTGCTTTTGAAGAACGCGGTTGATGTGCATGCGCAGATGCAGGAGGACGAGAGTCAAGTCGTAGCGTTGCCATTTGATCCACGGTTGGGTACTCTCAAGAGCTTGGATCTCTGCGTCCGTGACCGCATCACTCTCGGGCTGCAAGTGGCTTGGCAGCGAGTCAATAATGCTCGCTAGTCCCTCGTCGGCAGCTTTGACGATGTCGATGGCACTTTTCAACGACTTGACACCATATTTTAGTGATATGCGAAACTTGTATATGACTTGAGATGTTCGAGCCATGAAGATGTGATAGTGAACGGGGTCCACGAGCATATCCTGTGCCTTGCGGTGGGAGACAGAAGGCAGGGGAATGCTAAAGTCAGATTCGTCTATAACTGGGGATCCATGCGTCAAGTTCAACCTGAGGTTGATTAGCATTGGAGCGATATCGATATCTTGAAGTCTTACCATTCGCAGATGACCAGTGTCCACCATAAACGGCGTTCTGCTTCAAGGCCCAGATACCTCCTTTCCTTACGTTTACCATCATCCTGTGCTAAGCGGAGAGCTTGTGCAATCCGGATCGCCGATACTCGGAAGTGATGTCCCATCTCCGAATCCCCACGGTTATTGAAGGCCATGCATAGGACAGCTATTGCTTGTACGCTGAGCACGTTGGGTACTCGCAGGAAGTCTGCCTTGTGGAGACAGAAAATGGCTGCCTCGTACCAATTTTGAGACACTTGTTCTATGGTAACTCCTGGGGAGAGTGGCAGGCTTTGAGCTTCGTCGTCTTCCATCATCAAAAGAGCTGTCTTTACCACTTGTCATTCCCGCCGTCTGGTAAAAGATCTCGATTGAGTATTGCGTAACTTACACTGAGAACGCTAAAGTAGACAGCGAGCCATGACACGTCAGCCTCAGCAAGAGTAAGGCCTACCTCTAAATCTCCTGCGAACTTATCGCATTCGTCCTTGAATTGAGGATATTCCAGAGCATAATGAACCCAAGAATCCCATGTCATATCAAACTCTATCAGCTTCCTGCTGCAGTCTGCGTTGGGTAAAATGACATCCGCCCAGTCTAACACACAAGAAGCGCTAGTGTGAGACTCCAAAGCCAGGCTTTCCCATAGGTCATCAGCAAGCTCGCCAGGAGTATACTCTAGATCATCTAATGAGTTGCTGGATATATGGAATTGCGGTAGTGTACTGCTTTGACGACGCCCTTGCTGCGCCTTTAGTGTAGTAATCTCCTGTCGCAAGCGATCATTTTCTTCCTTAAGCTCCTGATATGTTGGAGTTTCGGAACCGTCTTGCCATCTGTTTTCTGATCAGCTTCAATGACAAAAATAAGATCAGGATGGTTCGCAGACGTGGTCACCTGGCCCCGAATGAGGACCATTTCCCTGACGCATGATTCAGCCTGGCCACGCTTGATGCATCGTGAACAAGGAACAGATTTATCGCATTTGACTTTGCGAGATGAGCATGATAGGCAGCTCCGCGGCGCTCGCTGCGTGGATCGAAGGGCGATTGCATCACTTGAACGATGTTCCATACTGAGTCACACAAGGGTATCACAAAGGTGAGGTGCTGGAGAATGAGAGGGGGCCCTGATCTCAAACTCAACCAAGCTGACCCGATAATCGCCTGAGTTGTGATTGGACGGGTATACGCGGAGGTGACGCTTATCGGAGCTGACCCACGGTATTTGAACTCTCCGATGTAAGTATGTCAACATCAACCTATATTCCTCTCTAATTTCCTTTACTGCGTGAATAAGGTCTTGTGTCAATTCTTCAAGATGCCATCTGTCGTTGTTTTCCGTGGTGCAGCCATTCACTCTCTTGACCTCCAAACTCTGGAGTTTGTCGACGATGCAACTCTCGTCGTCAGCGACGGCGTCATCACCGGATTTTGGAAGAGCCCTGCCGATGTCCCCAAAGATGCATTTCCCTCAGATGCCAAAATCCACACTCTTTCTCATGGCGAATTTCTGATCCCAGGATTTGTCGACACTCATAATCACGCCCCTCAATGGCCGATGCGGGGTCTTGGCCAAGGCCTTCACATCCTCGATTGGCTCGACCAAGTGACGTTTCCCTTCGAAGCGCGCTTCTCCGATCCAGAGTACGCGAGAAAGATGTATGAACATACAGTTCAGGACTTTCTGCGACAGGGAATCACGACTGCTTCGTACTATGGCTCCCGACACGCTAAGGCGACACGCATCCTAGCAGACATATGTCACGCGAAAGGGCAGCGCGCGTTTGTCGGGAAATGTAACATGGACAGAAATGCACCAGATTATCTTCGTGAGCAAGGCGCAGAGGACTCTCTTCGCGAGACCAAGGAGTGCATTGCTCATATTCGTACCTTAAAGCCCGCCGCAGAAGGTGAAGAGGGGTTAGTGAAGCCGGTTGTTACACCAAGATTCGCAATCTGCTGCACTGACGAGCTTCTTCGTGGCCTTGGAGACATGGTAAAGGCAGACGATACTCTGGCCATGCAAACACATTTCAATGAAGCTCAGCAAGAGATCGACTTCACCAAGGAGCTCTTCCCGCAGTTCAAAGGCAGCGAGGCCGATTTGTACGAGAGTTACGGCCTTCTCAACAAGCGCAGCATCCTTGCTCACTGCACCATCATGACCGACTACGAAAAGGAGCGTCTTGGGGCGCTGAACTGTGGTATAGCTCACTGTCCTATTGCCAACATGACAGTCGGCGGTGGTTTCATGGTCGCACCTATCCGTGATTTCCTCCGTCGCGGAATTAAATGTGGTCTTGGTACGGATAGTGGAGGAGGCTGGGCATCTCAGATGTTAGCAGTCATCAGACAAGCGATGATAGCTTCAAATGCCCGAGAGGTGATGTCCAAGGGCGAAGACAAGGCTCTTTCACTCGAGGAAGTATTCTACCTGGCGACAATGGGGGGCGCCAAGGTTTTATGTCTCGAAGACAAGATCGGGAACTTTGAAGTTGGTAAAGAGTTTGATGCTATTTGGGTGGCTACAACAACAGGACTGCAGTCTGCTATGACTCCTAGAGAAGAGGAAGACTCACTGAGGGGGTTGTTTGAGAAGTATGTCATGACGGGCGATGATAGGAATGTAGCACAGGTTTTTGTTAAGGGTCGACGAGTTGCGGGGAGCCGAGAATATAACTAGCTTTGGCAGGCCCCAGAGCCTTCCTCGGGTAAAAGGGGGGTTGGGCGCATATAGTGGCCTGGCAATTAACAACTTTTCAAATCGACTCTGCTTTAACAAGTCATCACTATCGCTTCTACTCTAAGACTGCCTTCAGCTTGATGTTTGTCCTATGTACTATCACGCTAAATGTATGATTTGCAGTCAAGACCGACGGACTGTGGCTGAGAGCTTAAAACAGCAGATAGAATTTTGTAATATTGAGAGTGAAGCACGACTACCGTAGACCTAAGCGTGCTGCCCTCTCACGTTCCGCGTCCAAACATGGTCGGCAAGCCCGACGCGAGTTCTTCTCTTCCCATCCCAATGATATGTTGCACTGTTCTGTCCCTTTGTCAGGGCAAGACTTTTCTTGATGGTGCCACGAGATGAGGTGACCACAGGTTCCCCAATATCGCACCATTATGGTTTTGCACATTTTGTGTCAGATCCAATGATTACAGCTTCTATCGTTGTTAATTCTTCTCATAATATCGATGTGTGCAAACCTTCTTCTCGCGATGTTGGAAAAGCTGAGAAGAGAGATTTCTGCGGAGAGCTTTTTATACGTGGAGTGGCTTTCTGAATCAGGATATATCATCGTTGTATCTAAGTCACAGATCCTCCTATGGACATGGAAACAATGACCCCAAATTCAACGTTTGTGTATCATGCTAATTGTATGGTAGCCTATGTTCAATTTCCCTTACTCTATAGGCGAGTGGTCTTTCTTCTCTCGTCTTCCTCCGCCTGCCTTTTGGCTTCTTCACAGGGGGAACAGTCTGTGTCAGCCGATCTCCTCGGATTCAGTTCGATGCTAGCACAGCCTCCACTGTCCTTGTTATCACAGTCTAGAGTCTGGACCTCATGGGTGATTTCATGGCCGCATTTGCCGATAACATGTGTGACGATGGTGATGCACATGGCGTGGTTGTTTGCAATTGTAGCATTCAAGTGATTGTTTAATTTCGCGCGTCAAGCCAGTGTATGACAACTTTGGTTGAGTTTATAGCTAGATAGATAGCCATATCCAAGCATACAAATATATAGATATTATAGGTCACTGAATCACAGAAAATGGAGACTGGTGAGCTTACACAAGACAATGTTTGACAAAAGGACGGACTGCAAGATGGATCTTGATTGGTCAAACACCGAGGTGAGCACTGACTAAGGTCGTCCATATCTGGTTAGCCTCTACTGAGCTCGATTAAGTTCACTCGGGTTATCATCAATCCCCGCTTCTCGGCAGATTTCATCCCTTTTGCTTCATCAACAAAACCTCTTCATCACGAAAAGGACAGCAAATATGGAAGGACAACGGCAGCTGGATCGGCTACCGCCAGAGATATTCTCGCTAATTCTACGCAAGCTCGAGCCACGCCAAATCAAGCCTCTTATGCAGACGAGTAAGACCATTAACGCAATGGCCAAGCCAATGTTTTACAGGAGAATAATATTCTCCAGGGACAGACACTTCAGAAGGTTTTTGAGAGTCGCGAAAGGAGATCCCAGGATCCTTAACATGATCCGTCACTTGGATGTCAAAAACGTTGATGCTCGATATTTCTGGCTGCTCCTCTGCCTTGACCTTCGCAACATCGAGAGCGCCACTCTGAGTAATGGGGAGACCATGATCTTTGGAGCCCGTGACGGCCTCGCTGATTTTGAAAACATGGCCTCGCTTCTGGCCGGACGTATAACTCCCAAACCTAGACTGAAGACGGGTAATTTTGTCAATAATCACAAGAATGATAGGGGCTAATAGTGCATATAGTATCTTATGATATCAGGGGCCCTGACCCGCGAATTTTGTCGTTGGATGAGATTAAACTATTCCGCTATCCCAGCCTTACATCTCTGCGCCTCCATAACGTCACACTCGATCGTTATGCCCCTGATCTAGTTCAGCCATTTCCGTTGGAGAATCTAGAGTCCCTCCACCTAGAAGTTTACAACTATTCAGATAAAATTCTGGAAAGGCTCTTGCGAAATGCAAAGAAACTCAAGCGCTTCGAGTTTCACCACCCTATGGAGGAACTCGATCGAGATACACCAAACTTTCCACGACTTCTAAGACCGTGCCAGGAGAGTATCAAGATCATAGAGCTTTACTGGGACTGTCACCGACCGGCCTTCGAAAACAAGCCCATGAAATTTGCCAATTTCACATCTCTTCAATATATCGCCGCCCCACCAAGAGTTCTGTTTGGGGCTTATCCCTACGAACGCGATATTGAGTGGTTGCCCAGGCTCAGAGAGCACCTGCCGCCAAGCTTGAAGGTGCTGTTCTTGCAAGAGATTGAAATATATGAAAGGACCCCGCTATTGGCCCCAGGTCAAGAACTTACTGATGACTATGACCCATGGTGGTATTTGATGCCTGCCGATTACGATATGGTCAAAACTCTCCTCGACTATGAGGCAATGTTTCCAGCGCTTTCTCTTATCGCGTGGACATCGCCAGTTGACACACAACCGCCGTGGCGACTCGACGAACCTGCTGGCAAAATCGGTATCGAACTTAAGTGCGCAAAGACGAGGATACAGTTGGAACCAGACGAAGAGTGGCTTGATGAGCTGGAAAGAAACCCTGCGACTGTGTACTCAGATACTGGTTCAGAGTGTTCAGAGGCTGGTTCGGAGTATTCAGAGGCTGGTTCGGAGGAGGCTTCGGAGGAGGCTTCGGAGACGGGTCAGGATGAGACTTCAGAGGAAAAGCCCTAAAGCAAGGTGAATACATTGTCCATTGTTATGACTTCTTTCGTGCTCAGTGCATATGTTTCACAGCATTCCAGTTACAGTATATATATCTTAATATGCCATTGTCATTAAAGCTTCTATTTTCATTACTTGGTATCAACATTAAAGTCTTATCTATGAGCATCTATGCTTCTTTGTACCGTTCTCGTATAGTCCTTTTCCGCACTGCGTAATGAAGGGTTAGAGCTCGCGGTTGTATCTGGGTATCTTGGGTCTCTCTCCGCCGAGTCATCAACTTCGACCACTACTGATGTCACTGTATCCATCTGAATAGCCGGTCCTCTCAGAGACTCTTGGCTGATGGTGCGTGTCATTCCCTTTCTGCTTCTGTTCTCTGAGCCGCTTGCCCTAACAGGCCACGACCACCATCCTCCAGCGACGTTCTCGTCTGCTTGTTGGCCGCCTTGGATCGAGATGGTGTTACCGAACCGACGAGTAGGTGTTTTGAGGAAGGCGAAGGTGCTCAGTCCAACATCGTCTGACGAAATATCATACTTTGAGGCGAAGACGATGGTGTTCCTGGTTGTGCCAAACAGCAGGCAATCGAAGGAACCGTTAGATGCGATCATGGCACCCGCGAAGCAGAAGTATCCGTTTGGTACTTTCGCGCCAGCCATCGTCGCAATACGGCCAGCCGCAAGAGGAAGGGTACACATGACATAGATGACGGGGTAGATCAGGAAGGCAGGGTTGCGGCTGAGTTGTAGTTGCATGGTATCGGCCTGGCTTGGTGATCCCGACGACTCATATCGGGCTTGACGACGAAGATGGAAGAAGATGATGAGGTACAAGACAGATGTTGTACCGAGGCCGAGGAAGATGTAGAGATAATGTGTGAAGAGTCGAAGGTTCTCGTACTTTCGGTTCATCCAGCACTGCATAATGTTAGAGGGCTGCCGACAGTCACTGGGTTATATGGTACTTACCCAACTTCCAGCGCGGACAAAAAACCCTCCAAACTCGGCCCCATTACGAGTCGCGGCAATTGGAATGAGGGAGATGGCGTAGACAAAGATCCAGATAGCGATAATCATCGAGTACAGCACTTTCTGGGGTGTCTGCCGTCGCTTGACAACGGCTAGAAAGGTATGAATCGCGATTGCAGTGATGAACATGGACGAGGCCAAGTCACCAAGCGACACGAAGAGTCCTTGTGTATAACAAGACGCTGTTCCAACCATGATCGCATTGTTTCGGAGCCACGCCGCGTTGAGAAGGAAGGCGACTCCTTGGTGCATGTCGGCGAGTAGTAGATTGATGATAAGGACGAGGAACTGATTCGGGCGTCGAGGCGCGGTAGGAACATTTCCATCTGCCTTCTCGCTGGCGTCTTGATCGTTCTCTGCAAATATCCCATCAATACCCAGCGTAAAGTCGATCGCCCTCTGAATCGGTCCAGTCGTATGTTGAAAGTGCCCTGAAGGCTGCGACTTGATGAACAAGCTCCATGTCGTAAGCTTGTACACCAAATAAAAGAACAAGGTACTCGCAGAAAAGAACGAAATGAAAGCGAGGACCGTAACGGCAGTCAATCCGTGTCGAAGATCGTCATTCAAAGGGTCCAACGTCCGCCCTTCGACAGGAAGATCGCCCCACGCCATTATGATTGTTTTAAACAAGAGAATCTGTCGAATCTCAGGAACGAGATGCGAACTGCAGATGAGAAATGACAGCCCCCCACGGCTATTAAGAGGGAAAAGACCCTGAATGGGCCAAGAATGTAAAGGACTTGTCGCCCAGAGCCTAGAGGCACAGATCCACGATGTGACATCGCTTCGCAGCTGAACGCCCGTTCTGTATTAACGCTTCAAGGGAATCCTGGCATTTTTTCAGCACTAGAGTTCTCGGCCGACTTTTTTCGCGCCGAGACTAGGCCAACCTAGTCGTTTCTCACGGATGTGGCTTTTTCCGCTGCAGATTCGTGAGAGGAAAAACGTGGAAGTCATTTGGCTATTCTACGGGTCAGTACGTAAGTGAGATCCATTCTTGACATCTTGTCAGGTGGAGCGTTATCCATCGCCCTTGAAGATAGTGGGGATAAAGGGTCGTGTCTCAGGTTGATGAAGAAAAGGAAAAGTCAAAAGAAATATGCTTAGAAAATGGGTCTTGACCGACCCAAAGATCGACTCGCTTGCTACGGCACGATTGCACATCAATAGTGGATGAAAATACAACTCTCCAGTTGACTTCAAGACTCAACTCTATTTCTCTCACCTCAAACACGAGCCTCGGTACAAAATTCATCGTCCTTCTGTTCCTGACATGGCGTAGGCAAGTTAGGATCGGCGCACGCGATGTGGCGTCGAGCGAGTCAGTGTTTAGTGCTCAAACGTTCCTCGCTAGAACATTCTTGGTAAAACGCTCAGACATAGCGGCCATCCCTTGTGTCTTAGCGCACCAAGCCCTGGCGTTTCGGCAGTTTTGGTCATAGCGAACGACATTTTTCACATTTCATGCGTTGAGACGGTCTCGACCGAGCGCGGTCTTTGAGTTTTTGTTAGTATCGGGACTGAATCACGATTGGCAAATGAGGCTGAGTGAGTGAATCGCGCCATGTTGCACTGCTCTGGGCCGTGCTGCTGCAGAAGATGAAACAATACTAATTTTACATGCTTTGGACCTAAAATTGGCTGCTATTGAGTTTGAACTCAGGCCGTGTAAACAAAGCAAGTCTTCATCTCGATCAGTTGCATATCTGCCACCGTAATATTTAATGTTATTTGCCGGGCATAACTCAGCGCTCAGCCCTACTTCACCCATGATCCATGACCGCACATTGTAACTATTCAGGCCGCAGCGCCGAATCGCTTTCTAAACTGTCTTCTCAGCGAATTGTCTCTCGACTTCCTCCGCAAACTTCCCAATGCTATCAAATCTCCATTCAAACGCTACATCTTCTTTCAATCTCTCATAGTCACCTCCAACACCTGTTCCCTCTTTCTTTTCGCCGCCACGAGATATCCAAACACTTCTAAGTCCGAACCGTTTGGCCGGGACGTGATCGGCGGTCAAACTTCTCGCTACGTGTAATAATTCCCCGCGATCCTTGTCGACGCTCAGATCGCTTTTGAGATGATCAAACAAATAATCAAAGTTTGCCTTGGCTGGTTTATAACTGCCGATGTCTTCGGCAGTGTAGACCTTGTCGAATTCAGCGGGCTGTAGGTATTTTAAAGTTGAAGCCGCGTTGTCCTTGTCCATATTGGTTAGAATGATGAGCTTGTAGTGTTTCTTTAAGATTTGTAGGCCCGGAATCGTGTCGGGAAAGGGGAGCCAAGTCCCAGGTAGGGACTCCAGGTGGTTCATTTCTTCTTCGGGTACAGAAATATTGAGCTCATTCGCGAGACTTTTGAACGATCGCGAAACAATGTTGCCGTAGCGTAGGGTAGGCTGCCCCTCTTCGATGACTTGGGTAAGCTCATGAAAACGCTGGATCAATAAGACGGGATTCTTTTTATAGTCGCTCTCGGAAGGAAGACGACTAATGATAGGCTGTAAGCCACGAATCATTCCGGACTCTTGGTCTATCAAAGTGCCATAGCAGTCAAATGACAGAGCCTTGAACGTTGTAAGATCGGGATAAGACATCTTGAGAGCGGTAGGCTGAGAAGCAAATAATGATCTGATATGAGTGAGTTTTGGGCAAATGTATCTATTCTGATATCTAATGGGTAGGAGAGTGGGCAAGAGACTAAGTTTTAGTGAGATGATTGATTAGTATTGATCAAGTTTATATACTCGATTTGCAAGGGCGTCGTTGACGAGATTACGATTTCCTTCTGACCTCTGACGTCAAGGCCGAATCCTTCTGCTGAGGCGGCGAATTCTACCCGAGCAGTGTTTTAGTTTATCGAGTTTTGTAATAATACTGTTGAAAAAACACAATCATCATCGGCTTCCAGTCTCAGATACTACATTCATGAATTAGGCCACTGTAGTAGAAGTATTTCATTAATTATTATATATCGATAAGCGCCGAGCGTTTATTTGTTAAACAAACCAGAAACCAATAGTCTATGAAGCAAAGCAAAAAAACAAACTCGAAAAGAGGTAGTCAGATTGTTGAATGTTCAGCTACCGGACAGCTTGGCAACCGCTGGTGCCTTGCGGATCCAGTCTGGCAGGCCACTCTCAGCAGAATCAACAAGCCATCTGGTCAGCAGACTCCTTGGAATAGAATAGGTATAACCTTTCTGTCCAACATATCCCACGAAAACCTTTCCATCTTCCCTATCTTTCATCCAGCTTTCCTTATCAGGTTCTCCAGGGATGGCCGAGATACGGAATTGGGTCCAATCGAGGTCTTTGGCCTCGTTCTCGAATGTTTTTCCGATAGTGGTGATGGCACGATAAGCGTTGGAAAATGCGGTGCGGACCATGAAGTTTATTGATGGTTGGAGGATAGTAAATGCATCTTCTTTCCGGGTGATGGTGAGCGTTCCCATTGCAAAGATTCGCTTAACGCCATGTCGGCGCATCGCTGGAAAGAGGGAGTCCTTGTAGAAGTCGGGGATAGCGTTTGGGGGTGAGGTGCGATCGGTGATGAGAGGTCCAAGGAGCGAAATGACAACATTGACCTTAGCCACGGCTGTGTCGAGAGCTGCCTTGTCGGTCAGATCTCCTTTGACGGTCTGGGGAGGTTAGCGATTTCCTTCACTCATGAATGCTAGAATACGTAGAACTTACCTCAAGCAATGGATCGGAGGACAAGTCGCTAGGGATCTTCTGGGGGCTTCGTGCATATGCTACCACCTTGTTTTTGCGATACAGTAGCTCGCGAAGCAGACAAATGCCCGCAGGTCCGGTACCACCGAGCACGAGGACAGTTAGCGGAGCCATATTAGATTGATGTGTGAGTCGTTGGAAGATTGCTGAGTGAAGAACAAAAAGTACATAATTCTATTGATATGGGTTATATATATACAATTATCGCTCTACATTCCTAACGTCAGCATCGGATGCAAAAAGTATCCGTGTAGGGACCACCTAAATTTGCGCGCGGAGATTGATCGTGTTCTGCGAACTAAATCCAATTCCGGACGCAAACTGACCAATCTCAACGACTCAGATGTGCTAAGCTTGCCCTTTCGGGTTTAGCATGCCCAAGAGTTTCCGCGCGGAGAGTTCAATTTTCGAATCGCCCGCAACATCTCTCGCATAATCATAATTACAAACGATGAGAAATAACGGAAGCTGTTGGATCTGTCGCGTGCGCCACAAGAAATGTGACGAGACCCATCCGACTTGTGAAAACTGTGCGGCGCTCGGCTTAGCGTGCCATTTCAGCGATGATAAGCCAGAATGGATGGACAATGGCAAGCGACAGCGTCAGATGAGCCAGCGCTTGAAGGCTCAGGTGAAACGTAATGCTAGATACAGAAGAGGAAGGTATATGATTCAAAAGATTACTCATCAAATCGACAATGGGCCAACTCAAGCTGGATCATCTGTTTCACCCCTAGTCCCTACTCCAGGCTCAACATCACCTGGCATCACTGGCTCCGAGTCGGTGGACGACACGACACCGGCGTCTTGGCCCAGCAATATTGACAGTGACATCTCAATATATACAGACAGCGGCTTGCACAAGGTACGCAATACAGTCGACCTACCACTACGTGAGAATCCCCAGCACTTCCTCTTTGGACATACTTTTCGCGAAACGCTAAACGTCAACCTCGATGGCGAGGAGGATCTCCGTTTCCTCATGACCTACAAGGACTACGTATTTCCACTTCTTCACCCATTCTATCACACTTCGTTCTTTGAAGGCGGGCATACCTGGCTTCTGGTTGCTGCCTTCAGAAACCCCGAGTCAAGACAGTTGATCGTGAGCCTTGTCACGTACTTCTTCTCAGTCGTACCTCTGGTTCCTGGCGCCGGAAATACCTCATGTTCGGCCTTTACCTGGGAACAGGTTCAAAGGAAATCGGAGCAAGCTTTCAAGGGAATGCAGCATAGGGTTGAGATGCTTGGCGTCGCCGCGAATCTATGGGAGAGAACGCATCTCTTTGGAGACATCATGCTATTACTCGAGTTCGAAACCATGACTCAGTACTCCCAAGCATGGAGACCTCATTTAGATGCTGCGTTGATACTCTTTAAGCAAATCCTCGACTCGCCAGAAATAAGGCATGTTGTGTGGCGTTTAACCTTTGATCCAATGGACATGTCGGCGCAGGAGGCGAGCAAAATTGATGGCTCGGGCATCAACTTGTTTTCTTCTACACAAGTGGCTTTGCGCTTTTTCGCTGCCAAGATCATTCTCGCCGACATCATATCTAGTAGTGTACTTGAGCAAGTACCACGTCTCAACGACTATTACGAAAAGTTGATATCAGGTCAAGTTGACGACAATCTGAGCATGAAAGATGTGACTGGGTGTGAGAACTGGGTTTTTCTCAACATTGCAGACACAGTGGCCCTCGACGCCTGGAAGAAAGAGACAAAAAGGAAGGGGAACTTCTCCTTCATGAATTTAGTCCAAAGGGCAGGCAAGATTGTCGAAAAGCTTGATCAGGGCCTGGCTATACTGAACGATGAAGAGAGTCGAGCGCAAAACGCTCCTCATCAGCGACGCGAGGTTTTCGCAGAGTACACTCTGCTACGAACCATGCGTCCTCCGCCCGACGCTTATTATGCCATTACTCGGATATGGGCCACCGCTGCCAGACTTTATCTCATCGTTGTACTCTCCGGTTGGAGCACCGAAACCAACGAAGTTATTGAGCTCGTGTCTAGTAACCTCAAGTTACTAAAAGACTTGAGTAAACCGAGCTGGCTGATGACCTTGGCCTGGCCCTTCTGCGTTACAGGCTGCTTGGTGTCCGAAAGTCAGGAATCGGTAGTGGAGAGCATCTTTGACAGAACGAAGCCACTGAGTAACGTAGGCGGATTGACTGAGGCTATGAAGATCGTTCGAGAGACGTGGAAACGGCGAGGGTCGTTGAACCACGAGTGGGACATGGCGGCTTGCTTTAAGAGTTTGGATGATATTCCGTTGCTCGTTTGAGAGGTCGAAGATACTTTGCATTGTTGAGGTCCGTCAGGGGGGACTAAGGCCGAGATAAGGATTGACAGACTGGAGTGAGAATAATGTCGGATATTATTGCTGAGATAACAAATAGGTCTACAAGCAACCCACCCGCCCATAGCTTAAAGTTATTAATAGCAATACTCACCTTAAGAGTCCGCCCATCCTTCATCGTGCCGACTGGCAGGCTTGTGTTTTGGAGACTCGGGTTTACCTGTTAGAAATTGTCAAAGTTAGCAAACAACGCTGTGAGAGACTCAAACAAGATACAATAAAAAACCTCAAATGTCAGGCGATGTCGGTTCAATGGGTCCTCAAAGACGCAGTATTCCATGCGAGTAACCTCAGTTCGGCAAAATATTATACATCATATAGAGTGGAGCGGAAGAGAAATAGGATGTACTGTACCTTTTATGAATGATATTCTTGACTGATGACTGGTCTTTTCGGATCTGAGCTACGAGACTTTTGTTGAAGTTTATATGCTACGTCTTGTATCATTATGTACCTCACTTCATCGCTTTTTCAGCTTCCACTTCACGGTACAATAACAGCTTGGTGCTCACGATGAATCATTTTGCATAGTTTGGTAGATATTTACGTCACGCCGAGACGAAAGGAGTTCGGCGTGAGAATATCCCCTGTTACAGATGCTGCAGAGTAGCGGCTCGGGCTCGATGAAGTGCCCGTCGGAAGGATGAAGGGCCTCACTTGAAGTCCGCCGTTTCTCAACCCACCATGTCAGCAATCGGCCGAGTTGGACGCTTCAATTCACTTATGCACACCGGACACATCGAGACACATACAATGAGAAACGGGCACGAGCGATGCAATTATTGTGTAGTAAGGTCTACAAAGATCTTCTGAAGCTAGATACCTAATGCTTGATGGAATGCCTTGGTCAGTACACAGCACAACTTCCTGACTGATATTGAGTCTCTTTTACATCTCAGTCAACGTCCTGAAAGCCACACTAACTTGTGCAGATTAAGCTGCCCAACAGCGAGTGTTGCATCAATCAAGATACACAGATAATGACCCCAACTTTCGACATGGGATACTCGGAATTAGACATCCTCGATACAGGATGATACAAAATGACTCATGGTGATTCTCCCGATTTGGAAATCTTGAGCTGGGGACGGCTGGCGCTGATTGGATCGCGGGCAAATTGATCCTCATTGAGAGTGAATAAAGGTCATGAAATATAGAATATAAATTTACACTAAAGACAAACAATCAAGGCCTTTAAGTTTAATCTTCAAAATCTTCAAGGTTCGGATTTCCGGCGTTATATGCTTGTTTTTTTGTATATTAACTAGACCTCCAATGAGGCTCACCATGACCAGCGTATCCGGGGTACTTTCACCGATGAACTTCCTGATGCCCATGCTTGCAATTCTTCTAACATTCGTTACGCAAAGCTCAGAATGATTAGGGGTACCTTTCACCTATGTCCATATGCTGAATGGAGTGCAATATCTAGCCTGCGCATCTAGAGTTATGCAGGTATGCTTAATTCACACGATAGGTCGGGGAAAGACGAGAACCGGCAGATCAGGTTGTGTTCGGCAAATGTCAACTGCCGATCGGCATTGATGGAGCGTCGAGGTTGGCCAGCTGCCAACTCGTTATCCAAATGAAGTGAAATACAACGCTGATCTCATTTCAGAATTAATAAATCGTCGATTAAACATAGCTTGGTATCATGCCCCGTATTAATTGATGAGTCCCTTCTGGGTTCTGGGGATAAATGTCCCCGGACCTAAAATTCCGGCCGCATCATGTCCTGCTCCGCAATTCATGTGGTGTCATTTTGATCCCAGCGATTCCGCCGATCCACCGAAAAAACACGAATAACCTTTGTACCCTCGGAATGCATCATTACAACTTCCTCCATAACCGGGTCGATTTTCGTACAGTAACTGTGGTCGGCCCTAGGGTAACGCGCGTTGCGTTTCGGTGCCCGTGCTTGACCCTGAGTTCAATCGTGGTAGCGAAAGAACACAACTGCTTGGCATGAAGGCCAGGTCGGACGACAATTGCGCGTTGGGTGATTCAAGAAGGACTGCAATTTGGTTCCTTGTATGCTCCGATAAAGAAAGCGAATATGTTTCTTTGGTCGCCGACAATGACGGCTCAGAGGGAGAAGTGGGTTCATTAACGAATGGCATTTTGGTAGGTTATCAGGCGGTTTGTAAAACAGATCGGCGATGGAGGACTACCTCGAGTAATTTGAGCGAATGCGCCGCATTTATAACTGGTGTACTGTGTTTATATCACCTGTCACGGGGTGTTGGGTGAAGCTCCGCAGTCTTTGATCCAGAAAATGGACACTCTAGACAGTGTATGTAAAGTCTGCGTATGCGGGGTCTATCTGCCCACGTTGCATCCGGACCCTTCGGCATTTCAACGCTACTGACCGCCCTACGTAATGAAATACAGGGTCCAAGAGACATCCTGTTTTAAATCCCAACGTGTGACTCTCTCATGTTCCTTTTCTTGCTGCTTTCTCTTCTCTTTTTGGTCTAACTAATTAAACCTGTTTGATTTATGCCTAGGCAATCATCTTTGGTAGTCCAATGAACGTGGCGCTACAGACTTGAGCTCGGACAAGACTCTAAGCGAGGCCTTGATTTACAGTGGGTTATCCAGCCCCCAGCTGATGCTTTGGGGTCGCTGTCACGGCATCTGGACAATTGCACTGGATCATCGCCGAAGCGTCGCAGTTGATTCATACCCGTAGCCCTTCTTTGTGCTTCCTGTCCACCAATCTCAACGTAAATCTCTAATCAGTTCGTGAAGGGAGGATAAGCACTGTACGCAATAAAACTTGCATTGGCATGTGACTGATGGTTGCAACCCATAGCCTTTTGACACATGAAGCCCCCAAAGACCCTTCGAGAACGGTCCGCCACCCTTAGTAAAACGCAGGGTTCAATATGCATCTCTGGCACGAGACAGCCTACAACACGTCATAGCAGGACTAACCATCACTTTCGGGGAGTGGTTTTAAGGGCTTCTCTGGTCCCCAGGAATGAGCGATACTACCAATACTGAGAATAAAACACATTACATCATTTTTACTGCCAACCAAGTATTAGCCCTCGGAACTTTGTACTGGAACCAGACCAAACAAACCGAGATGGATACAGATAAGAACAAGCGCCTCCTGAATCGATATGGGATCCTCCCAAAGCGAGGCAACCTCCTCAATCACCAATTAGAGGTTCGCATGAACCATCTTGGGCTTAACATACGCCAAGCTGACAGTTTTGGTGCAAGGGAAGAAAATATTTCGACTCGGGAGACTTTGCTCTTAACCAAGCTCATCGGTCATCTAACATTGGCAACGTCACAACAGGTCGCGAACATCCAATCCGTCAAGACATATCAGAGCCTTCTAGTTCCGTCCCGAGTTCCAGCAACATTGATGATAACACGACCCAACAGTCATCAACAAGACGAAGAAGCCCGGAAGTTAAGTTTCATGCTCAAACTCACCTTCATCAAGAGATGGAAAGCCCACCCGAGATTGAGGATCATGGGACAGAAGAGAGAAATAACGGGTAGGTGACTGTTGATATGGTATGCGTTTAAGAAACATGACTCAATTTGTGAACTTTGAGGTCTTGTCGTGCAGATGGAAAGTGGATATTCACCCTGAGCCTGTTGAAACCTATGTCTCCATGGCTGTCTATGTAATTATAGCTTAAGAAAGCTCTCTTAAAACATCAACATCGAACCTCGCTCTCCTCTGACTTCTTGCTCTGCATTAGGATCGTCTTGATACTATCAGAAGAAGCGTAATTGGTTTAGTGGTAAAATTCTCCGTTGCCATTCGTGCAGCGTCGGGGAGCCCAGGGTTCGATTCCCTGATTACGCATTGATAGAGCTGAAGCTCAAGATGTCTTTTTGCGGTTGTATTATTCTATATATTTGTGAGTTTTGCCATGTTCCAGCCCAGCGGCAGAAGCTACATTGAGGTATAGACGGAGCCGAAGCAGGAGCTCGAGACTTTGCTTGGTCACGTGGCAATACAGATGAAATGTTTCCAATTCTAGTAACTCAGTCCACTTCTGGCACAGTATCTGCGTACAGTTGAGGTGGAGGTAAAGTTACTGGGACATTATAGTTGAGAACTCATAGTCAGAGTGTTGTACTTTTTTATTGTTTCTTTTCTTTCTATACTCACTGCTGTGAGATGTCTACTTTGCTCCACCAAAACTCAGACTGCTTACGAGCCCAATCATCTTCCGTAAATACAGCAGTCTTGCCAGCATCTCCTCCTATCAATTCCTCATTCCCTTCGCCGAATCTCAACACTTTGGGGCTCTTGGGATCATATGTCTCCCATTTGGGTCTCTGGGGGTACTCTCCCGGTACGGCATTGGGATCACCTCTGGTGATGAAGCTGGTAACGTAATGGTTCAATGTCTTGGCAAAGTCCTTTTGTGTTTCGGAGACACCGATAACTTTAGGATCGCAGACTTCGTAGCGCATATTATCGGCGTGTTGAGCACCGTTGTTGACCGTACTGACGGCGGCCCAGTGGTAAAGGTAGACGGGAACTGATGGGGAGGCGAGCTCGGCTGTCTGGCGTGCGGGAGCGACATAAGCATAGTGGGCATAAGCAGCCTCGATGCGCTTATACTGTGAGCCCATATCCTTGCGTGTCTCCTTGTACTCAGAATCCTCAAACTTGGCTGGATCTCGGTAGAGCTCCTCAATAGTGTCCAAATCCTCGGAGGTAAGCAGTGGCAGCAACTCAGCCCAGAAATGTCGAAACTGGGAAGACTCCGACATTTGCTTGTTCACATAAAGCGAACCTTCGTTCGTTGTGAAGCCAGTCATTATAGGCACCTTATGCCACTTGCCCGACTTCCATGTCTCAAGAGGCGGTCGCGCGATGACTTCACCGTCAATGACAGGTTGGAAAGCCCAGCGAAGGGAGGGGTTGTACTTGTCAAATGTGGCTGTTTGCGCATCTGTGATGACCTTCTCGGGCTGTTGGCGCAGATAAGGAAAGATTTCATTCTCTGGGAGATCTTCAGGAACGCCGACTGCGTGTAGGAAGTCCTTGAACTGGGCTTCATGAATCGGCGCGTTGTAAGGTCTCACAGCTCGTGATGTAGGCGCTCCAGACTCAATAATGGCTTTATGAAAGAGAGGGGCAACGCCATCCTTGTAGTGCATGATATGATGACCGATCTAGTTGAAGTTAGTGGACTGTATGCCTAGGTTGCCGCTGGAACTTACAGAATGAGCACCGGCAGACAGACCAAACAACGTGACATTACTCGGGTCACCACCGAAGGCTGCGATGTTTTCTTGCACCCACTCCATCATGAGGATCTGATCTTTCAGTCCAAGGTTCAGAACGCCCTCCTTAGCACTCAGACTCGAAGGCAAAAATCCCAAAGCTCCAATTCGATATTGAAACGTCACAGCAACAAACGCCTCGGGTGCATTCGCTACCATCGACGCTGTCTTGTGCATATGCGCCGAACCTCTATTAAAGGCGCCTCCATGTATGTATAATGCGACTGGCAGTTTTGCATGTTTGTCCGCTGACTTGCGAAAGATATTCGCCGTCAAACAATCCTCACTTTGTTCAAGGGTTGGTCCTACCAACAGTCCCTTGCCTGGAGCTGCCGGGCCATATTCAGATGCATCGATGACTTTGTCAGGCGAAGCTGGGACTTTGACGGGGAGGCGGAAACGGAGATCTCCTGTTGGGGGTAAAGCGTAGGGAACGCCCATCCAACCATCTACAGGTTGGGGTAGGCTGTCATTCAGCTTGACGCCGACAAGCTTGCCCTGGGGCAGGGAGATGGTTGGAGTGTCTGGAGAAATTTGGCTACCCATTTTGACTTAATTTGCTATTGTCACAAATAAGCGCTCGTAAGAATACAATGGTTAAATACAATCAAGACTCTACACTGACGAAACCCAACGTTGGAGTAGCGCCATCAATATGAGGGGCATATTCTCGGCGTCCAAAAACCGCTCCGCTGTCCACGGCTCCGTTCCGACAACGGCTTCAACAACAAAATCACCGGAGATAAGTGCCATCTGCGCCCTATCTTTCCAATCTGAGAAATAAAACACGCGAATCTCCCTGTTGAGATCGGGGAACTTCCCTGCCCCGCGATTTCGCTTGCTGAATATGGACCCGATCGTGGCCGGTGTTAGATCTAAGGACCGAGTATCGGAGGTTGATAGCGGCCAACTGAAACTAGGCCTAAACCCCGCAAACTTGGGTGACTTTGGTGAGGTAGTCATTGGCGAGAATGCCGTTTGCGCTGTCTTGACTCAGGAACTGCGGCTTCATTGGGATGAGATCTGCATGATAGACTGATAGGGTTAATTCGCTTGGATGATACGAGAATTATGTACCCCGGATGATTGTCTATCGCTGTTTGACTGAAGGAAAGGCTATATGGGTCTTTGATCTCCCCATCATCATGAATCTCAAAATGTTCTCACGAAGCGAGATACCTACCTAACCTCTCATATTCAGTTGGGGTGTCGAGAGCCACTGGTCTAAAGATCTCCTAAGTTATCCTAAATTTACCTAAATCTTTCGTCGCTTAGGACAAAGGCCCTAAATCTCTTGCCTTCCCTAAAGATGTCACCAACAACTGGGCCGTTGCCCGACAACAAGAAGCTCGCCGAAGAGCAAATCGCCATGAAAAAGCTCGACTCAATCACACCGGGCGAAATCGTCGAGCTTGACGCTACAGAAACCTTTCTTCGTCATCATAACTTCACAAACGAATACATCGGCGAATTATTGACCGATACGGAGCTCAACAAGAAGCTCATCCGAAAAGTTGACATGACCCTGCTAACGCTAAAAAGCTTGGTGGTATTCTTACCTATGGCATTGGCCAGATCAAGAACTTTCCCGTCTGGAAGGCTGTGTTCATGACCTGTGGAGGCATGATGGTCGTCTGGGGCTTCGTTCTACTGTTCTTCCTCCCCGATAGCATTATGTCAGCTCGCCATTTCACCCTCGAAGAATGGGCCCTTCTCATCGGCCGTGGCCGTCTCGCTCGAACTGGTGTCCTGAACAAGACCATCAAGTGGAACCAGATCCGGGAGGCGTTCATCGACCCTCAAGTCTGGCTTCTTGTCTTGTTCATGCTCCTCAACGAAACTATCAATGGAGGCATCGCCAACTTCGGCAAGCTCATCATCAAGGGCGTTGTCAAGGATCCTCTTGAGACAGTCGCTCTTGGTATTCCCATGGGCGCATTCCAAGTCATGTACATTCTATCGGGCACCTTCCTGGCTTCGCGCGTGAAGAACTGCCGCACCATTATCATGGTTGTCTACCTTATCCCCACCATCATTGGAGTTTGTCTACTCTGGAAGCTTGATCGTGAAAATCACAAGATCGGTGTGCTTTTTGGTTATTACATTATCGGTGCCTTTGTTTGTTCCTTGGTCCTCGCGATGCAGATGCCCGCTAGCAATCTCGGCGGCTACACCAAGCGTATCACTGCTTCTGCAATGGTATTTATCGCCTACTGTATCGGGAACATCATCGGGCCCCACGCTTTCTTGGGCTCGGAGGCCCCTTTGTATCAATCCGGATGCATTACGATTCTCAGCTGCTTGGTTGCTCTAAGTTCTGTCTGCTGATTTAAGCTCTCAGCCACAAGCCGCAACTGTAAATAACACATCTAGCTAACAACTTAGACATTATACCATAATGACTAACCACGGTTGCTCAGATGGTTGTCGCGATTATGCTTCGAGTACTCTTGTCCAGACGAAATGCACGACGAGATGCCGCGGCTGCGGCTGTTGGGACGAATAATGAGGATGCCTCTGAAGTGGATGGAGCTGACTTGACAGATTTCGAGGTGAGTTTCTTGACATTCATATTGGCTTTGTGACGATACGCTAACGCAAGAGTAGAACCCTCACTTCCGCTACGTGCTGTAGGCTGATAATATTTCGACGCGATACAGAGACAAACATTGCCAGTTTGAACGAATTGCATAAGTAGTTAAAAATGCATTTTCTAAAAGCCATATGCAGGTGATAAGGCTTCCTCCAAAAATAATGTTATGATCAAGTGACCTGGTCTAAAGAGCCACCAAGATACACTAAAGTTACCTAAATATGTTCATCATTTAGGACAACGGTCCTAAGTTTCCATCCCTTTTCTAGGCAGTGCCGCCAATACGCTTTCCCATGATATGACCCCAAAGACATTCTCTTACCTAGAATCATCTTTCGTCCCTGGTGTTACAGTGTTATTACAAGCTCCTGTCCAAGTCCCCGTCCTCGTCCGCTACCGTGATAACGGTCCAGGCCACGGAAATATGACTTCGTAAGTTGGAGCACCGACGAAGAAGCATAAACCAACAACCCACTCCTTAGTATACAAAAGCAGTGGTCCGTTGTCATTTGAAAGCCGAACCCCAAGAGACACGTGGTGGTCGAGGTCGTTTGCAAGATACTCCTCATCTGGCTGGTCTTCTGACCAGAGCGACGTGAAGACATGGGTGAGATCATCCTCTTGCCGGCTGAAAAGCTCGTCTGACTCATCGAGATTTCGATTGCGCATGAATATCGCGCGTGCTATTGTAGCCTCTCCAGATGGGTCGCATAGATAGCCCAGTTTTAAAGGTTGATCTGCATCCATTGCTCTGACGAGTTCCTTTGCCATACATCTTCGATACCGCAGGCTGAAAGACTCCTCATCTACAACAAAGGCATCTTCCTCGAGAAAGTCCGTCACATCATCCACTATCTGTGCGTCCTTGCGTCCTTTCTTTGCCTTCACAAGTTCTACTAGCTGTCACAAACGGGTGCGCTCATAATCTGATAGTTGCTGTTCGCCTTTCCGATTTGGCTGTGATAAGCGTGGCAATGACCGCGGCGCTCGAAGAGTATCGTCTAACTCCCAGAGATGACCTCTCGTGACTATCCCAGGTTTAGTGAAGTTGACATCGACGAAGCGACAGCTCTTGTTAAAAGTCAGCCTTTTGGCGCCCTTGGGAGCTCTAAAGTCGTCAAAGAAAAGGCCGTTGATCTGCTCAACCATTGGCTCATGCTCTGACACAGGTGGCTCATCGTTTTTGAGTATCTCGCCGTTCACGAGCCGAAGGGCCAGTATCGCGAGGTCTAGGTTTACACCGCTGTGTTGAAGCCGCGTACTATTGAGACGTGTCGCGTATTGGCAGCAGTTGGCGATGATGGCTAGACAGTCCCATGGCTCTTTCACACCTCGTTTTCGAACGTCTGAAACAATCGTTCCAGACATGGAGCTTGAAAGCGGCAACAATATGGTATACTTTCCAGCAGTCGCCAGTATATGATCAATCATTTCCTCATCCTCAGTTGTCACAAAGTGATGTCGGCGAAAGGCCAGACAAAATTTAGTGGCACTTTCTGAGAACCTGGCAGACTGGACACTCAGCTCGCCAGGTACTACACCAAACATTGGTTTCTTGCCGCTGAGTATCGACCGTTTTGTGTCCTCAAAGTCGGCGCTGTGATGGATCAGAAGCGTCATTTGGAGGCCAGCTCTGTAGTTCTCCTGGAACGTCCACGCTCTTGTCCACCATTTATCGCGAGTGATTTCGTATATCAGGCATAGCATTTTATGCGCCTGACTATACTCTGCGCCCTTAGACAGCGCGAACTCGCCCTCGTGGTACTTGACAAGGGCACCTTTGAGTATCGAAGAGAGGGTCCTCATCTCATCCTCATCTTGGATCGGGCGGCCAAGTAGCGCAACAGGATGATCGCTCAGTGAGTAAACACGGTCCATTGCATCGAGAGCGTGCCTCTTTTGTCGGCACTCAGCATGTGTGCATGCTGACTGCTTGCATTTCTTCTGTGGGATACTATGCCGATCGATCCACAGAAGCGGCACGTCATGGCACAGCATGTACTTGGTGATCCGTTCAAGCACTGAATTTCGTACTGAGGAGCGCCAAGCTCCTTGCCCATCCCTTGTCTCGATTTTATGACCCTGTTTCGATGAATTTTGCGTCTCGTGCTCGGAAGCGTCCCAAGTGTACGAGAGCGCAACAAAATCACTGTCTGTGAATCCGTTGACAGTTTTTCTGAACCAATAAGGTGTCTCGGACTTTTCATCGTCATCTTGAGTAATCTTTCTCTTCTTGGATTGTCGTCGGCCGAGACATTCGAGGTTCTCGACGATCCATATCATCTTTTGCTGCGGGATTCTGCATTTCTGTATCTCGAGGAGTAATGATATGATGTTGGGCTCCTCGTCAGGTGTGTGACTGCTCCGAAGGACACGTTTTGTGGCCATACTTTGGGCCGCTGGAAGGACATTTCGGGTTTAGGGGATGCAGTTGATTCGACAAGGGTGAGATTTCTGGTCAAGGATGACGACGTCAGCGCCGCTAGCTCACGAGACGCGTCCTCGGCTGCCAATCACAGTCCTGTCTCGACTTATGTGGGTCTATCATCTCTGTATGAAATGGTTTAGGGTATCTGAGGTTATTTTCAGATCAACTTCATCTCTTAAACATCTTCTACCCAAGTTCCCGGCATTAGACTGTCCTGTTTCCGCCTAAAATTCCCATCCTTCCTTTCTTTGCGTTTTTGGTTTCTCTCAAACCGTTTTTGGGCCTTTTGCAATTCCCGATCCACCCATTCTGTCTCATCTGAACTATAGTCGTTGTAGTAACGAAGAGGAAGCCAAAAAGGCCATCCTTTTCGATGTCTATCAGATCCGTCCGGAGCCGCCAAGGTTTGACGTTGTTTCCAAGCTTCATGCTGTACAATGTATGCTTGTGTCGAGCCTCCTGGGTATAATGTGAGTGGCATCGCAAAGTGTTCATGTTCCGTCAACAATTCCTTAGCAGTGCATTCATCATGGACTGAAAGGGCCCAAAATGGAAATTGTCGACCCTTTGACTCCTTGATGAATAAGACGCGTCTGTAGTTCGAGCAACCAAGTTTCATGTTAATCCAATATGGCGTATCGCGCCACGTTGCAAAGCAGCACTCCGTCTCGACCATGAGATATTCCTTGATGTTAACGCCAGCTTCCTCCAAAATGTCTATCCATCGATGCACATTTTCCAATATCTCATCAGTGTCCCAATTGTAAAACAGGATATCTTTCAAGGCACTGAAGTCAGTGTTGCCTCGAAGCTGTTGATGGATGTCCAACCCTCTGGAGACACAGTCTGCGATAAGTCCTGCCCATCCTTCGGTGTTTACTCTCGAGTCGTGCCTGAACTGTTTCATGGCGTATCTCCAGACCGAAGTGTTGAAAGCCACCATGTTACTCGGGAAATGGGGCTTGCATGCTTCTACGCATATCTGTGCGTTGTAGGGATCTTCAATACCTCGTAGGATCATGTGAAATTCGGACGCCAGAATGGAGTCTCGACGTATCTTGATGTATTCTAGGACGCATCTAGGTCCATCTTCCCCGTTAAAAGCGTACAAATACCTTGCACTGCCAATATGGTTTCTAAAAATGTTAGCATGTCCGTTCATATCTGTCTACAGCTAAACCGTACCTGCTGGATGGGTCAAACGTTTGCGTTGCGAGAAATTTAAGAATTGACTTCGCTTTTGTCAAGGCCGCAAGCTGTCGTCGCGTTAGAGCGATAAAGAGATAATGCTGTTCGACTTACGCCTAGAAGAGAAGTTTCATTATCAGGATCATATTCGTCCCAGGCAATGACTGTTGAAGGTGTTAAGATGCCTTGAGTAAAATATGTCTTGATTTGACCTAAATTGTCATCCATAAAAGCGCATTCAATCTTGTCGCCAATCTGTCGCTGGCCTTGCTCGAAGTAAATAACTCGCGGTATCTGTAGAGTGATACAGAACGGGGCGAGGTTACCACGCCGTAGCGATACTTTGACGTACAAACCTAGCAATGTAGAACCTATCGTGAAGAAAGAATCATCCTGAATTGTTGATGAGCTTGTGTCGAATGAGGATTCTTCCTTGGTTGTTTTTCTTGTCCATTGTACAAATGCCTTTGTGTTCCAGGCTTTTCTCCATGTATCGACGACAGTTTCTTGGCTTTTTTGACGCGCGTGATGACCATCACATTGCTCGAGGTCTCTGACATGTGGCCCCTCTCGTAGATCTCTAGCGGTTGAACTAGTTGTGGTTTGCAAAGGGCTCCGGACAGCCTCGTGAGACGTCATAGTCACAGCCCTGAAGAATTAGCAGGAAGCTTGCAGGCTACAGGCTGGGTGTACTGTACAGAATATTTGCCGTCATGTGCAGCTGAAGCGAGGAAAGACAACGGTCCAGTCCAATTGTGGCGAGACGAATCTGATCTTTATGGCGTAGAAATAGGGCTCCAACAGTCTTCAAGGGATTGCGGGTATTCTTCTGCATTCTTGAGATTGTATTAAGAATGCTATGGATGTCGGAAACTTTAGATAGACATTGCTGAATAATACGACTCAACTTCTTAAGAAGATTGACTTCCAGCGTGGTGAGCCTTTGGATTCTATCTGAAAGAATGATTTCCAAGGAGCAACAAATGGGTTCAATATCATCAAGCTTGTCGGCGAGACTTTCGAGCTCTTTCGCCGCTGACTTGTAGTGTGCGATGAATTCCTTGACGGCCTTTGCTGTCTGCACCAGCTGCATTGCTAGTGACACAATTCCGAAGCTTAGAGAGGCAGGGTCCATAGTGAATAAAGAATGTCGATGGTGAAGTCTGGATTACGAGGATGAGACGAGTCTTTTGATGTTGGCGATGAGGGAAATCGGGCTGCGCAGAATGCCTTGGAGGGGCTGTGCAAAATATTGCGATCTCATTCGATGGATGTTTTCTCATCGCCAACTTGTGTTGAATTGTGATTCGCCTACTCTCGTAGCCTGCATAAGGAGGGGTGCAGTTTATGAGCAAACCACCAGATGCCTGAGTTTCACTAAAACAACAATTATTTATATTAATTTGAGAATCAAGAGCTGAGCATGCAAAAGTAACCTATCCTCCTCAACCTCTTTCATTCTACCCATGCTCCTGGGACTCTCTGCCATCCGTTTCCTTTACCGTTAAGCTTTTGATGCCTGCGATGTTCTTTTCGTTCAAAGCGACGCTCCTGCAATTCGCAGGCTCGATCAGCCCAGTCTGCTAGGTAATCTCTGTCACCATCCATAGGGCTGTATCGTTTGAGAGGAGGCATGACAGGCCAATACATCATCGAAAAGTGTGATGCATCGAGGTTTCTTCCGCTGTGCCATTTTTTGTATACGTCGGTGCGTTCATGCCAGGACCCCCACCGGATTCTTCTGTCCATGTATCGCAGAGCTGGGAATTCAGCCAAAAGTTCGCGTACCGGGCACGAGGTGTCAGGGTATTCGATCCATGATGGGAGCATTCGTCCCTTGTGATACCCAAAACCAAGAGGTCGGCGCACAGCCGAGTCTTCGAGTCCGCGAAGGCCCCAGGACTTAGCTTCCGTCCAGTTTTCAGAACAATATTCTATGGCAGCTGTCAGATAGTTCGCTACGTCGACCCGAGCTAGCTCCAACACGTCGACCCAGCGGCAAACACGATACCAAGCATCATCAGGGTCAAAGGAATACCATAAAATGAACCATACGGTTCCGGTGAACTGGTGGTATTTGGAGCTGGTGAGTAATCCTTGACTGCGCGCCACAATATCTGTGAACAAGGGTGCCCAGTCCTCCAACTGAGCATTTGACATCTGATCAGCGGAAAGTAGGCTAAAACCATAGCTCACCTCACTCAGAATGACATCATCGAAGCGGCACCAATCGTGAGGAAAATACTGTCGACAAGCTTGTACACATGCAGTCATATGCCGGGCCTTATGTGTGAATAGTAGGATGCGGAACTCTGTTGGAGTCATTGAAGCTTTGCGGAAATGAATGTACTCGAGAATGCAGCTGAAGGCTTCATCTGATACGGGGTATCGGTACGGGAAGGAGAAAGGAGCTAAATGATTCCTGTTGTCCTTAGTCACCAGAATTATACTAAGCTACTTTTGTTTAACATACCTTCGCTCGCTTAGATTCATTTGAACTTTCAAGAAGTTGAAAATCCTCCGAGATTGAAGTGACATAGCGAGCTTAAGCAAGGTCAGGAAGCCTGGTCCATTGAGGGAGGTGGAGAAAACCTACACCCAACAGCGATGCTTCATTTTCAGGATTATATTCCGTGTACGTGACTATTGTGGCGGTTGTGAGAAGTCCTTGGCTGAAAAGATCCTGAGTCGCTTGCAAATCGTCGGTTTCAAATGCCTTTCGAACACTTTCACCAGCACCGGTGGCATCTTCGGAGATCAGAAGTACCCTCGGGATCTGCAACCGAACAGAAAGGGGGGCAAAAGACCCTCTAATTACTGATAACTGTATGTATGTGTTCAACAGTGATGAGCCAAAGGTGAAAGTCGAGCTTTGCTGTGTATGGACCCAAGGCTGGGCATTTGAAGCGTCAAAGTTCTGTATTCTCGATTTCTGCGTCTTTTGAAGAAAAGCCAAATTTGAGCATTGACGCCTCCATCTCTTGGTAAGCTCTTTCGATCCATACTCAGGAGACACAAACCGGTTCGTTGAATTACATTGTGGCATGACAGGGAAGTGGCCTGTCTGAGGCAACGGCTGAATGACGGGGATCGCTATGCTCGACGCTTGAGAGCTATTCATAGCCAAACAACTGAGCTGTCAGCCCTCGTATATGTAATCTTTACCTCAATCTTTAACTTACAGTACTATTGGCATAATCTTATCATGGAGTGATGAGTGCGACCTTTCCAGACTACCGACATAAGTAGCAAGCTGAGGTCTGTATCGTAGAAACAAGCCGCCAATGCTTCTGAAGGGATTGCGGCTTGGCTCGAGCTTTGCAGAAATTTCCGCTATGATCTGGTTGACAGTTGATACTTTGTCGTAGCAGTCTTGAATAGAGCGCCTTAGCTTGCTGAGCAGGGATGTTAGTCCAGGTATAGTAGTTGAACTGCTAGCATGCGATAGAGCCGCCCCGAGGCAATCGCAAATGGTCTCAATATCGTCAAGTTTGACACATAGTTCCTCTAGTTCCTGTGCGGCTGACTTGTAGGCGGTAACCAGTCCTTTGATGGTCTTTACCATGGCTACTAGCTGCATAGACAGCGAGGTAATCTCAAACGCTAGTGAAATAGGCTCCATGGTGAGTGATGAGGGATGAGGGATGGGTGGGTTTGAGGGGGAATGAAAGTTCTGTTGAGGGGTTATAGCAAGCAAGGTATGACAAGTTTCAGAAGCATTATGTGAGGTCGTGCAATGTGTCCTAATTTGACGATAATTCACCCAGCACCTGCAGGCCTTTCCGAGAAACGGCTTGACTGGATCTGTGTATCGTCAGTAAGCGAAGGACTGCAGCAACCCTCGACCTATCGTTGACAAGATCACAGACCGAAGAAATCAAGACATAAGGTTGTGATAGGACCGACGGAGGGCATATATATCCAAAAAGGACAGAGACCCGATGATCTTAATGGAAATTGGATATGTGAGAAAGACTATGTATATTCTTCTCATAATGCCCTTCCAACCATGACCTTCCCAGGTTCTTCAGGTAGACGACCCCATAATTCATCCGTACTTTGGTTGTTCCCCGGATAAGCTGACAAACTCTCCACGTCAACCTCTCTCAAGACATGTATACTATCATTCGTCGGAACCGCTGGTATCGGGTTGGTAGCCGCAATAGTTGTGTTGGTCCGAGAATCACCAGCGTGGATAAAGTCTCTCGTACTTGACGTTGTTCCTTTGGTATTCCCCTTGTGCATAGACGACAATGGCACGAGAGTACTCTGATTCTCGGAGTTCTTTGTCGGGCGCGATCGAGTTCCGCTGCGATTGCGAACGAATTCAATGAGTTCGCTAAGAACAGCAAATTCCAGCTTGAGTTTGATCGAGTAGGTGACCAGCTTGATACCTTGCTCCCAGACATACAGATCATGAAATTCTATGGCCAGAAGAGCGATGTCCATTAGGATGATGACGAAGTTGATGGTGAAAAGCTTGTATAGCATGTTTTTTGTGTCGCCGAATGCTGTCTTGAGGATCTCCATTGACTTCCAGATGTACAGACCTGAGATGATGAGTTCTTGTAGATAGAACATGGACATGGAGATCTTTTCCATGATGTTGAAGACATTGTTAAAGCCCCTTCTGTTGTCTCTTGGACTATACTCTGATCCGAAAAGTAGTACGGTCATCGTCGAATGCTAGGCCGTGGTTAGTTGGGAATCATGCTTCTTCAGAGCATGACTTACCCAAGCGAGACCATTGATGACGATCATAATGAGAACAGATCGTAATATCTTGACGTCGGTAACAATCAGGTGAAGTCTAGAGTACAAAACAACAGACTGGCCAGTAATCACAAGGACCCATCCAACAGTCTCAATAATCATGCCAACATAATCGTGTGTGAGGTCGAAGTAGACAACGAGCCATCCTAGACAGTAAGGAATGATTCCGAATGATGCAATGAGAATACTCCAAAAGTAAAGTCCCGATCGTCTTTTGAAAGTTAGAGAGATGAGGGTGAGTAGTTCGATCGCGTTGTAGAGTGATAACGTCGATGCAACCTTGGTCAAGTATCAGTACATACCACTGCCTAGAGGGTATTCTGTCTACAACTTACAACAACAAAGACATCTCTACCAATATATACTGTTTCATCGATGGTTGAGTAGTGAGCATCCCATTTATCGCGATGGGGTAACATCATTGTGATCAGTCGAAGGGAACCTGGACAGTGGTGAATGTGAAATATTTCGGCAGAAAAGCATGCTTACAACGGAAAAGGAAGCTTGGCACATAATATTTCTTGCTTATTTGGGCACTGTCAAAGCGTCACAACGGATAATGCCAGGGATCCAAGGCCGAGAAGCTTGATACACCACAGAACGGTCACGATCAGCACGCGCTATAGCTTAGTTGTAGTAGGATTGCCTTGGTAATACGCCAAATATGTGTTAGAAGTCCTTTAGCATATGCTGATGAAAGTCAAAGAATATCGTGGCTTGTAAAGAGCGCGGATGACCCAATGAGTAGCGCCATAGCATTCCAAGCATTCCGTGCGCCCGTAATTCATCGGAGGAGCTGATTGAGAGCTGATCCCGAACTTGGATTAAAACTGCAATCATGTTTCCTTTGATAGATTCTTAAGCTACGGACAGACTTATGTCATGTCGGCGGCTGGTAGTTCAATCTAGACCCCTCATATGTTGGGTCAGATGATGGCCTTGATATTGTCTCGTTTGAGACTCAATGGCTTCAACGATCCCATAGCAGCACTATTTCGCGCCAAGACTGGCCGGTATCCAACCCGTAAGCAAGAGCGGAATACGAGGAAGATGATCAATTCCTGTCATCGAGCCTGTGTGGCTTGAGCCAAAGGACTTTTACACGCTTGGAGCCATGGATGTGAGACATCCCGATCATCTAAGACAAAAGCAGCTTGCAAGTTTGGCCAATTGAGGAGCCTGTGGCTTGCATTTAAGCTTCTGTTTATGGTTGTCATGGACGTTTTCAATGTGTACCTGCATTAAGCCCAAATGGGCTACCCAGAAAAGCCTGGTCCAGAACTGCCACCTTGTGTCTTGGGTTTGAGAAGCCTGAGGGATCGGCAGGGCAATTATCCGGGTCTCCCTTGAAAAGCAGTCAAATTGGAGCATCGCCAACTAAGACCCATTAAGATAGTTCGAAGTGGTAACAGTAGATCCAGAATTCAAGTGTCAAACTTTACAAGATGGCTTGTTCCAACATCTAAACCAGCACCATAACAACAACCTTGTATCACGAACTAATGCAGTAGCAATACTCATCTACTACACGACTGCAAGCTTTCGTAGTCATCGCGGCCTCTTTAGCAGTGGACTTTTCGGGGTGTTTGCAATGGTCCGTGTTGGCACCTGGTATATGACTTGAGCTAAACAAGAAATGCTTTTCGATGGTTGAAACCACTCTGTTACCACGTCGCCTCTCACTGTCCTTTGTACTAATGAACCAGGGAAAGAACGATCAATTTATCTTCCGGCAAACTGGGTGTTAGGCCATGTAGGCCGAACATCACCTCATCTATCTTAATATATAACGAACTCCTGCTCAGTCGGAAGTGTATGGAAGAATTCTCCCTGCATGATTCCATCCACGTATGCATCTCCTGCAAAGGTGAAACCTCCTTCATGACGTTGATGAAGTACAATAGGTTAATGAACCCCAGGAATAAGTGTAACGATATCCCCTCCCTGTATGTACTCGTGACCTAGACCAAACATCCCCTTCTGTGTCTTGAACAGAGTTCTTCCTTCCCCTGAGACACAGACACAGTCCTGAACATGTTGGATCGCGTTAGAAAGCTTTTCGGCTACGGTCCAGTTCTTCGACTGCGGCTTTGGTGCTGGTACTGAGTTCAGGTGGACTTTCTGTAACATGGTTAAATTGTCCACGGTGAGGATTTGCTGTCGCATTATGGCACGAATAAATGAGCTTATCTCGTCATGTGCATCTTCTGAATCATTGCTGTAGCGATATCGCAGAGTCCTCCACACGTAGTCCTCACCAGGTCCGGAGGTGTGCGGTAACTGCACAAACTCAATGATCGACGACAGCCGTCGTGTCTTGTCCCTTTCTCTCCCCGCTGGAGTACTCTTATCACAGCTTCCTCCAGTATATTGCCATATATATGATAGTTCATCCACGAAGCACCCATACCGGCGAAGGATTCCCTGCTGGTTATCACCTTCTACAAATGCCGCAGTGGGTACGTCAATCTCTCCAGTTGCATAGTAGTGTGGCCAGCGCCTGGAACGGTTTATAGGCCATGTACGGCGGGTTTCAATTCCATTTCTTCGCCAGTCAATGACCCATGACGGTAGGATACCTTGGTTCCTCTCATCTGGCGTGCACAGATCTAATTCAAGACCCTCGGCATCGCATTGGTACATGGCCCTTGTTGCGACTGTAAATACTTCCTTCATTGACAAATGATAGTCTGCTTGAATACCCAACTTGTCATTATCCGTTATAACCCCCAGAGGAGCGAAAATTATGTCTCGGGGATCAGTTGCTGTATATACCCGCGGAAGAGGCATATAGAAGTCATGGTAAAGCAGTTACCACAGCGGTATGCTTCTTCCTCTTTGATGCAAACGCCGAGTAAATAATGGCAATGCAGTTGATGTCTGTTGTCTCATAGAAAAGATATCTGTTGCTATATCTGGAGGCATGTATTGGTAACAAAAGTTGCCTAATTCAAGAGATGTAATTGCGTTCTCAATTAAACCGAGCAATTCTGATTTGTCTCCACATAAGACAACTGCCTCTTTCGCCAGGGCGACTTCTTGGTTGATCGAGATTCGAGTCCAATACTCTCGGTTCATCATATCACGTAGGCCTTGGAACAACTGATTTGCACCCGTCTCTTGAGCTTTGAGATCCGGGTCTTGAAGAAGGCCTCGAAAAAAGGCTGCCAAGGCCTGCGCGCCACTCGTGAGACCGGAAGCACTTTTTCGGCTGGCGAATAGTTCCTGAAGGAAAATACCTAGATTTATACCGCTGCCTTGGTCAATGCCAACCATTGTTGCTTGGGATCCGATCCGAGCACAAAAGTCCATTGCGATATCAGTACTGGGTGTGTCTTCACCAAGCCAAGAAAAGACACGGGCTGCATGGCGGAATATTGCCCCAATTAGTCCAACAGCAGCTTTTCTCGTCAAGGTTCTTTTGTTGAATGCATAAGTTGTCAATCCAGAGCCATCCGATAACGCCATTACTGCGAAGCTGCGTCAAAGCCTGATAAAGGTTCCGGCGTATGCGAAATAGGACACGGTTGACAAGAATGTACTTCTGCTCAGATGTATCGCCCCAAACATACGAAAGTGCTGAGTATGTTCCAGCCTCGATGTAGCCATTGCGGAGCTCGAGAGAGAGGCAAGTGTCATGGAGTGAAGGCGGAAGCACACGGACAAGCCCTATCTGCGAGTTATCGCTTCGCAAATGTTTATATATGGCCATGTCGTAGATGATAGTACGGTATCAAGCGGGGATAAGACAAATGACAATGTTCTGTGGTATCCTATTGTATATGCCAGTACGGTAGTGCAGATGTAGGCTCAAGTAATATTATCTTTGAAGCTCTCATTATTAAGGTGCGAAGTCCCCTCGTCTGCAAGCTTTATGCGTGGACACGTGGGGAGAAATGATGCATATCAAATGGCTGGAGGGTTTCAACACCCAACCAATTTTCAAGACTGCAATGGTTAAGCGAATACAAGAAAGCTTCCGTTATTTAGCCACCATGGTGAAATTAATCTAGGTCATCTTGCCTTGCCTAGCGTGGGCAGACCTGCCAAGTGCGACCTCACAGACACAAGACACTGAGTAGCATGAATCAACTGTCCACAAGGACTATCTGTCTTTGCATTACCACCCTAATCATCTAGAGGAGTGGACCATCCGTTGGCAGCGTCGTGGCCTTCGACTTCAGTTGTTCCACGTAACGTCTTGTACCTCTTCATCTGCTGTGACTGCTCTGACTCCTCGTCCTTCAATATCCTCCCAATTCGCTCACCGATCTCCTGCCCTTCAAAGTAAGCGCCCTGCAAGTACCCGAAGAACTCAGCTAAATTAGCCTCGCCGGCAAACCACAATCGACCCACGTTCGCACGGAGGTTTTGGTGTTTCTCCAGCGTCATACCAACCGGCCAGTTACTGTAAGACCCGTACGACCACCTGGTTCTCATTTTAGCAAACATCGCAGAGCAGGGGACGGCGTGACTCACTCTTCCATACTCCAGCGGGGATACATAAATGCAGTGGGATCGGGAACGTGCTTATCGGGGAACATGGACCGTAGCACCTCCATGATTTCCTTCTTGGTCTTTTCATCCGACTGTTGCTCAACTTCATAAGCTTGCTGTTGCACAACGGTTCCAAACAGGATATTCGATCCTGGAATGAACCCCGGTGTGCTTAGAGACTGAAACAACGGGTAGTAGCCGCGTTGCTCTGGGTCAGCGTAGAGGAAGTACTGTGTGTCCTCAGGCTAAAATGTCTCGTTGAACTGCATAAAGATTTTCGTGTAGGTACCCATCTCCATTTGCTGAATGGCTTCTCTCTTCCAGCGGGGAAGCGCAGGCTTGAAGTCAACGGCGTCATTCTGGAGGACACCGACGGAGAAAGTGCAGATGGCGTAATCTGCTTCAACGCACCCTTGACTCGTATCGATCTTGACGCCCTTGGTTGCATACTCAATTCTTTTGACTGTAGTCTTTAGACGAAGCCTTGGGTCATTCTTCTTGAGGAACTCGTTCGCTTCTCCAATGAGCCAAGTATTGTAGCCTCGCTGATCGGTGACAAGGTTGGTCTCGTCACTGAAATGCTTGAAGGTAGCGTTGTTTCCAGCGACACCGTACACAAAGCCACTTTCTTCTGGAGTGTACGCCGTCTCAAAGTCCCAGCCCCACCAGTCAGCAGCAGCCATCTTCATATCCCTCTTTGGCTTCCAGCCAGCCAGGCTGAGACCAGTACGAGTTGATGTATCCTGCAGATTCTCGGTAAAGATATAGCCAGCCTCCTGCGAGGCGATCTCAAACTTCTCGTCAAATAGGTCTATTAGATCAGTATAATCCGAGGCCCCAGTCTCATCGTAGGTGATGATCGCACTATCGTTAGAATACGTATTCTTCACTTTTTGCTTTTGAGCTAGCCGCCAGATGGGATTAACCTCACCCGAAGGATTCTGAAGGCCTTCGATCCAGTTCGCACCGAGCTTGACAGTGGAAGGCGTACCATCGGAGGACTGTCCAAAAGTGGTATGTTTCATGCGTCCCCCTACGTAGTCATTGTGCTCCAGGATGACAAAGTCGTGGATGGATGCATTGTGTAAGGTTTGGGCAGCAGTGATACCAGCTACACCAGCACCCAGAATTGCAACCTTGGCTTTGGTGCAGATTTCTTTGCGTGATATTGATGCTGCTTCGCTTGAGCCCAGTAGAAGGCCGAGGGATAGGAAGAGGAGGTCAGATGTTGAGTGTCGCATCTTGATAGTTACGATTACTCATTACGGCTAAGGAAGATGAAGAAGATAAGAGGCTGCAGAAAACAATGTTCACGATTTCAGGGCTTCTATGAACTACTTATGCTTCTCGATATTGTACTGATAATCCACTTGTTGATCCTAGCATCTATCATCTAGCAGCTATCAATTCGACTTTCTTCATCTCCTTCCATTCTCGTCATAACTATGTCCCATGTCCTTGTCGAAGGCTTTATCGTCTTCTGATACAGCGGAGGTCCATTATCTTATCAGCATGCCCAATTTCCTTCCCTTTGTGGCATATACATTGCAATTCTTGATTTTGGTGCCAATTACCCCGACATTTCATCAATCACGCTTACCAAGTGCAAACACGATGTTGGTGGGCCTGTTAAGAGCTGCTGTTGCTGCTATTGCTTTGTTTGATCCTCTTGCTGTCTTTGGTACTCCTTCTTTAGCTGTTCATGGTGAAGTAGCTCCTATTGCTGTCGTTGCTGTGCCATCTGCAAGCGCTCCTCCCTGTTACGCGCAAGCTCTTGCTCAGTGGCCAGTCTCTGTTGCTCCTGGAGCAGTCTTTGCTGGTCCTGTGCCTCTGCAGAAGCGGTCTTGTGGCCTTGCCCAGTGTTGATGCTCAACTGGGCCATGCGCTGGGCTAGGTCTTGGCCACTAGAGTTCTCTAAAGAGGTTATTGAATCTGACTCTAGTGACACCACGACCGAAGTGTTTCCATCCCAATTGTCTTCTCTCCAAGCCCTGGTGTAAGGCTTCCACTGAGTCTTGTAGGGCTTCGTAAAAGTTTCCATCACATGGCCATCTTCGTGGAGCCGCTTGAGGCGATATTGCAATGCGCTTGTGATTTTGGCAACGCAGACGCTATGGTATGACATTGAGGTATCCGCAAGCGAATATTCTAGCAGGCCCAAACGATCCAAGATTTCGCGGATGTTCACCTGCTTGAGGTCACCTTTGTGTAGCTGGTTTCTGGCCAAGTGAAATGTCATAATGATGCGGTCTCTCTCAGACCAGTTGAGTCGAACCGCGTTTTCGCCAATCAAGTCCTCAATATGCTTTCCACGGATGTACTGAGGTCTATGTTAGGTGGTTGACGAGAGCTGGAAGAGGGGCTTACGTTTTTATCAGTGTAGTGCCTGGACACATTCGGCGTGGCCGAGCTTGCGTATAATCAGCTGTTGAGGTCAGAGTTGGCCTCAAACTTCAAGTTGTTACGAGCTTCGCCCTCAACGGCTGCCATTATCACCATATCCTCTGGCATCTAGCAGTGTTCCGGTGAGAACATTGCCATCACGTCGATCCCTCGGTTATTTACTGTGCATTAATGTGACTGGTAAATGCATGTTGAATAGTAAATCTTTCGAGTTGTCAGCAGCCTGGTAAGTATTTATAAAGATAATAGTATAGGTACTGTATATTTCCTTAAGTAACTTGACTAAAAGCTTCTTCTTCTGGGGGTCTTTGGTCTGTGGAACAATTTACTTGATGTTAAAAGTTGTGCTTCCAGCACGGTCATCAGAAGCCAGTAAGAACGCCTTTGCAGGATAGAGCTGCTTGATTCCCTATTCGACATTCTTGTAGCGCTTCTTTTGCTTATAAGCAATCCCAAGAGGGCCACCGCGTTGCAGAGAAGGATGCCGCGAGTAAGTGACCAGAGAGAATGCCGTAGGGCGAGCGACCAGAGAGGATGGGCTGCCGTGAGGCAGGCAAGAAGGCAACTAATCGTCAAATAGAGCCCCAGACAGCTAGGACTCTTCCTGAAAGGAGGTTGCGAGGCTCCACTTTTCCGACCTGCTCCAAACCGGCCATCAACAATTCAAGTTCTCCTTCAATTGTCTCAACTGCCCCTGCAGAAATTACAGAACCCCCACAAAGCGATGTGATTCAATCCCCGACAAGCCGATATCGTTGCGCAATCCCTTATCAAGGTGGTCGAAGAGCTCTCACTCAATCCCGCCGACGTTGCCGTAATCACGTACTACCCAGCAAACCTTGCGGCAATCAGGAAGCGACTCAGAGAGGACAATAGACTCAAGGAGAGCCCTGGCTCTCTATGCGTCCCGAAAAAGTTTGAAATACGCTTTTGTTCTCATCCTCTACCAATCCCATCAATACCAGTCCATGCCGTTGAACCAACTCAGGCCACCGAGTTAATTTATGAGAAACCACCAACGTACGTATGTACAAAAGGATCCTCCAGATCGGCGAACTGGAAACCGAGATACGTCACTGCAGGCTCTTGCGTAAAGCATAGCTCTGCTTTGAACAAGACTGAGATCGCCCAGAACTCAGACTCATAGAATCTAGTTGTAAGAACTCGCAAAGTCAGAGCTTGGTCTTCATGCACCTCTCTTGCCATGTTTACTGAAGACTATGAACAGGATGGCTAACTCGAATCTGCAGTGCTTCCACCCAAACTGGCATTCGGCCACAATCGAGGGCCATGTGAACATACCATACCCACCGTTACACGACAAATTTCCCTCTCAATAGACGAAAGAAACTATAAACAAAACACCAGTTATCGATGACCAGCAAAAGAGCATCCGAGGGGGACGAATGTTCTGTGATCCTGGGCTTGTCCGAAACTGGCCGTGGCTTTCCGCGGCCGTGTTGGTGCGTGCCGCGGCAGCCCGACACAACAAACAGCGAGGGCAAACGCTTCTCCTCCCTCCCTCTTCTCTTCTTCGCCCTTCGCATCCTTCAACCTTCCTTCAAGTATGTGCCTGGGATTAGCTAGAGGGATCATGTTCTCCGAGTTTCCACGTCCACCCTTGCTCTTCCGTCTTCAACTTCTTCATTCGGCTTTTCCGAGTCTCATTACGCCTTTCTGCGATTATTCCGATTTGACATCATCTGCTTCCATCGTGTTGGCCCCTGTCGGACGAAGTGTTCCTACGTCCGAATGAGAGTCTTAGCCACAGCCCTGATCAACCTGGTCTGAGCGGCCTAACGAGAAGGATGGAAGCCACGATCAACAGTACACAAGATTTGACTTGATATTCGGCACTTCTACCCAATGGCGGACATTGGACAACGACAAATCTCAGAGTAGTCATGCTCGCGTTTATTGTCACTTTCCTCCGAGCATAATGACCATCAGTTGAAAGGAATTTCGGCTTAAACAGTGGCTCGTATGTTGGTATATAGCTTGATCCTGCTCCCTATCCGTCTGACATTATTAGCAGTTAGAGGCCCGCGGCGACAACACAACTTCGAAGTCGAGGCTTTCGCGATGTCGGCCGGCTGACCGCAAATAGAAACTACGATCGCCAAGGACAATTGAAACCCATAGGGAATATCCGACAACACATTCGCGTGATTGAATCCGCCAAAATTCATACATGAGCCTTGGGGGTGGTTAGCTGTGACAACAGTGGTCTTATACGGTTTAAGAAACTCTGTGTGAACGGAGAGCTGAAGATCGACATGAAGCCTTTCCAGGAATAGCACCCCTACAAATAGTTCCACATCAAGCGGTAATGCCGTGTCAGCTTTTCGACGTCGTATGCATACTCAGGCTATTACTGGACTTATTCACACGCATAACCCAGTCTTGAACTGTTAGAAACCCGTGTTTGATAATATGCGCATCGACGTTGCATTGCTGCCAACGACTGGCGCATGGAGTTCAAGAAAACCACCCTCCTCAAGGAAAGATGCAGTACCCTGGATAGGATACCCCGAGGCGGTAGATTCCTTCCACTCCTGTCAAGAACTACACCTACCCAAAAGCAGGACTTCCTGTAACGACCAGAACTCTTGGCCGCCTTCTCGGACTCCTTTGGATTCAACAGCCTGTGAGCGGGACCAGTACTCTGCGTCAGACTTTTGATGACAGCTCGTCGATGGATGAGCTTCTGCATTCTCCAGAACCTGGCCAGCCTACTGTTGCGATTGCTCAGCTCCATCGCTTCACAGCGCTGCAAGTAGGATAGTGGAGGACAAAGGTTACCCAATGATTCAGGATGCTCGGTGCGAAAATCTCATTTCCCAAGTATCCGTATTTTAATTACCCACGCTGCAGACCCTGACGCGGAAAAGCTGCATTCCCTTCGCGACCCTGACATCTACGACTGGACGCAGACGAAAAGAAACCATCCGGGCCGGAAGGGCAGTCCCAGAGCCCACGGAGATCACAAGCTCACAGCTAGTTTTTCCTCTTTGTATATTTACACTATGATTGCAGCAAGCACTGATTCCTCACTTCGGTTCCATCATGCCATCAGGATCTCGTCATCATGATCTGTATTCTCGTCTTCTTCTTCTATTCATCGCATCGTATGACGCTCCGATGAGCCTTGTGCAAGTTTCGATACTAGCTGGATGACTTTGAGGTCTTGGAACTGCGTCCTGAGATGAAGGGGATTTGAGACAAAAAAAGGAAGGAGTTCCAAGTGCTGCATTACACGTTGGCCATCTGAGGCAGGTTTCTGGAAGTTGGCGTTACTGTGTAAGTCAAATGGTGAAAGTGGTGCCATCATCTGAAGAAGGGGCGGTCAGACTCGACGAGTTTCGGTCCGACAACGTTTCACGAATTCATCTCTCAGTGATGTGTGCGGTCGGGGCTGACCTTACTCTTCCGCGCTTGCCAACTCAACTCACTGGGCGAGTCACGTTGACCCACACACTGTCCCAGCTCAGTCACGACGACCAGATCAGCCTCAAACACCCCCATAGTACCTCGCGGGATGTAATGGCGACTTGGCTTCTTCGGCTGTGGTCGATTGTGCGAAGTTCTCAACCCATTGTCGAGGGCAATATGAACAACATATTTACTTGGCCCTTTGATGCAGCGACCAAGCATCTACTCAAGCCCTAGTACCAGCATAGTGATAGGTAAGCGGGGGAGAAGGGCACAAACCAGAGGTCAACATAATCGGCTTCTGGATCGGACAAAGGCCATACCATATATTTATGTTCGACCAGTCAGAGCCATCTTCACGATCTCCGCCTTAAGGATGAGCTCTATTGATAGTTCCAATGCCCTCGGCTTCGGCAAGTGATATTCATAACCCGGCACCACACGCTGTTGCTCGATGTTGTGTGATTTGGGTGTAAATAATATGTTGCCCAGGCAGGGTTCCGCAAACTGGAGTCATATAGACGTTTTCTAATGATTCATATGTATCAAGCGCAGCTCTTCGTCATAGGGACTGAGGCTGTACTTTCAGGTTCGCGTCCAAAGGGGACCTGGCACCTTTTCGGGGTTAGCCTCTGCCGTCGCTGACCTCTGAGACTTTACTTTCATTCTTCCCACTAAGTTCCAACGCTACTGCCACTGGAACGATTGCAAAGCCCCATGCCCTTTATAGTCCTTTGTACGATATTGGTTGCACCAATGCCAATGAGAGCGGACCCGGCGCGGCAGGAATTCATCAGGTTTTGTGTTGCTAGAAAGAGCCCCCAAGCCCTCAATCAGCCTGGTGGCCTGGCTTAGACGATTGCATAGTAGTTAACAGACTTGATGCACTTATGTCCAGTAGCTCAGTGAAACCAAAGAGCAGGTTGCAAAGGTGAAGTTTGCAAGCAGTGACGACTGAGACCTGGCATCAAGATTTTGGAAATCGAATGCATCTCTCCATAACGCATCATTCATCAACAGCGGGCTGATCAATCGACTGAGACTTTCAGTGCAGTCCAAGCGTAGGGGCACGGGGACCGAACGCAGTCGCCGCGGTTCAATCCAGCCACCAAGAAAAGTCTTTTAACCTCTCTCCTTGAAGTTTCGTTGTTCGGTTGTCGAGGTTCCTTCGATCCAGTGATCTTGATCGTACCGAGAAAGGTGCCAACCCAGTTCATGCTATGTCGATGATGGAAAATGGCTAAGTCTTCCAGGGTCTGTTTGCATCGTAGTCAGAAAGGGCATGCCAGTAAACTCAAGAAATGAACCACAAACCTAGATTGTGAAGTACTTTAATTTTTTGCTCGCTCTCTTCGCCCCCTTTTCTGTAAGGCATCTCGGCCAGGTCTTTCGGATCCAGCGGCCACGGTAGTAGATCCGCTTTCGATTAGGCGACAGATGTTCCGAGCTCCCCTTCGTCTTTCTCGCGGATGATACTGCTGGTGTCAAACGGCCATAAGATTTGGTTTCGGGTTTCCATGGCTGCAATATTCAAGTGACGCGCTCGAATATCGCGAAAGGCTCTGTCGTTGAACGGCGGCGTCAAAACAAATTTCTCGAATGCGGCCGCCCCCGCGAAGATGTGGCACGGACATTCAAATGTGGCGCACATATTCAGCTGGTCACTGAGTTCGTCAGTCCACACTAAGCTACGGCCCGAGCACTGAAAGCTTCTGACGTCTCAACGAGGCATATCAAGCCAATACCCTGGAAAATCTCAACTTACTGAACACTGCTTCGTATTTGCAGGTAAGTGATAGCATGTTTTCATTTAACTCTTTGCCTCTCCAACGAGCTGATGGGACCTTTTTTAGTAACAAGACTTCTGTCTTCCATCCATCGGCAAAAGCCCGCCGGTTCTACCCCCAGCCGACCCCTTTTCATCCCCGATACGGCTGATTGACGACTCCAATCACACAATGTGCTCCATCGATCGATGTATGAAGAAATGTCTCAAGTGGCATGGCGTTTCGCCATTTGGACTTTATCTACGCCTATATTTGTTCCGACACCAGAATCCTCCGGCTGTGTTACAGCTTGAACCGTTGAGCGGCTCGAACGCGCCTTTCCTGGGCTCTTGGAAGTAGAAGAATAGTAATTCCTAACCCCTTCTCGTTCATACAACTATCTGAGAAAGCGCTATGTAACATGTTTAGTGTAGGTATTCTCCGTATGCGCTTTCCTGATAGGTGTCTATCATGCTAGCAAGACTGCATGCTTCCTTCCCAACAAGTCACCATGAGTTTCTACTCTAGGGTGACTTATCGTTCCTTGATGGAGTCGTTTTTGTTTGCTTTCTTATCCTCTTTTGACACATCCCTACTTTGATCTGCCGTCGTCCATCGTCCCGGCTTCCTTGGTCGTTGGGAATCGCGCATATCTGACCAAGTGAGCTACAGGAAGCCATCTGACCTTCAACCCGTAACCACCTGCTCTCTTCGGTGTTTTTCCCCGAAATTCTTCTTTTAAAGCTCGTATCCCCAGCCTATATCCCCTGACTACCTCCGCTGCCGCCCCTGCGAATCTGTCCATGAGTTGTTGCGGGACAAAGGCGAGACAGACAATCATCAGTGATGAAGCTTGTAGTCTTTTATCATGTTTCTCTCGTACGGCGTCTCTGAGGGCCTTTATTCGACGAAACTATAATAAGGGGATTACATTCTTCGAGGCGGAACCACAAAGTCTCAATTTTTGTCGGGGAGATAACCCCCCCGTGCTTCATGCACAGACTGTGGAGTTTCGGATCGGGGGTTCGAGGATCATGGTATCTTCCTAGCAAATAAAACGCCTAGGTAGCAATAGAAAGAACGGTACGGGTGCGCTTACGTTGTGCCGTGTTTGTGGTTAGTGGTGGTTGCCATTCACTCTTCCTGAAAGTGAATGTTATTAGCTGCCTGATCCAACTGGCGTTGAGAGAAATGATCCACGCATGGTCAGCGGTTTGCTTGACCGCTTCGTGCGAATGCTCCTTCATCTGTTTTTCACAGTCTCGGGTTGTATGTGTGCTTCGGCCTTGTCTCTGAGGGCTGGAACCTCTCTGTTTTCGTTGCCGCTTGGTGTTTGCTCCGTCTGGGCTCGAACCTCTCGATGCGATGACCAGAAGATTTTGGCTGGAACCATCAGAAAGCACAAATTGGTTCATCACTATGAGATTCACATGTTTCTTCCCTCTCTACCGGCCATGAAATCTGATGAGTGATTTGTCAGCTCATTGCGAAGTAAAACTGATTTTGACTGAAATTGACCTGTGAGTCCCGTAGCCAAAAGTTGCAGTTGCAAATGCTTGCTTGTTTGGGTCAAATCAACCACAAGAGGGGTGATCGCTGTTGGCGTATGTTTGTCCTCTGCTGCACATGATTTTTATAAGTTTTTCGTGTCTTGAATCGAATGCTGAACCTTCTCAAGACTCGCAACGGGATTGCTGGTCACTGCATTAACTGGCACTCCGAGTCTCCAATTTGTGCCACTCTGAATCGTACAAATGGAGGAACTCTGGTGCCACTGAAAACCGGCCACATACTAAATGCTCGTGTGCTTCATTACACCGCATCCTTAATCCAGTCTGAATATATATGCATGGTCCCTCCTTCGCTTAGCAGACACCGGATCTAGCACCCCGAGCTTGCCTTTGTTTGAGCCCGCATCGGCCCTGGTGTCATCATTCACCATGTCATTGGCCAACCCGTCAATGGAGCACTGGTGAGTAATTACGGCACTGGAAGCACCATTTCTCGTTCATAGCTCTCACCCACATCAGACCATCGTCGTGATTCTCAATTCGAGCGCATGGGATCTTGCGCTGTCATTCTTGCTGTCAGTGGTCGACTACGGGTTTGCCTTTGCAATTTTTGTGCCATTGCGCAATATTGATTTCTGGCGAACGAGGTGTGTAAGTTTCGAGAACCTTTGTACATTTTATTAGGATGACATCGACGCGCTGCGACGGAGTCTTGGGGGTAGGAGTGTTTCGAGAATGGATGAAAGAGCTTCAGGTGCTGTTTTCTTATTGACTGAGATACCTGCATTCTTTCCTTCAGCATCTGTAGACAAACAAACTTGCCTCAGACTCGTCGAAATATTATTTCGGTCGGGCTCGCCTTCCTTTGCACGCCGATTTTAATCTCGATTGGATGGTTTTGCAATTGGGGCCTGGCTCAATATCCTGAGCGTAGTGTGTGAAAGGGCATGACAGCAATTGGCAGGGTGCGCGGCGACGACCGTGTTTACGTGGCTTAATTCATTGGCATCTGGTCGCAGAAGTGCCTTTCACCAAGAAGAGTTCAAGGTAGCCAACTCTGTGCCGTGGATGTAGTTGACAAACGGTTATGAACTTGGCGGACTCGATGAAACTCATGTCAACTAAGTCTTAAGAATACCAACAACAACACTTTCCTACGGTTTCAGGATAACAGATGACAATATTTCAAAAGAGCATAAGTCGCCAGTTCTTATTAAATAAACGCTAATTCGCGTTACGGATTTCTCAAGCGCAAACTCTGCTCATGAGCGCATGCAGCTCCCCGAATGAGGGATCCAAGGTCCAACTTTGATTGCCATGAAATGCAGCCACCCAGCTTCACTGTGAGGGCTGTTACTCATGGGCAGCACAGTACCTTTAAATTATCTAAGAGTAAAATGACGCGAATCTTGAGTTATTATCGAATTCCCGTATCATCCCGCGTAAAGACTGCAGATCATGAACAATGTTCATTGATAAGGTAGATATGGTGTTTAATGACATGGGTATTTCCCTACATCCGAAGGCGAGTCGGAAGCTGTCACAAATTCCCTGACTGTAAAGCTGATAGATTCCGTCTCTTCTTTTTCGCTCCGATACACTATGGAAGTATCTCAATCGACCATGCTCGAATAGGCCGCGTCTGGGAAACCTCAGTGAGTCTAATTGAGTGGCTGTGTTCCTGTTGGATACTCACCTAGTCAAATCTCCACCACGATTCTTTAACTTCCACTTCAGCTCGGATATATCACAAGCCAGTGGAACTTTATGCGACAGCCATCGGGATATATGTGTTTCATCTCACACTCTTATTTTGTACCATAATCAGGTGCTGCCACTATAAAAGCGTCGTAGAAGCACAACTATTGGCTTCGGATGACACCATCAAACCCTCCATTATCACCATCACTCTTTTTCACCCACTCTGGCAAAATGGCTCCCCTCCACGTAGGTGCACTGGTCTACGACTATCAAGCTATAGATGTTTTGGGCCCAACCGACCTCCTCCACTCTGCCAGCAAGCCATACATCCAAATTTTATCTGGCCACATGAAGGTCGAGCAAGATACAATTGCTCGCGCCCCAGAGTTTGTCTTCCATCACATCGGCATCACTCGCGAACCCTTTGTTCTTCAAACAAGCAACATTCCGATTGTCCCGACTACAACTGTCGATGAATGCCCTGAATTGAATTTCTTAATCTTAGGTGGCCCAGACCCCACGAACTTCGAACTTCATCCTAAGTACGCCGAGTTCATCCAAAAGCACGTCGCAGCTGGAAAGCTTCTCTTCACCACCTGCACTGGAGCCAGCGTTGCTGCTGCAGCGGGAATTCTTGACGGCAAGAATGCGACAGTCAACCACGATGCTATCCAGCCTCTCAGACAGAAATTTCCCAACGTCAAGTGGACTGATGAGAAGAAATGGATTGTCGATGGAAACATTTGGACTGCGGGCGGTGCGGTCGCTGGAATGGACATGTTTGCGCATTGGATCAAGGAGAACTTTGGGATGGACATCATGGTCTTGGCTGCGTCAATGTTGGACTATGAGCCGAGGGACGTTGATGGTATTTTGAACGTCATTCCGAAGAGGTATGATGAAAATGGCAAGCAGTTGCAAACTCATGTTTTCAAATAGAAATGGATACCAGCATCTGCCGACCCTGTTATGAGCGGTATTAGTGGAGATACCTAGGCCTGTTCCTGTCACATCATCCAATGGATAATTGAAACTATGGGTCTTGTCTATTGTAACTTAAGTCATCTCATGACTGGGTATATAACGTATCTAAACCAAATGCCATCGCATCGATCATTATTTTCTTGCATCTGATTCCTCAACCGTAAACTCGACTTCCTTTGTAATCCCCAGTGGCATCGGGGGGATGATCTCGTCCGAGCTAGCCTCACCAATTCCTCCGTGAATGTAGATATTCCGATCATTCACACTTCCAAGCCCCGTCGTTGATCTGATAGACCTTCCGTTACTTCTCTTCCAGTTTGATCCATTTCCGTCGGCGAGCATGATACTTCCCGGTTCGGGACCGCCTTTGTACTTTGAGCTGGCGTTGTTGGACGAGAGAAGCGAGCCAAAGATAGGTTTGAGCTTTTGACGCATCCATCCCCATGTACTAGGAAGGTTGGCTGTCACAACGGCAACGAAGGATTCTCGTACCGCCCAACTTGCGCCCTCTTCTGGGCCCGTCTTGGGGTTCTGGGGATGTCAGTGCACTCCTCTCGTAACCTCTATGGTAATGGAAAGTCGCATACCTTGAGGATGAGGATACATCGAAGTAAGCCAGCAACCATCACAAATACGGCGCCAGAGAACAGCACAAGTAATCCATACTTCTTCACCTTAGGTATACGAGCGCCCCAAAGCATGGGGACAGGAATAGCTAGCAAGTAAACGTCGGTCAGGATGTTGAGGCTGACAATGATGAAGATGTAAAGTTTGGATAGCGCGGGGTGGCAGAAGTCTGCTTTTTGTCAGCGAATTGCTTTAATACTGTTAATATATATATATATCTCTACGTACTGCCTGGGTCAGGGTATATTTGCCAAAAGCGGTTAAATGGCTGGCAGCTGAAGAGAATACAGCATAGAATGGCGATGTAGGTCGAGGCGATGAAGCCGAAGCCGATGTAGATCCGAATTTTGTACCCGGTAAGTCCAGCCTGGAGACCTTAGCCCTCTCAATCCGTTTAATTCCATATTAAGCTTACCGTGAGTCGGAAGTAGAAAGCGCATAGCGCACTCTTGATGACCCAAAGACACGTTGAATACGTTATCCATCCAGCGATCTGGATCTTGGATCCCCCAACCCTCCATCTAAATTCCTCACTGTCCCGCGATAGAGCCTTACGCTCTTCATCCGTCATGCCACTGTTCGTCAATCCATAATACTTTGCTCCAACAGTATACGCAAGCGCCGTCTCGATCGTATACGGGATAATCGCTAACAGCATGAGGTAATCGTCGGCCTCAAAGTTCCTCACGCCGACTTGTCGGATTCTCGCAAACGTTCGCAGGCCAATGACCGAAATGCCAATAGAGAGCAGTGTAAACGCCTCTGCGGCGAAGGAGGTCGAACCAACCATGGCTGCAGCTGCAGAAACAAAAAGCGATACGAAAAACCAAGGCGTGCATAGGGGTCACGACGCAAGGGGAGGGGAAGCCTTTAAAGCCCAGTCAATGCCTGGAAAGCACGTAGCCACTCGCATGGACCAAGTCCGTTGCTCCGAGGGTCCATCGCCAATCACAACTCTATCTTGCAGCATTGTTCCGTTGATAAGAGGCCCAGGCACAGATCCTCGCCCAGGAGGGATGTCATTGCAAGGGGGTGTACTACAACTTAGGACCTCTATCTTAGGTGACAAAAGTCTGTAGATCAGCTTAGATAAATTTAGTATAGCTTTAGTGAATCTTAGACTAAGTAATTTTGGCACCTCCATTTGATGTCAGAAGTCTTCTTGCACCCCGAGGCATAGGAATTAGAAGCGGATGAGGCTTGCAGTAGTATTCTACGCTAGAAGACGATCGACATTCGCCAAGGATTTGGTACAGAAATGGGCCTCTCAGCTGCCGACTCGAGTCATTTCCTCACTGAAGATCACTTTAAAAGTCTTTGTCAAACTAACAGTCATATGATGTCAAAACGTGGCAGTGAGTCGTGCGTTTCAGATAACGCCTGAAGTTTCTTGGAAGGGAAGAGGAATGTTTTCGGTTGACGATGTTGTACCCTGGCTTCGGGAATAGGCCGAAGAGACCAATCAGCGACGATCAGTGTCAGCTCTATTGAATCGACTCAGCATCTACAGAGTCAGAAAGAAAGGGTTCATGAACGACTTACCTTATTGAGACAATGTAACCGGGTATGCCAAACTCAAAAGCCTCTCCTTTCTTTGTCCATGCTCTCCCGATTTGCAGAGACCCGCGCCCATCTCAGGGGTTACCGAGTCCCCGGATTCATCATTGCAGCTCCCCGGCAAGCAAAACACTCCACATTCCGAAGCTGACAAGGATTGATCGGAACCAGAGGAAAGGCTTCTGCGCCGCAGTCCATTCAGGAGAAGTGTTGTTCATGTGAAGCAAAGATGTCTTAGAATGCATGAGTCGTGAATTGACACGTCAAAGGTCCTTTTGTTGAGTCTGATTACAAAGGCTAGAAAGGTTCTTGACAACAGTCAATGCGGCAGATCGACCGCAATTGAAACGCGTTCCGCCAAGTGCCCCGCCGACTTTTTTAGCGCTCGTCACCATTCCATTTAGAATCCCAAGCGGAAGTGATAAAACTTGTGACCTCTATTCTAGGTGACAAAAAGCCTTAGGTAAGTTTAGGTAAATTGAGTATAATTTAGTATAGCTTTAGAGGATCTTAGACTAAGTATTTTTGGTACCTCAATTTAACGTCAGTGGTCTTCTTGCACCCTCGGGGCCATCTGCAGGGCAGACTACGCTGACGGCTATACTGAAAAAAGATTGAATTTGCAGATCACGAAACTCTGAATTGGCAGCGTTGGACCTAGCAAATTTCTTTCCTGTAATTTTGCTTCACGCCCGGGAGTTTACAGCCTTATGGGGCAACCGTTCGCTCCTCTTTAGATGGAGGGAGGCCGTGGACTTGTGGAACTGGAACGCCTGGTCGGAGGCTCAAATTGATATAGGGTGGCTGCCTTATTTCGCAAAAACATCCATGCCCCAATCACTCTTCTCTAACTGCGTATTTGCATCTCACGCCCGGAATAATTGCAAGGCTCCAAGTAGATTTACTTAAGGAATTAGGCACTGATTAGAACATCCGCCTGGACAATCTAGTGATTTTTCGCTCATTGACGTCATCTGAAGGTCTCTCTGCAAAATGGCCCAGAGAGAAACTGATGAGCAGCTGGAACAAAAATCATAACGCGGAACCAAAGCCATCTGAGTATTCCAAAACGTTGATGAAGACTCCAACCTTGAGATTATTCAGGCATTCGAATTTTGCAATTGTCTATAGATAACGTAACTGATCTGAAGATTGAACAGCAAGTTCATTATCAGATGCTGCCTATTGCTATGGCAGGTAGCCACCGCGCACTATATTTCCAGTGAGCCATACGCGCCCCACTTCTCTACACCTTCCTTCTCACAAGCATCCCGCAGCATCGCTTCATCGCCAAAACACCACAGAAATCATGAGCCTTTTCTCTTCACGGCCATTAACTATCGGCGGCTCTCTTCTTCTGATGTCCCCGATGCCTCCACAGTCTGCAATGAAAGAACCACTCCATTTGCACTCGTGCGCAAATCTCATCTTCCTATGGGGTCCTCCACCTGCCTCGCCTCGAACACTTGAACAAGCAATCAGCATCACCGGCAATGTCGAGTGCAGCCCGGAAGCTATATTTGCGGACACAGGAATTCGCATCCATCCCTGGGAAAGACGACTCTCCCAGAAGCTTGCAAAGCTCGCGACCAAGAGCCACCGTCTTCTCGGCGAATATCTCAATCTTTGGCTTGGCGACATAAACCCTGAGTACTGGACGCTTGGTACTCTCGAGATGTTGTACAATCTTCTTTTCGACGCCACTCGCCGTATCAATAACCTAAAGCAGCGGAAAGAGAAGTTTGACGACATCAAGATTTACTTGGTAGCTGGTGCTTTTGCAGACGCATGGCATGGCATGAAGCCTACAGTTTATCCAACCCGTCTTCGAGACGCACACATTTTCTTCTCCGCTCCTCACAGAGACCTCACGGGCGAGAGCGATAGGTCAGAGACCGAGCCCTCTATTCCTACAGTTCAAATCCCCCAAACAAATCCCGTGACCAGCAAGCATCCTGCGACCGAGTCTCTCGAGGCTTCCCCCCAGCAGCGACGACGACAGGAGATTGCTGTTCCAGCAATGACGGGCGATGACACTGAGGTACTTCCACTGTCTAGGCAGGTTTGCAATACTGACTTCTGCAGTTCCTCTCAACTGATTGCGACCTGATATCGGAACTCAAACAATACCAAGATGACGCAAAGGACAGCTTCCTAAAGATGTTACGCAAGCTTCCCACCCTCGCGACGATCGCCGTTGAAAAGTTAAAGTCTGAACGAGCGGCCACTTCACAGCATGTCAAAAGCCTGAAGAATGACATGGCTAATGCCCGGGAGTTCCTCGCGAAGCTCGAAGACTCTACTTCTCGCCTCATGACCGGATCGGCAGCACATGTCGCAAACGAGGAGTCACTGCAGAGGGCGAAACCCATCATCGAAGCCGCAAGCCCTGAAACTTGGTCAGTTGTGTCGTGGATTCACGAAAATGCAAAGTCGACTACATCCGCCGCCCTTGACGAGGAACTTCAGCAACTTGAGGCTTTAGAGGCGCGCCTCGGCAGGGTGGCTAAAGAGCTGGAGGAAGCTCGGGGATCGATGAATATCACAGATGAGAAGATCGAACGTCTCGCGGCTCAATAGGATGAGACTGATGACTACCGAGTTTTCATCGGACACATGGCCCTCCTTTGTGAGGCAGGGCCCAAAGGACTGATGAGGGTGGTTGCTGCTTTGAGTGAGCAAGGACTTGAGTTTGAGACATTGATTCGTGAGAATGTAAGCGATGGACAGGTCAGCGTTGATGAGTAAAATGGAGGCAACAGGAAGTGCAGGCTTCAGAATGATACCGGGCGTGGAAAGTAGCTAAAGTGCAATCTTGTCAGATCACAGATGGACGATAGTTTTTGGGTGGACATTCTAAGGATGGAAGCAATGTTTCTGTAAGCAAAGCAGTTACGGAGTACACAGGCAATAAAAGCTTCACTGACGTCATTACTGAGAATCAGAAACAACAAACCACAGAGTCATTGGAAAAACAAGATCTTTTGATGTATCGAATGTTCATGTGCGATAAATTACCTCCTCAATCTATGTACATCCAAGCATATTAAACAAATAAGCTAAAAGTCCTTTTCCGCGGACGACTAAGAAGTTTCGAAAAACCAAGCAAATCAAGTCATTTTCCCATATCCGGCAATATCCCAGTCATTAACGCATCACTTCATAAACAGCCCTTATCTAGTCAGTTGCTCCTGTTGAACAAAGACATGCGCAAGCCCCCTTTCTTAGGCTTCTGATGAAAAGAGCTCTGCGCGCTGACGGGTCGAGGGTCGAAACTGTCGATGCTCTCCATGCGCTGAACGGGCGGACGGACCGCAGGTGGTGGGGGCTGCTGCATGAGTTCCCCGCGGAGAGCTTTGCCCACCTGATCATGTTGACGAGAATAGTCATCGTGCTTGGACTTGGCTTCGATGAAGCGGTCCTCGGCTTGGCGACGTCGTTCTTGAAGAGCGCGGATCTCATCGTCGAGTTGGTTCATTTGGGCTTGGGCCTCGCTCATGAGATGATCATACTCGTGAATCTTCTGCTCAAGAGGAAGAAGAACGCTCTTTTGAATGGAGGGGCTGTTGAGACGGTTGATATCATTGCCAGGGACTGCCAGACGGTCTGGTGAAGGCGCGCGGCGCTGCCGGTGCTGGTCTGAGGCCATGGATTGAGAAACACGGCTCTGCTGCATGTTTGGTCCATTTCGGGGAGGTGACTCTCCGTGAGGTCGGGGTTCAGACTCTGAAGCGCGGCGCGATTGACGTCTGTACCGCCCATTTTCTCTGGGCCCATTGGGCTGCTGCTGCTGAGGACCTCCGTCCACCTCGCCAGGGTAAGTGGGAGGCATTGGTTGCTGAGGGCCTGGACCTGGACCTGGGCCTCTAGGAGCGTTGGTGTTTGGGCCTGGACCTGGAGGTTGCCTACGCTGCGAAGGCTGACCAACGGGAACAACACGCTAAGAGCAAAAGTCAATTACGAGGCTCTATCGCGGAGAAAAGATGTTGCAGAATTGCATTCTCTAGCGCGAGCGGGAAAAAAACTCACCTGTTGCTGCTGGTGAGCTTGTGCCACCATAGCATTCTGCAATGCCACGTCAGAGGTGGGTGAGCGCATCTCGAATTCTTCACTCTGAGGGCGGAAGTCATCGAGTTGCTCGGGCGATTGAGTGCGTCTGTATCTCGGGCTCTGGCCATTTCGCGCAGCACGAGCTGCCTCGCGGGCGTCACGAGCAGTGCGAGGCTCGTAACCGGGATCCTCAAGATTGTATCTTGGCTGATGGGGAGCCGCCATTGCAGCCATGATTCGGCGGGGTTGTGATGCGATATGCGGTGAAAGAACAAAAAATTGGAATGAGAATGTCTTACGAACAAGACATGAAAAATAGCGGGTAGAGAGTGAAAGGGATGAGAATCTACACCGACAATGTCAGGAACTGATTCATGTTTTAGTGAGGGTCTGGAAAGGCGATGGCTGGAAATCGCGAGGTTGGTTTCGCTTGGGTTGGTTTGACACAGCCAAGTCGAGTCGCAGTTAATTTTTGAGGTTGGGGAGTTTTCTTAGCCCCAGGGGTCGAGACCCACTAGAGAGCACAACACCAACCACGGCCCTCAGGGAGCAAGAAAACAGCAGGCCTTGAATGCGAGGTGTCAAAATAAACTCAGCAAAGGCATCCCAAATTTATACCTAAGCCTTTTTGTCGCTTAGGATCAAGGTCTTGAGGTTTCTTCCCTCCCCGAACTATCCGTACATAGCACAGCTAAGACAGTATCTTTCTATTTTTACGAAGAGATATATGCAGCAACACGCATCGCTTCGTATCTATCGATTGAGTACACGTACGTTGAGGGTGTTCTTCTGTACTCGTAATTGATCCACGTGCCGAGACAGCGGCTTAATGCAGCCCTTGGCTTCCAGGGATCACGGGCGTGGCTGGATCGCGAAAACCGGGTATTCCCAGATTGACGGGCGTCTATCACTTCGTTAAAGCAAAGAATTCGATATGAAACGCTTCAATGACTTGCTTTAGTGTTTTGCTATTTGTTAAACGAGTCTAGCCCAGCCGTTCTTGGCTGGTGATGCATTGAATGTGAAGTTGCACTTCTGCACGTCAACGCTACACAGTGTTATCTGAACGCGCGTCGAGACAGCAACCATCAGTTCTCAACCTTTCGCATTAACTGTTCTTCTTCTTTTGGGTGCCACGAGAAGGTTGGTTCAAATGATGTCGCACTCGATTGCAACAATTTATGCTTGCGACCGTTGTAGGAGCGTTGATTGACTTACCCTCCGTCAGCCGTCGACTCTTATCGCGTCATGGTCATGGTGCGACACGCAAAATTTTCCGCGTCAGAGGCAAAGCGGCCCGTCCCATCACATCCAAGCCCAATCTCACCGCCATCGGATGCCTTGACTCGGATCTCAAACACTGCCCAACGTTTGTCGCATACAGGGTAAATGCCTGCCGACACTGAGCCCAATTGACAGCGACACCTCACGTCATTTAAGCGCAGCGAAATGACCCAAGATGCGACCGTGCCAAAATTGGTCACCGTCATAATAACAACTTCGCCAACTCCATCCGCGCCTTCAACCGAGCTTGTCTCAGCGGTCCTCCAGTCATTTGAAAAGCATTGCCAAGCTTTGACGTTGTGTAATGCTATTGTTGTTTTCGACACTTTTGATCAGATAGTACCTACAGCACGATTGAAGAAAGGACAAGTGACACCGCAACAAGCAGCAGATTTTGACGAATACAAGAAGAATGTCAAGGACCTGATACTGACAAAATACCGCCATGTCGGTGCTGAGTTCACCCAACGCCGTGCTACGGCGGAATATGGTAGTCCCAATCCCCAGAACACCGTTGATTACACGATATCGCAAACAGGTGACAAGAAGGTCACCTTTATAGAGCCGTCAAGACGCCTAGGATTCGGTCTGGCAGTCAGATCAGCTTTGAGGGTAACTCAAACTCCTTTTGTCTGGGTGCAGCAACATGACTGGGCTTTAGTTGCAGACCTTCCGATGGCACCTCTTGTACAAATCATGAAAGCATACGATTCGCACCCAGAAACTCCAATCAAGTATATATGCTTAGCTGCTATTCGTATGCTCTCGCATGCCATATCAGAACAACATCCAGTCCTACGAGAGCTATCATCATCCCTTACACAAAAATACGAAGATCCGATACATCCTGGCGTCAAGATACCCTTGACGCCGATTTACTTCTGGCATGATAAACCCCATCTTGCGTCAACAGCACATTACCTCGAGAGGGTATTCCCCTCACGGTTGGCTATGCTGCGAGGAGACTTTATTGAGGACAAGATCGGACAAAGAGCTCGTGCCCAGATGAAGGAAGGCCTCGTAAGCATAATTTCATTCTATCTCAAACGAACATCGGGATATGATGCCACGTGAAGGCACTTGCTGACGACAAGCAGTGGACGAAATGGGCTACTTGGCTTTACTACCCTGATGACGGGAAACAGCTATGTTTGAAACACCTGCAGGGGAGGACTTGGGCAGGAGCTGAACGACAAGCCGATAGGGCTGCTATGTGGAGACAAAGGAATGAGGCTGAACGGGCAGCTCAAGAAGACGGCTGATCTGGAAAAGATCAACAAGATACCATGATCAATAGAGAAAGACCGTGATTTATGATGTCACAGCAACTGAGCTATGATAGGAAGCATAAACTGCCGAGCGAGTTATGCAAGATATCACCCTATACCATAACGGTGAAGTCGGATGGCCTGTCCGATCTAGCATTCGGATGCCCTGGCCTTAATCGGCTTTCCCCGCATGACGCTTGACTCGTGCTGCGGTTAAAGAAATTTCCCGTCCTTGAAGCTCTTCAATACGGGATGAAGACATTCTTAACTAAGTAAACGGCGCGTGCCGCATTCAATTGCCGAAGGATCTATGCGGGGTGCCGACCCCTCACCTCGAGCCGATCACCATTCTCCATGATCGGTGAATCATCATAGCGACTTGGCGATCTGGGGAAAAGAAGGATAAAAAGAGATTATAAAAGCGTAGAAGATCCAGTATGAGTTGATTGTGATAGACAGTTCAAGGCTAATTCAATTGACACAATGAGACTCTTGACTCCCCTCATCATCGCCTCCAATGCCATCCTGGCAGCGTCCCAACTCATGGGAACGCCGTCCTACGAATATCTCTACACCGTCAACGCTACCCTCGGCGAACGTTGGCCGATTGGCGACTACGGTCAAGGTAGCCGCGTTGTGATTCCCATCACCGGCGGAACCTTCAAGGGACCCAAGCTTTCGGGAACGGTCACTAACCTTGGTGCCGACTGGGGTCTGACCGACACCAAGGGCGTTTTCTTCCCCGATACCCGGTACAACCTCAGAACTCATGATGGTGTTGATATTTATATCCAGACTTCTGGTCCGACGCAGCCAGATGGGAGGACGTTGTTGAGGGGCGTCTTCCAGGCGGCGCACCCGGATTATGAGTGGTTGAACTACGTCCTAGCTGTTGGGGTGTTGCAAAGACCCCCAGCAGAGAGTAAGGGTAAATACGTTGTTATTGATATGTGGGCAGTAAGTTGTTCTACTTCATCAACAGAAATAATATGCTGATCAGCAAATAGATGGTTTTGCCGGACTGCAACGGGAATTGCTAGGGCGAGGCCGACGGTGACATGGCCGGGATGGATATAAACTCTCTGTGGATGGACATGGCGTGATTTGATACATCCTGGTAGAATGTCACCGCCGTGATAATTCCGATATGAAAAAGTCAAAATGCGCTAGAAAGTTCAGACGATCGAACTAGTTGTGGATCCGGGGTATTCATCGTGAATGGAATACGAATGTACGGAAATGGCGACAAAGTTCACAGGGGTTGGATATAACAATTAAATTTTCAACTTCACTTATTGACCCAACTTCTGAAAAGCTCGTGAGGCTGCAAAAACACTCATGTATCACCTTTCATGGAGTAGTGATAACGAAGTAAATGTACAGGGATCCAAGTGCCGTATTCTGTATGCTTGCAGGTCAGCCGTCGTTGACAAAGAGGATGTTGCATCAGGAACCCATTTGACGCGCAATGGTTCGGAATGCTATCCGGTTCCTGAACAGATGTGCAATGGTTCTTACTGGCGACAATTATCGATCGGCTAAGCAGGGGTAGTTGCTGGTCGGTGCTAGAAAAGACCGCGAACTAGGCCTGGAACTCAACGGTTGCAGTTAAAGAGCAAAGACGCCGGAAAACTCTCTCTTGGCGATTGCTGGATTGTCCAACTTCAAACACCGAGGGCATAATTGTGCCACGAATTCACATATGAAGACGCAAGATTTAATTTAACAATGGCCTCATTCGAAAACTCCTGCAGCGCCCCTAATAACAGAACCCATAATAGCACTAGTCTCCATTCCAAGTAGATTATCCGGACCGATATCTCTGCCCATCCTCACGACGACTGACTCGCAAACTCCTCCCCAATAAACCCGGTTCATGCACCCCGGATCTAGTTCCCAACCAGGCCAGCCGAGGTTTCAATACCCCTTCTTTTCCCCTCACGAACCCAACTACCGCTCTGCCAAACCATCCTCAATCCGCGATAGCACTCCCACGGTATTGCCGAGGGTTGCTGATCTGGTAGGGATTAACGGCGTCTTGCTGCTTCAGGAATCAGTTGCGTATTTGGTCAGAATTATCGCAAGGATCCCCCGCAAAATATGAGGGCATGGGTTTTGGTAAAAGTTTATGCGGGAGACGGATATAAAAGAATGTTGTCCGCCGGCCTTGTCATCTTGCTTGGCTTTGTTCCCCAGGTTCTCAGCGACACCTCGACTGATATTTGTTTACCGCAAGATAATATGCGTCCTACAATTTTCCTCTTTTCGGGGTTGGGGGCTTGTGCTGCTGCTGGCAAGGGTGATGACTTTGCGGCTAAATGCGCTGGTTTCAAAAACTCGCTGAAGCTGCCCAACACCAAAGTCTGGTTCAGTGAGCACGTGCCTGCTGGGAAAAACATCACTTTTCCTGACAACCACCCAACATGCACGCCCAAGAGCACTATCACTGATGTTGAGATCTGCCGTGTGGCCATGTTTGTCACCACTGGTCCCAAGTCAAACCTTACCCTTGAGGCTTGGCTTCCTTCCAACTGGACCGGCCGGTTCTTGAGTACTGGAAATGGTGGAATGGCTGGATGTATTCAGTACAATGACGTCGCCTACGGTGCTGGCTTTGGCTTTGCGACTGTTGGAGCTAACAACGGCCACAACGGCACTTCTGCTGCCCCCATGTACAAGAACTCGGGAGTCGTTGAGGATTATGTTTACCGTTCAGTCCACACTGGAACTGTTCTCGGCAAAGAGCTTACGAAGAAGTTCTATGGCAAGAAGCATACCAAGTCTTACTATCTTGGATGCTCAACTGGAGGACGACAGGGATGGAAGGAGGCGCAGAGCTTCCCTGATGACTTTGATGGTATTGTGGCTGGTGCTCCCGCCATGCGCTTCAACGGTCTGCAGTCCCGCTCTGGAAGCTTCTGGGGCATCACTGGTCCCCCTGGAGCGGCTACCCATCTCAGCCCAGCGGAATGGGCCATGGTTCAGAAGAACGTCTTGGTTCAGTGTGACGAGCCCCTTGACGGTGTTGCCGATGGTATTCTCGAGGATCCCAACCTTTGCCAGTACCGCCCTGAGGCTCTTGTCTGCACCAAGGGTCAGACCTCTGGCTGCCTGACTGCACCCAAGATTGAGACAGTCCGCAAGGTCTTTGGCCCTCTGTATGGTAACAACGGCACATATATTTATCCCCGAATTCCTCCTGGAGCCGATCAAGGGTTTGGTTCTGCAATTTCTGAGCAGCCCTTCCCTTACTCCACGGAATGGTTCCAGTATGTTATCTGGAACGATACCAAGTGGAACCCCGACACCATTGGACCCAATGATTACCAGAAGGCTTCTGAGGTTAACCCTTTCAATGTCGACACATGGGAGGGAGACCTTTCCCAGTTCCGCGAGCGTGGATCCAAAATCATTCACTGGCATGGTCTCGAGGACGGTCTCATCAGCTCAGACAACTCGATGGAATACTACAACCACGTCTCGGCTACTATGGGTCTGAGCAACACTGAACTTGATGAGTTCTACCGATACTTCCGTGTCAGCGGCTGCGGTCATTGTTCGGGCGGAATTGGAGCCAGTCGCATTGGAAACAACCGCGCTAACCTGGGTGGCAAGGATGCGACGAACAACGTCCTTCTCGCTCTTATCCAGTGGGTTGAGCAAGGCAAGGCACCCGAGACCATTACAGGTGTTCGCTACGTCAACGGCTCTAGCACTGGAAAGGTCGATTTTGAGCGAAGACACTGCCGCTATCCTTACCGAAATGTTTTTAACCGTACCGGCGACTACAAGAATCCCGATAGCTGGAAGTGCGAGCTGCCCAAGTAAACGGAATACAGCGAGACGACGCGGGTGCGGGTGCAGGTAGCGTCGATTATATAACATTTATTTCATAGCATACACATAGCAGGATCGTCGTAAATAAGATGAGCTTTAAATAACAGTCCTCCCTCAATGGTCGGGATAATTCGGTACCGAGCAACTCCGCCAAGGATAAAGTGATGTCAAGAAAACGACTAGTTACAAATTACCCCAAGGAAACCACTTCCTTGGAAGACTCCAAAACACGGGGGAGGGTATGTGCTGTCAAGATCAGTCATTTCCCCAGACGCGTTGCTGACCAAGTTGCATGGTCGGCTAGTCATTCAACACGAAAGGTTAATGCTGCCAAGACACAGAGATCCCCACGATCTTGGACAATCAAGAGGAAAAGTCGGAGCATCTGAGTCAAAAACAGCGAGGAATTGGGGTTCTCCCCCTCATTTTCCCCAACCTTTTTGCCCCCACAAGATCCTAAATCTTACTCCAACCAATGCGCCCTCTATGACAACAGGGCGCGAAGCTGGGCGAGTCAGGGTTGGGATGCAGGAAAGTGAGGCGCGTTGTTTTGTAACTAGAACACGCAGGATGCTGATCAGTCAAGGGGAGGAAAGAAAACCCAGGACCTTGATCCTAAATGACAAAAAGACTTAGGTAACTTTAGCCTAAGCTTAGGGTACTCTTTACTAAGTTTATTTAAGCACCCTCTTCTAAAGTCTTATGTTTTCTTGCTCCTCGAGGTCAGTCTCCCCTCCGCCATGCGCCATGGAAACCTCCTCTTATCACGATAAACGGGAATAAACTCACGGCACTTCTCAAGTCCGCCCGACCAGAATCTTACGATAGTCGCCTCAATGGCGATAGACTCAACACAATGTACAATACCACCGAGACTTTATTTTATCTCTCGCCAATAGCAAGACTTGTATTGCGCCGGTGTCGGATACTGCACTACGGCAAGGTGTAAAAGACTGGGCGACTCCACTAAATGGCCAATGCATGTGTCAAAACAAGCTATTTTTCGCGTAACGGAAATGCTGAACCTTTTCTTTTCGCTGAATACGCCGGCAGATTTTCCAACAAGGTTCTTTCTGTCTCTCCGACACCGTACGAGGCGGAAATAAGCTTGTTACTTGGCGTCCGATTTAGCCGTGTGCTAGACCGAATCTTTCACCGTGAGCCAGCACTCGAGAGCCTCATTTGAACGACAGCCACTCTTCAGCAGAACATATTTACTGATCCCTCTGGACAATTGATGCAAGACACCGATGAATCAGCCATGCCATGGTTATCTCCGTTCCAACTTCCACTGGAGATCTCTTGTTCATCTCGTTTGACCAACCAATTCTCATTCAGCAAAGATCGCTGACACATAACGTAACACCAACTCCATTTTATTTTTTTGAATCCACGGCCCCGTTTCTTTTTGCTCGGCCAAGAGACATTCCAATGACCTGATGGTTTTTGAAGATTTGCTAACTTTTACGTGAGAGACTCACGTTCCCCCATGGGGCTCCGCGAGTCTTTTTTTCTTCCGTGCGAGAGATAACGAGACGAGCGTCTTTTACAAGGTCTCCACGGAAGATAAACATCTGGAGACTTTTGGGCTTGGCGAATGTATATAAGATTTGGCATCGCCCGATGTTGAGTTGGAGTTGGTCTTCATCTCGTCAAACTGTCGCTGATCATAACCCGCCATTATACACCTTCTACCTCACATTGAGCTTTTATTACTGACTACTATTACTGTGTTTTATTGAATATGGGCGCTGAAGATAAGACGACAAAGACTCAGCCTGAGATGGCTCAGCCCGAGCATCACCGTCCTGCATCCATTCGCGGCATTGACGGCGATGAGATCAACACGATCAACGATGGCGGCGACATCATGGACTCCAAGGAGCAATCCGACGAGCCCGTGCAAAACATTTTCAACCAAGGCGGCAAGAACTACAGAACTCTCGGCAAATGGGACACAGTCTTCGTCCTGGTCACCAACCAAGTGGGACTCGGGGTTTTATCACTTCCAGGGTGTCTCAAGGTAAATAAAAGAGAATTGATCTTATTACAGTATTATTTACAGTTACATTAGGTCCTCGGAGTGATTCCTGGGATCATCGCGATTATTGGCCTCGGTTCGCTGTCTGCATACACTGCCTATGAACTCCTCCAGTTCTACAGAAAGTATCCCCACGTCGTTAACGTCGTCGATATGTGCGGTATCATCGGAGGTCGACCACTCGAGATCATTGCAGGTATTGGTTTGATGATCAAGGTTATGATGACCTGTGCGTCTGCCAGTGTGACATTATCAGTTGCTTTCAACACCCTCAGCAATCACGCATTCTGTACTGTCAGCTTCGTCATCATCGCCGTTGTCGCTTGCTGGGTCCTTTGTCTCCCTCGAACCGTCAAATTCGTCTCACAATCTGGTATCCCCTCCACAATCAGTATTCTAGCCGCCGCTCTTACCGTCATGATCAGCTTGGGCCTCGATACTCCCTCGCAGGCTCCCCCCGGATGGGATCGCGAGATCCAGGTTATCGGCAACCCAACCTTCCGACAAGGTCTCAACGCTTGTCTCAAGATCTGTTACGCCTATGCCGGAAATATCAGCTTCGTCTCGTATATGGCCGAGATGAAGAACCCTAGCCGTGATTTCCCCATGGCTTTGGCTTGCCTCGAAGTCTTCTCCATTACCCTTTACACTATCGTCGCCGTGGCCATCTACTGTCTCGCCGGCGAGTATACTACCTCTCCGGCTCTTGGATCTGCCCCCCGAATCGCTGCCAAGGTCGCCTACGGCCTCGTTCTTCCTTGTGTGTTCGCGACAGCTATGGCTTTCGGTCATACAGGCATCAAGTACATGTATGTTGTCGCTATGCGATCCATCAAGGCTACCCACCAAGTCACAGACCGAAGTGTCAAGTCCTGGGGCATCTGGGTTGCCTGTGTGACCCTTTACTGGATCATTGTCTTTGTCATTTCAAACGCCATTCCAATTTTCGACTCTATCCTCTCCATCTCCTCCGCCACCACGATCGCCTGGTTCACCTTTGGTCTCAGTGCCATCTTCTGGTTCCATATCAACAAGGGGCAGTATACCAAGAACTGGAAGAAGATTGCTCTCTGCATTATCAACGGCATGCTTATCGTCCAGTCATTGTTCATGAACGGTGGAGGTCTGTGGTCTTCCATCACCGAATTGTTGAACATATTTGAGAACGATAAGAGCTCCATTCGGGGCGTCTTCTCATGCGGTGACAACTCCATTTAGACACGAAAGTCAAGACCTTTATAGATATGGATATTATGCAGCAAGTATATAGCGATTGAATGATATATGATGATGTTACTTTTTACTACTTCTTCCCATTAACCCTTGGCTCGAGTCGGCGGGAGGCAAACTAAGCGATAAGCTTGCTTAGTTGGCCACCGTCAGGTCTCGCCAACGGGTTGAAGTCGATTGATCAGCTGATAATTTTGAATGCGGGTCCTACAAACACTCACCCTTTGCTCGATGAACAGGCCGCGAAATCTCTCTATTCCAGGGATTGATACAAGTTGTTGTCATTCAGCACCGTGAACGGAGTTGCCGGGAACAGTAATAGAACAACGTGATGAAATTTGGCTGACAAAGTGGAGTTGGAATAGTCTCGCGACGCTTCGGACCGACCAATGAAGGACGACAGTGGCGAGGCGGCATCTCGAGATCTGGAGTGGCCAGACCAGGTTCCGACGCCGCAGATCTGAGTCACTGTCGTAGGGCTGAAGCCTGCCATTATCTTGGAGCTTCTTAGAGTCCCCAGGTCCTCTAAGCTCTTGTCTCATTTGATGTACCTAGTATTGTTTCGATCAATTGGGTGCTTGGTAATACATAGATGAGTATCGGGATGACTTCGCAAATCTAGGCATGAAGCCTAATTTCTGTGAGACTTAATTATTCGATCCATCTCAAGCGATCCAATCCATATGGAAAATGTAAACCCTTAGGGAAACTCATTTTGGTGATGGCATACTAACCCATCAACGTGGGGGTTCAACACGCGATACGAGCGATACGGGATACGAAGGCTGACTTCATTATCGTGTCTATTTAAGAACAGCACCTGGTCTCCGAAATTATATTGCTATATCGCCAATATCAAAACTCGAAAGCCTTGCAATCTTTCAATTACCTTTCCAATTTCTTTTCGTTTACCAGAGTGAGACGACCCAACCGTTGGCCTCCATCATGATCACAATCGCTCCCTTTCGACCGCGTACATCCACCTTCCGATTACTTCAAAGACTTTCAGCCATCCAAATCAACGGCATTTCATCAAATTCACCGCTGAATCAAAGATGGATGACACAAGAAGGCAGCAAAAGCAAAGCTCAGCAAAATGAGATTCCAGGGCCGAATCCCTCGTACCCAGCTTTTAGTCTCAATTCTCTGGGCCTTAGCAAACGAACCAGGATAGTCGTGATGGTAGTCCTGGGCGTTTTTGGTACTATAGAGACATGGGTTTGGTGCAAAGCCATCTGGCAATGGAAAAAGGGTCGTCAAGAAGCAGAACAGCGACCTGCTGGTCATGCGTGATGGATATCAACCTTTGGTCTCTTTTTCTTACCCCAGCCATTGGCATATTCATAACTTGATGGGATTGCATTCGATCAGTAGCAGCAGCGTCTGAGAATAAACAGCCCGTTGTCTGTAGGAAATGCCCACAGACGCGCAATCATCATCACAAATACTGCGAAAGTGCTGGAGCGTATTCCATTGGTTTAGTGATAATGATATACTTTCGGGATCGACGGTCAAGAATGCCATGATACCCGATCACCCGGGGATAAGGCGGCTGTCATTACGTAGACATCGGATCTATCGGCAATTCCATTCGACGATCTGGCGTGGCTCTTCTCTGTACCTATCATAATCAAGAAACTTTGACGCGAGGCGTGCGGGGTGAAAGCATGTTTTATAGTGGTCACAACTCACAAGTAGCTTGGAACAGTATCAACGACTTACTCTGGCTGCATTGCGCCGTTGAGATTGGCTACAGGGATGCAGCCGAGATCTCTAGAACAGGCGCATCTCGGTTGACCGAATTAAATGATCTTTTGTCTGGAGCAGGGTTTTGGGGAAGTGATGCTGGTGCTGTAGCCGAGTTAGGGTTGCAGCTGGGACTACCAGTGCGAGTTGGTAAAGTGGTTGGAGTGAAATAAGGCGCGCGACATCTCAGACGGAATGAACGTGCCGATAATAGAAATATGCGGACGTCTCTCAATGTTCCCATCCTCACACGGCGAGATTGGGAGATAAGGAGCGGATAAACTGACATGTGACTGGTCGCTCAAATCACAAAGTCTTCTTCACCGCTAGGGTAGTTATGAACAGAAAATTGTTTTCTATAGGGTACGTCAATGTCTCTTGATTTCACAATTCGCCATCTCGAAACATCTGATAATGGTACTTTCCGGGTGCGGGCCACGCGTAATTTAGACGCGCGTATTTCCCAGTGACTCTATACGACAATAATGAGCTAGGTCTGATCTTTTACGGTAAAACAGCACCGTATCTAAAATTAACTACCAAAAATGAGACATTAATCAAACGAACTTTAATCTTAGGCTGTTGTTTGGCATTCAGGTATTGCGTTGCTACTGGACCTGATCTGTTGTATACATCTACTGGGTGAGATCGATAAGTCCCGCGACCTTCTCAAACAGTGTCTCAAGAGACGTAAGCTTGTGAATGACTCGCCCGGTGATTTTGTTCTTCATGGAAAAGACGGAAGCTTATAAACTGGAAATGAGGGTCGAGTCTAGACTTATTGATCCATGCCAGCTATTTTCCCCGGCATCTAAGCGAGTCCATAGCGCAAGGATTGCGTAATCCGTGCTCTCGCTTCCTCGTGTTTATTGCTTCGCCTCCTTTGACCTGAATTTCCTGAAGCAATTTTCGGCCCCGTTTCTGGACTAAAAAGCAGGACTGCGCCTCCTTGCTAGCCGGTTAACCCCTTTTGACAGATGATTCGTCATTTAATTCAGGAGAGTGTCTCAATCGATACCAAGAGTTCTTGCTCGCTCAAATTATTGCGTGTACGTTTTATAAAACTCATGAGCATTTTTAGACTTGATAGCAGACTTGGCTGTTCGATCTTGCTCGGTTGATGAAAGAGATAAGCCGCGGAGTTGAGTCTCTCCCTCTACGCTAGCATTAAAGTTTATTCCCCGCTGGTCGATCATTGGGCGAGATGAGAGCGTCATTGGCTACAACGGTCGCTGTAAGTTGGGCCTTGGCAGCTGTTGTTCACGGCATTGATGTATCATGGGACGATGAAAGTAAGTCAAACGGTCTTTATTTCTTCGTTGCTGGGTAACTTACCATGCCTAGGCTCTGTCAAACAAGCTGCCAGTACCGTGGCCTATGGCTTGGTGAAATACTATACTGGCAACAATACCGGTGATACACCTGGCAACCTGCCAGATCCTTATTATTGTAAGTGACGATGAAATGGAATACACGACGACTTCAGCAACTGATCCGAAACAGGGTGGACGGCAGGGGGTATGTTCGGCACATTAATCGACTACTGGTGGCTTACTGGCGATGAGAGCTACAACAAGATTACTACACAGGCTATGCTGCATCAGGTCGGAACAAGCGACGACTATATGCCTGATAACCAGACTATGACAGAAGGCAACGATGACCAAGGGTTTTGGGCAGTGGCTGCTATGTCGGCAGCAGAGCATAAATATCCTGATCCGCCAGCGGACCAGCCGCAATGGCTGGCACTAGTTCAGGCTGTTTTCAACGAATATGTCAGCCGTTGGGATACACAGCACTGCGGCGGAGGGATGAGATGGCAGATTTTCACCTGGAATGCGGGATACGATTACAAAAATTCCATTTCCAACGGTTGCTTCTTCAACATAGCTGCGCGCCTCGCCCGCTATACTGGCAACACCACTTACGCGGACTGGGCTGAAAAGGTTTGGGATTGGGAAACCAAGATCGGACTCATCAACAGCGACTATCAGGTCCGAGATGGTATCCATTTCGAAGGAAAATGCCCAAGCTCCATGGATACTAACCAATGGACCTACAATAGCGGTGTTTACCTTTATGGAGCTGCTGCCATGTACAACATAACCGGAAAAGCTTCGTGGAAAACCCGGGTTGACGGTCTACTGCAGGACATCAAGACCGTGTTTGTGAAGGATGGTGTTATCTATGAGCAATTCTGCGAGCAGAACAAGCTTTGTAACCTCGACCAACAGTCCTTCAAAGGCTACCTCACCCGCTGGATGGCAGCTACCGCACTGGTAGCTCCCTATACCTCTGAATACATCACAGAGACGTTGCTATCGACGGCAAAAAAGGCCGCTATCTCATGTTCAGGATCACCCTCCTCAGGTTTCGCAGGCAAGGCTGGCACGGCTTGCGGCTTCACATGGTTGACCGGCGCGTTCGATGGGATTGTTGGGGTTGGACCGCAGATGAGTTCTCTGCAATCTATCATGTACACCCTCGCCCCGAAGGCGAAAGCGCCAGTGACGACCAAGACTGGAGGAACGTCTAAAGGCAATCCCGGTGGTGGCCAGACGAACATGGATGTCGATGTGTCAAAACCGAAATATGCAAAGATCACAATGATGGACAAGGTAGGGGCGGGCGCCATAACATGTATGATTTTAGCCGGCGTTATTGGGGGTTCTGTATTTGCTACTATTTAAACATTTTTTATCAAACCAAGCTTTTGTGCTTCTATTAATACCATTAAATAGCCTCTAGCTTCCTATCATGGCTCTCGTAGAACTAAGAAGAAACCATTCCGTCGCACCGTGATAAGGCATTACCCCCACCCTTCTCCTGTATTATCTTTCTAATACCCTCATACAGTTTCTTTTCAGCTATCAGAAGTGCAACAAGATTCGCGTTAGTTAGTGTGATTTAGAAAAGGTGCAGTAGCCATACATTGAATTGGGAACATTCATGTTGATTCATACTGAATATGCAGCAGACCAATGACTGATCATATCTGTACAAACACGCTCTCTTATCCAATGTTCCTCCTCCTTGCTCACATCGCTACCAATTTGGTCTCTTGACTATATCAAGGGCAGCACGCATAGCGATTGCTAATAATAATGATTGCTCTTAGGAACAACTATGCTTCTTATCTATCGGACCCCAAACGCCTTGTTCGTTGGTTCTGTTATAATTATCGTAGCAGACAGAAACAAACATCGACCAAGGACTTCTACTCGGTCTTTGTCTGTAAAGTACTCTTAAAAAGTTTGGCATACAAGTTCAGGCCGTCTCAGTTCTTCCATCAGGCAATCATCCACTCCTGTGCGTCGACGACAACTCGAGAGTCTCGAATGCCACAGATCGGTCATGCCACCACTTGATCTTGGCGGATCGAAAGTTAGCACCAGGACCTTTCAGTACCTGGCCAGGGTGAACCACGTTCAGCAAGACCAAAGTGATGAGCATCGGCAATGTATCAAGGTAGCTGGATTAATTATCGTGGGTTGATTGGATAGTAGGTCGGAATATTGCAGAACTTGAGGGGTGTTTCCAAACATCTTTTGTTCAATGACCTTTAATTAGAGTGCTATAGTTTATAACAATCAAGAGGGATAAGATTATGTGTAGCTTGAAGGACTGGTAGCTGCCGTCAAATCGGATCAGGAAGAGGAATTCCAAAAGGACTAAGTTCTGTCCGCTGAATTAAGCTCTCAGCCACAAGTCTCAACTGCAAATAACACATCTAGCTCACAATTCCAAAAGGACATTAGGGAATCTGAACAACTGATCTCAACTTATGCAGGCAGGCGCATGGTCTTGAGTTATTGGTAGAAGTAGAAGGGGGTATCTTGCACCAATGAATCTGATGATGCCAATGAACCAGTACAACAGCATATCGCTCTTGTGGCGACAAGAATTGTCTGAATGGGTGGATGGTGAAATATTGATGGTATGGATGGGGACCAAAGAACAACTCCAGAGTAGAAAAGAGCTCATATTTCAGGAACGCTCTTATGAAAAGACATCTCTCCCACGACTCTAGAGATGAAAAAGGTATTCGAATGTGATCTTGATGATTTTTCAGATTTTTCATCTGACGAAGTTGATGTACCGGCCAGTCGGAATCATTGACGGGCCATTCAGCTCTTGGTAGCACTCCGAGTTTCAACCTCATCTTATACTCGTGTGGTGACCAGGAGCGACCAACTGTGAGGGAAGGCTTTCTGAAAGGATATGCATGTCTTGAGGTTTCAGAGTAGTCTTCCTTTAGCCTGTAGTCTTCAACACGAATGATAATTTGAGAGATTAGCTGATAGATCCTCAGCTGGGTCGATCTCTTGGAATTTTCGAGAGGGTTTGGGAAGGTTTGCTTGTCATAATAATGAAGAAAATCAGCCTCCTCTTTGTCCAAGGGGGCAGAACCAACTGAATATGTCAATAGACGTCTCCGCTTTTGTCTTGGATAACGTTTTGGGTCGAGGTCAGCGAGGTAGAGCAGAGCCATAGCATTCTGGAGAAGACCTCCGGTTTTGTCGAGGCCGATAAGTTCCCTGAGCACCTCCCGCACTATGATATGGCGATGAACGATATATTGTTGTAGCGTAGTGGGGGATGCTTTGGTGAGCCTCCTGATGCAGGCTGGTGACCCAAGATCGATGAGGATCTGTATTCGGATGGTCGCTGGTAGCCGCGAAAAGAAATCCATATTGAGCCGTGGGCGCCAGAAGCGAGACGTTCTGGTGACAGAGCGATAATCAGGTGGATGAGATAAAAAAGCAGGACAATGTAAGTATTGGGTTCCTTTTATGGCGAGAAACTTTGTAGGTGAGCCCTAATTGCCTGGAATATAGTTCGCCTGGCGTAATCTTGACTTTCACGGTAGGGTTCTCTGTGAACCTAATAACCTGCATGTGATTAAGCTCATCAACACAGCCCTTGTTAACTCTAATATTTAATGGCGCCTTATGGTTCGTCTGTATTCGCACTGGAACATCAGGTGGCGTCTTGCCAAATCGTGGGAAGGGGCAGCAACAAGGCATCGGAAATATTCTGTGGTAGACTTACAACACAAGGTGATTGAAAGCACATGAACATCCCAATGACATAGTCAAATACGGGCTCTCAAAGCTGCTATACTCGTGGCACTAAAGTAGTAGTCAAAGGAGGCAAGGGCTGTTTCATTTGGACCATGGAAAGGGTCCGGGTCAGTTGTTGGTCAGACTTCCCTTCGAATCTAGATTTTCCTCTGATTATAATTCATGTTATGGTGATTCATCCTTACGGCTGAATGCCTAACGTGAGCCAGGTGTGTTTCGCAGTTGAGATTTGTGGCTGAAATCTTACTTCCCATCGACTGCTCATCTCGAACGTTTCCCCTCACAATACAACTAATTCATGGATCGTATAAGAACACAGGTATTGAAGAGACACGAGCCTCTTTTTCTTCTATTTCATTCGTTTCACGGACTCATTACGTCTTCTCATCTTGCTTCTAAGCACTGCCCTTGACCATGAAAAGCGCCATTGCCTTTGGCGTCTCGTTGTTCACTTCAGCGTATGCCCAATGGCCATGTGGCAATATAGAAGAGGTACATCCACCTTTCACCTGGTATGAATGTATTCAAAAGCCTTGCTCGAAATACTTCGGTGCCATCGTCCTGGAGTCATCGTTACGTGAAACAAATTGCTGCGCCGGTAGTTTCAACATCAAGGACTTGCACAGAACACAATGTAAAAAGAAGGATGAAGATACCTGCCCCGTGGACTGCTGTATCGAGGGCGCTGACTACCGAGCTCATGGCATAAAGACCGAAGGCACGAGCCTGACAATGGACCTCGGGGCCACCGCGCCTCATGTTCCCAAGAATCTGATTCGCGTAATGCCCTTGAAGGATACCGAGCGTTACCCGAACAAGCCTTTGGTCCGCCGACATGATTCAGAGTATACTTTCGATATCAATGTTCGAAACGTCCCCCCAGGGTACAAGGCCAGAGTGTCACTCAATTGGATGGAACCGGATGGCGCTCGAACCAGGAAAAAGGGCGACAAAGCCGGCGCCAAGTACGGAACAGGGTATTGCGATGCTACATGCGACAAGGGCCAAAGGTTCGTCGAAGGAACAGCCAATTACGACGGATGGGTTCCTGATAAGCACGATCCCATGCTGGGCGCAGGTCGTATGAGTGCATGCTGCCACACCACTGTGCTTTGGGAGGGAAATATAGAGTCTACGGATTACCACTGGAGTCCCTGTCTTCCGCCGTGGTATCATATGTGCGACAAAGAAAAGTGCACAACAAAGTGTTTCGCGTTCGGTTGTCGCTGGAACCCTAATGGGAACAAAATGAAACCGTTCTACGGACCTGGACCTACCAACACTATCGACTCCAAAAAGACGTTCAGCGTTGTGACTCAATTCTTCATACAACAGACACCAAAAGTGGAAAATATCTTTAAAACTCGGGCCACCTACTATATCCAGGAAGGCAAGATTTTCCGCAGCGCACCATCTGACTTCAGACCCAACGGTAAGCTGTTCAATACCATCAATAGGCAGTTCTGTGAAAAGATGGCGTCAGACTTCAAATGGGGCAAGCGGTGGAGGAGATCCGGTGTATTTTGGCAGCGAAGTTACGGTCACCTGTACAAGTTGGTGCCTGTTTTTAGCATATACCGAGATGTGAGTGTGCTCTTTCAAGCTATACATACTGTGGACAAGACTGACTCTCTGGGTAGCGAGAGTATGACAAGATCTATTACTTGGAAAACGAAGGGAAAGAATTTGACGACTTCCCTCGCAACGCATCTGTTACTATCTCTAACTTCAGGATCGGCACGGTTAACCAGACCTTTGTTGATATGCTTGATCCGGAATTGCGGCCAACTGAAGTGTGGCATCGGCAGGGTGTCTCTTTTAACGAAAAGGATCAACCCAAGCCTACAGGTTGGGGAGAAGATAAGCTCTGAAGCACGTAACAGCGTTGCAGTTGTGCCTAGAGTGTTACTATTACCTCTATTGTAATTGCTGTCTGAAGAATGGACATCGACGGTCAAGCTTCGTAATGTTATGAGACGATAAAAGGCATCTCTTTGTGATAATTAATATGAACAATGTCTCTACCTAGCACCTGAATGCAAGTGACGTAGCGCTCTGTTGTTCCAAGGCAGTCCATTTGACCGACTGCCGAATGTTGTTACCGTGCTAATTATCGTCGTCCACAGATGTCGCCCAAAGAAGTAGGAATAAGCACTCCGCCGAATTCGCTGACAAGGAAGAGTTCTGAGCTCTCAAACGCCAGCGAATCACAAACAGATCTGAAAGACTGGTATTCCGGAGTGCGGGGAATGCTAGTCCAGGAAGCGGCCCTTAAACCCAAGAAGGCATTAGCTTTACGGGTCAATACCTGGGGTTTGCGGGTTTTCCTCGATATGACGCTTCCGATTTCCTTCCTAGACCGCACAAACCATGACTGGACGCTATGAACAGGGTAAAATTTGGCTAAATGTCCGTTGGCCGATACCCATCCAAGTCACAAACCTGTTCACCATGAAGTACAAAACGCCAGACCTAGCCTGATGTCTGTCGCGTATCGTAGGTCAAGGACTCACTGGAAGGCATCACCATGGCGCTGTTCTTCACTCGTTTTCTGTCTGTAGTGCTCTGGCTGCAGTCATGCTCTGTCCTCGCCATGCCACAGCAGAATGGCTCGACTGACTTGAGTATCCTTCCAAAGGTATCTCGGGTGAGAACCTTCATCCTTACCGATATCCTCAATGAGCCCGATGACTCAATGTCAATGGTCCGGTATCTACTGTACTCGAATGAATTCGACACTCGGGGTCTTGTCGCTGTGACCTCTTGGTCCTTACGAAATGACACCCATCCCAGCGAAATCAAGAAGATCATCATGGCCTATGCCAAAGTTGTTGATAAGCTGAACCAGCATGTTCACCCTGACAATCAATTTCCGGATCCGGGGGAGCTTTTAGATCAGATTTCATCTGGACCTCGCGTGAGTACCCTGGCAAGCCAAACGGTCTTGCATGCTAACCCTATCAGTCATATGGACGAGCCGCCCTCAAGGAACCCATCAGCGACGGGGCCAAACTCCTTATAAAGCGTCTCCAAGAGTCCAAAAAGCCACTCCATGTAAGTCTCTGGGGTGGAGCAAACACTTTGGCTCAAGCGCTACAGCACATTGAAAAGACAAAAAGCAAGAGAGAAGCTGCCGACCTTCGATCTCGACTAAGGGTTTACTCAATCTCAGATCAAGATGATACGGGTGCTTACATCCGAGTCAAATGGCCAGATGTCTTCTTCATCGTCAACGTCCATGGCTATCGCGAATATCGACTTGGAACATGGACCGGTATATCTACTGCCGACAACGGCGCAGCCAACACTACAAAAGTGACAGACAGTTGGCTTACACCGAATATTCGTCTGGGTCCTCTTGGAGCGCAGTACCCCTTTATTGCTTACACAATGGAGGGAGACAGTCCTAGCTTTATTTGGAATATTCAGAATGGTCTGAACGTTCCTGGTAGACCTGAATATGGAGGCTGGGGAGGTCGATACACTCGCGTCACGGAAGACACCGATATAAACGAATATGGCACATCCGGGGATGCTTTGATCAACACCAAGGGTCAAAGCTGGTTTAGTCCCTATGCTACTATCTGGCGCTGGCGGGATGCGTACCAAGACGACTTTGCCGCTCGTATGCAATGGACTCTGGTCGATGGCTTTGATGAGGGCGCTCACCCGCCGAGCATCAATGTCAACGGATCCACGGGTAGTGAGCCCCTACGCTTCAAAGTTGGCTTAAAGGACGCTATTATCTTGGATGCCAGCAATACCATCGATACAGATAGTCAAGACGATCCGTCTGGGCTGGACTTCGAATGGTACTCTTATGCTGAGTGTTCTTCACCAATGTTGACCAGTCTTGCTGCCAACTTCTTCTCCGTTAATGCACTGGCGCCGCCAACAGGGACCAACGGCACACTCTGTGTGAATGAAGCAGGTTTTAGCAATGTGGCGTTAGGACCAATGGTCAGAATCTCTACCAACTTGACTAGTTGGGAAGAGGAGCAGCCCAGTTCGGTTGATAAGGAATGGCATGTTATCCTTCAGGTCACCAACAACAAGGGATCATATCCAATCCGAAGGTATAGACGGGTTATTCTAGAGCTCCCTGAATCAAAGTAGATGGGGTCCGTTCGAGTACCATAGCATACATTTATCTTCTTCTTCTTCTCCATGTCTCATCATTAGTTGTTTTGTCAAACGCTTGGCTGATCTTCCGTATTTTCCTTCAACTGGGAGAATTCGTCGTCTTCCTCCCAATGGCGTGTAGTTTGCAAATTGCAATAGCCTGTTTCAGACGCAACCGCAAGTCTTCATCCGGCGCACATGCCAAAGCCGCCAGTATGCTATCCTGGAGTGCTGGATTCTTTAGCTTATGCGTCTTCCACATGGACAAAATCGCAAACGCTACGCCGGATAGCCTTCGGACTAATGATCTATCTTCTGTACCAGTCAGTTGAAGAGCCAATATCCATTAGAACAAAACTTATATCTCGCTAACCCACCCAATCCCACATCTCGTTAGTCGCCAAGTCTATATGGCCGTCAATCGTCCCGGCATCCAGCGGCTCGAGCTGCTAAAACTGGGGAATCTAGTCCATGAGAAGGTCAAATGGGATGACAGGGATTCAATTCTCACGTGGGATGGCCTCCGTTCGGAGGTTATCACGGCTGGGGCGACTAATGAGCTGCCCGCCTTGCGACAGGTAGAGATGATAGGCGAAGTGCTCGAGGAAGACGACGTAGAGATGGAAGATGCGGAAGGCGAACCAGGAGAAGCCGCCGAATTTGACCTAACCCAACGGAGCAAATTTGCTGGCGTTATAGAATGCCGACGAATTTCGTGAAATACTTTCGAGAATTCCTCACAGAGCTACCGACTAGAAACCTTTGGCGGAGGCTTTAGAGGTGGATGAGCCTCTTATTGATGATTTAGTGACACATCTCCACAGGGTTTGGGCTGACCTCGGTCGTCTAGTTGCCTCCATCGGTCGGCAATTCTGGCAAGACAACCATAAAGCCACTACGGAGGAGATGCAGCAGGCGTGCAAGCAAGGGCCGCAGCATCTCATTCGCCTCTTGAGACTTCTTGATCCCGACGACGCGATCAAGCCCATCGAGGTGTTTCCATCTTGGCTGGAACATCAAAAGCCTGCCTTACATTTGCAATTAGCATAAGTTTGTCACAGAGTGAATGGAACTGGTCGCGTGGAGCTGCGCAGCCACTGGTAGACTTTGATCGTTTCGATGCTGCTGGCCAAGAAGCTTGGGGAAGCCTGCGTCTACTACATTCTTGTGTACGCCGACCGTAAGGTATTACTACCAAGCTATTGACTGCAACACTAAATTATGCACTAGACACTGGATATCAATGGGTGCTTAGACTGCTATTGCTCTACTGGCCTTTGAGCCCTTCACCTAGGCTATCTTAGCCAGAGAGGATAAGACAGTCAATTTGGGCCTCTCAGAGTACGCCAAGCAAGGATAAAACTTAGGACCTTTATCCTAGGTGATAAAAAGCCTTAGGTAAACTTAGTGTAATTTAGTGTAATTTAGTAAAGATATAGAGGATCTTAGACTAAGTATTTTTAACACCTTGGTTTAACGTCAGAAGTCTTCTTACACCCTGAGGTAATGCAGTACATTCGGTTAATGATCCTCTTAAGACTCTTGTAAATATTCCTACAATCGGCAAGTCAACTCATTTAGATGGCGCTTCGTGGGATGTCTTTTGTCTAGTGAAATATTGCGAGGGAGGAATGGTGACTGTTTCAGCTCTGTCTGTCAAGATTGGGTTCCTTGCCGTGAGGCACTCCATGGCGCCACCTTGCCATTTCCCTATCCTTCTTGAGAATTGAGCAATAGTGGCTGGGCTTGACTATATATTAAAATTCGATATTGAATTCTTTGTCTCAGAAGTCGAGCCGCTGAACTTCGTGTTGATCTGTGTGTCGGCTCGTCGCCCAAGGCCGGAAAAGAGTGCAGGGCACACTTGGCGGGTGATGATGTTAGCATCAGGAGGAAGCCGCACGAGCAAATTTAGACCTTTGTCCAATATACAAAGCAACAAAGTAAAATAATATTCATCTTGACTGTCTTGTGATGTGTACTTAAATCTATGATCTCCGCTTGACCTCCAATTGGACTCCAGGATCCGCAAACAACTCAAAGCCAAAGGGCATCAGCTTTGGTGTATAGCCCTCGGCTAGCCGCAGATCATAGTCTAGCAAGATGGACGCTACCGCAGTCTTAATCTCGGCGATCGCGAAAAACCGTCCTGGGCAAATAGGTTTACCAATACCAAACACGAAATGATCCTCACTTGTGGAGGTTGCTGAGCTAGCGTAGATCCACTTACCGCCCTGCGCACGAAGCTTCACATAGCGATATGCATCGAAGGTGTCTGGGTTCTCGTATACCTCGGGGTTCCGGAGCTGCGACATGTAGATTGAGATAGCAGTGCCTTTGGGTAGATACTGGCCGTTAGGTAGCGTAACCGGCGACAGAACCTGACGATCGAGGTTGACTATAATATGTTAGTTGACAGATCACAATGCCAGAGGGAGCGTCGTATAGACCTACCTATAACGGCAGAGTTTAGCCTCTGTGTTTCCTTGATGACACTGTCGAGCAAGCGCATATTGGTCAGAGCAGCAGGAGACCATCCATGCTTGGCAATCACGGCTTCTATCTCCTCCCGGAGGGGAGTCGCCAGGTCGTGAGCGCATATCTCAATGATTGTCTGCTTCAACAGCTCAGAGGTAGTTACAACAGCAGCCATAGACATTCCAAGCTGGGCGGCGACAGGATCATAGCCCTTACCGCCCGCGATCTCGCCAAACCAGGTGATGGAATCGTCGTGCTCCTTTCCTTCGGCTGCCCTTTTGGCAAGGTTCTTCTGCAAGACTTGACGAGCACGCTGGACCTCTGCTCTGCAACTCTTGCAAGCGGGGAGGAACCATTGTACAATAGGTCTCAGAAACCGCGGCCATGCTCGCAACGCGCGAGCAGCAAGGAACACGGTCATACCGTAGTTGGTGCTGACCTGCTGCCATGTCTCGTCGCGCGACAACTCCTCGCCAACAAAGACGGACGCAGACATTCGGCTGATAAAGCTAACGCCATCCTTGGCCCAGTCGACTGCCTTCCATTCTATCCTCGCTATCAGTCGATGCTCACAGATCACAGAGTGGGTAGATGCTCAATATGTCGTACGTACCATTACTCTGTTCCGGCCAAGCTGCCACTAGGTCTTTTTGCACCATGTTGTGAAGCTTGCTAACATCTGGGAACCCTTGAGTCAGCATGATTACATCAGGACGAGGGGAAATGATCGGGCTCACGAGGATTTTGCACCAGCTTCTTCTTGATAACATTGGCCAAAAGTTTAGATGGGTCCGATATGGCTGCCGTTCCATCAAAGCCAGGGTAGCCTGCGAAAAAGTCCTAGACATAGACAGTTAGTAAATGGTCAATTGAAAAGCCCGGAAAGTCAATCTGTGTACCTTAGATACTAGCGGTTGGTGGTCAAGATGGGGACCATGACGTCTCATCCATTCGAAATGGTCGGCAGGGAGGACTATTCTATCACCCAGGAGTGTGATCATGCGGAAAGGCTTGTTGAACTGCTCTCTTTGTCAGTATCTCTGTTTCTCCATAACCCATAGAAGAGGAACTTTCGCGCACCTTGGCAAACCCCTGTTTGATGAGACCATCAGCATTAGTGATAAAGGCCATATGAGCCTTGCTCAAGAACCAGTCGTTAGGATATTTGTTGATAACGGGGATACGGTCTTTCGGCGCGATCACCATCAGGAGTACTAATGCAACGACAGCGACAAGCGCAGCTCCTCCCAGAGGATACTGCCCCGCAAGGAGCGCGGTGATGTGCTTGTTGAGATCCATTGTCTATACCATCATTAAGAAGTTTTAGCAAGTCGGCATGATTGTGAGGATTCCTCCCTTGGGGGAAATTTGTGTCTGCTTACCTTTGATTTAGCAAGCAAAGAAAGAAAGCAAGACTTTTTGATAACGTAACAAAGAGAGTCAGCTGTGAAACTCGACGAGATGTAGGTAAAGATGTTAAATACGTCCTAAATCTTGTGATTGGGAATGGGCTGTTAGTCATTCCAAATACTGATCTAAAATGAACCAGCTCCGGCCGGGAACTGCCCCAATCTTTTTGGGCTGTGAGGGCTCGGGACTAGGCCTACTAGGATGACAATCCCGCTGACGGGTCCTGCAGCTCACTACAGGACCATTGCCCAGTTAGGTAATTGGCTCGGGTAGCTTGTGCACTAGGAGAATTTCCCTTTGGAGACGAACTGGATATGGACATGGCGCCTAGGGCGCTTACACCTGACATGGAACCAACTGTCTCGGGTGTGAAGCTGTATTAGTATCCCAGGGCTTTGATCCTTCGACAGCTATTCCTGCGGCGGGTGAGGTCCGTCCTCAATGCTTACTTGTAGGTTGGTGGCACAAAATCTTTGAAGAGCTTTTTCTCGAGAAGATTGCTGCCAGACAAGACTGATTGAATGGCAAGCAGATGGTCATCATGGTGGACTTTCTAGCCGTAGATGGAAGAATGTGATTAACCACAAAACTGATCTTTATGCAAGCAAAATGGAATAAAATACTTTAATATAGCATAAAACACTACTTGAGTAGAACATCATTGACATTTAAATAACTTTGACTGCAAAGGGCCAGGCCATCCTATTAATAAATTCCGTCCTGTCTTCCTTTATCTATCCCTATCCCAGAAACTCAGCAAACTGCATAAACTCGCCATCATTCTTCATCGCATCCAGTTCCTCGGGTAAAGTCCCCAGCAACAACTCGACACCGCCGTCCTTTCTCATCGGCAAAATGAACAGGCTCCTAAACGCTTTGTTCAGCCAATCCATCTGGACCCTCACTGCCTCTGGTGCTTCGAATATGTCACCACCGAAGGGCCCAATATCGCTCGCTTGGAAGAGCATCATGTTATTAAACAGCGAATGTGGGCCATCTTGAATGCCCTGGCCTAGGAACGCTGTCGTATGATTTCCCGGACTGTTATCTTTAATCGTATGAAGTAGACTAAAGGCGTCGTGTACAAGCTCTTGATCGATTCGAGTGCGCGCCTCGCGACAGATTTGAGCAATTTTGTATAGTGATGTCTGGGATGAGCAGAGCTCCGCCACGGACATATGCTGTCGGTTCATGATGACGCAGTTGGCCATGTATGTTGGCGGGAGGTGCGAACTGAAGAAGGGTCGGACATCAGTGGGCATCTCGATGATAGCCATGCCATCGGAGGCTGAATTCTCGGGACGGCGACGTGCCCGGACGGCTGCACGCCAGAAAAAGGCCTGTAGCACGTCACCCAGAGATAGCGACCCCGATTCCTTGCTAAGGCTTTGACTTTCCGGGTCGGCGGCTTCGGCAACCTCGACGGTCTTCTGAAGGTTCTCAAGCTTCTCGGCGGAGATGACAAAGGTCGACGCCGTCAACGTGCGACCATCTGCGCGAGGCGCGGGCGGCCAATGCTCACAGGCGGGTAGTACAGGTGGTTCAGGCAATTGACGAGACAAACGAGCCCTCTTAACGTCGGGTTCAGTGTTGTTTCCGTTGACTGCGGCTGCCTCTGTCATGTCCGTGTCTTCCTCTTTCTCCTCGTGCTTGCGCTTCAAGGCCGGATCGGCATATGGTAAAAAGCCCCAGACCCTTGGGTCAACTTCAGACGCCGGCTTCGCGAAACCCTCCAGCTCGTACAAGATAGACAGCATGTCACGATTGAGGCTCTCTGGGTGCAGCCACTCGGACGTCGCAGACTGATCGCCCTGGATGAACCGGCAGCATTCCGCCCATACCGTCAGCGCGATCAACATGCCGATACCATCGAACGCGTGATGGTGAACATTGAAGGCCAGGACGCAGCCACCGCCGACGAAATTGGCCTGCACGTTGAGAACATCTGTAGGTAGGTCGGGAAAGGAGGGACAATCAGTCAGGAGCTCGTCCGGGTAAGCCGAGGTCAAAAACCCGGAGGCACGCTGCTCAGCATAAGATGGCACGACAGACGAGAGGTCGCGGAAGCGCAATTGTCTTGGCTCCTCGACAGGAGTGGTACCCAAGGCCGTCGACGGCAATGGAGGCAGACTGATCCGAACGTCTCCCTGCTTGTATCCAATCTCGTGCTCCGAACACGGTATGACTTTGCCCGCGAGAGTGGGCACGATCTCCATAGCGCGAACCAGACCTCGCTGGAGCACTTTGTACGCTTGCTCGAACGAAACGCCTGGTCGGAGAGGAATGAAGACATTGATCCCCTCGTACATGTTCCCGCCGAAGAGGTCCATCGGGCCTAGCTTGGAGGATAAAAGAGCTTTGTGTCGGTTCATCAGCGCTCTGATCTTGGCTTCCAGTGGATCTTGTTGCTGCTGCTCGGTCGACGACGAGTTAGTAGTGCCATTCGTTGTCGTGACCCTACGTTCGGAAGCCAACCGCACGACAGTGGCGGCAATCGCCTCAACTGTAGGCCCTGCATAGAAGTTCCTTGGTAGGAATACTCCCCCTAAGTCTGTGACCGCCGCTACCGCCTTAGTAGCCTTGAACACCAGCAGCGAGTCGAACCCAACAGTAAACAGATTAGCATCTGCAGGGGCGTCTTTGACCGCAGGCACGATCGAAGCCAGTACATGTCGAACCGCGCGAGCGGTCGATTCCAAGGATGTTGTATCGATTGCGAGCAGTCCAAGCGCCGCAACTTCAGCGTCGCTGTCATCCTCCCCACGCGACTGATATAATCGCTCGATGTAGTCGGCATACAGCGCCATGGTAGCCCGACGTTTGATGGTGCGCTTGTCGGTACGGATGAATGGCTTCCCTGCTTCGGAAAAGGCTATGAAGTCTCGGTGTAGCTGGTCCTTGTGCAGAGACAGGGAGTTAGCTCTTTCGACCACGGCCCAGATGCTGTTGAAGAGTGCTTCAGCATCATCACCATCTCTTCTTATGGCTGGGTCTTTCAGTTCGATAAGGAGGCCAGCTTGTGGCTTGCCGGATCCTATCTGTAAGATAAGTTAGCATATGGTCATGGTCGTGGTTAATGTTCGGCCAGTTGCTTGCAGGTTGTCAAACTTCTGGAGGCTTGCTAGACTTACCATGAGACAGCCATCAACAGCCGGGTGGGATGTGACGAGGGCCTCCGTATCGAGGGGCGAGATCTTGTATCCATTTGAAAGCACCACAACATCATCGCTGCGGCCGTGAGACGCCCATAGACCGGGCTTAGTTGGATGCTGAACATACAGATCCTTAAAATTAAAACTGTTCACATCTTGAAAGGTATGAAGGAGACCCTGGAAGAACTCCGCGTGCTCATTGCGATGGATCCACTGTTCGTAAAGACCAGGTTCAACCATCTTAAAGTCGAACCCGGACCATGGGTGGAAGGCAAACCAGTGCCAATCCTGTCTGTCCACCCATAAGTTTCCGATGAACAAACCCTCCGATGTGCCGGTCAGGTTCAATACGCGGACATGCTCGTTCACTTTGGATCCTAAATGATTGCTCACAGGTCCTGGAAATTAACCACATCTGTTAGCTTACTAATGGAAACTGAAAGCATTGACACAACATAATTCTTTGTCGTATCTCAGCTACGAAGTTGCATCTATCGTCCGGGGGAGGTATGTATGGTTGAGGAAATCGGCTCACCTCCTGAAGCGCAGATGAATTTCGATCTGCTTAATTTTGGCAAGATGTCGGGCGCTTCGCCAAGCTCGTCAGTGAGCGAAGGAATCATGCTCCAGATGTCGATCTTGATGTGGTCTGCAATGGATGATATGAGTTCCAGATTGGGTATCACATCCCGGGGCCCGAGGACGCAGTGTAGCCCAAACAGCGGCGATATAACCACGTCCATCAAGATTCCCGCTCCCTTGGATACATAGTCAGTACTTGATCAATTCTGAAACCCGGTAAAACTGATTGGAATATATGTTTCTTACATGACTCAAAGGGAATGTTGAGTATAGCGTATCGCCGTCATCCCAACCTTTCGCCCAGGGCTCCATGCCCTCATGAGGGGGCAGCAGCCGAACAGCGTCTACGGTACCAATCAGCCCGTGTGTCCATGAGATGGGCTTCGACAGGCCGGTTGAGCCCGAGGTATGGAGGATGCAGAAAGTGTCGTTAATCGCATCTTCCCAGCGCTTTGTGTATGGAAATGGCTCCACATTTTCCAGCTCGCTCTCATCTTCAGGAAGAACTTCTTTCAGCTCGGGTAGGTCCATGACGTGCATGGGCCGTTGCTTCAAAAAGTCATTCACGAGCTGTGTTGGCTTCTCACCAGCGGGGCTGACCCAGATGTCACAATTTGCTGCCTCGAGAACAGCTAGAGCGCCCTCTGTGCTATTCTTTGGGGAGAGGAACAAGCCCTGGAAGAATCAAGTAGTTAGACAAACAGGTGGGAAACCCATTGAATGTGAAGGGAAAACGAACAGCGCAATTAGTTTTAATACAAGCGAATGTCAACAGAATCTGTCGCAGATCGTCTAACACGTGGGTATCGTCTCGTCAGTCAAATGTCGAGATCATAGGGGCTCACAGCCGCCGAGATGGCGGTAGGGGCCCTTGAAGGTCCCAGGACGCTTCGATGAGAGCAAACTTACGAGGTCCAATATAGCCTACGGCGCGGATCTCCGACGTCACTCCCAGCTCCCGCTGAAGTAGCCAGGCAGTCTTGTCAACTGCCCTCGTAAAAGTACGAGCTGATACATGACGGAACCCCTGCGACAGGTCCGAAGACTTTGCGAAAGAGTAAATGATGCGATCGGGCTCAGCAGCTGCGAGGTCGTCCAGAATCTGGGGAATCAACCTCCTCCCACAGTTTGCCGGCGCTACCTTACCGACAGCCATGGCTGCTAGTACGAGTGTGAGTATGGATGGGCTAGGTACGAGGAGAGTTCAGTTATGGATGAGCCTTGCTATCGAGGCCAATGGTGACAAGATAAATGGCGATTGAAAGAGCGTCTTGATAGACAGAAAAGAATCTTGTAGCACAAGACAGATTCTCAATGCTTAAATTAAATACAAAATTTACTCCCTACCTACAAGTATGAGTACATTGGCATGTGGATAGATGGGTACGTTTTAATTTCTTAGTAACGACGCGTCTTTCTCTGTATCCTAGGCTGGCTGAACTGATGAGTTGAGTCCCAAAAGAGTAGGCCGCCTACTTCTTACTTACAGAGCAAGGGACCAGGACGATTGCCCAGGTTGGCTGCCCGCGCTGACGGGACATATTCCCCGGGCAAGCTAGGGGAGTTTCCTTTTTGAGCCCCGATTCCAGCTGACAGGATCGTAACCAGGATCCAGGCCTTACATACCGACATCCCTGCTAACTGGCATCCTAAATGTAATCTGGAGGCTCCGATTGGTAAGAAAAGGCTCCAAAGTTAGCTAACTAAGTAATCGTGATGCTTTTCTTCAGCGGGACGCTGAAAAAGCAGTGGATCGATGGTTAGTTGATTTTTTAGGGACGTTCCGTTGGAGATGTCCCCACACCCACCTACCTTACAGGGCATCACAGAGCCTATCCAGAACAGTCCATAACCCCAGAGCTTGAAAGCGCACTGCCAGCACCTACTCATACTCGTGGGACAATATCTCTTTGTCTTAACATCTTGTGACTTGCTAAGCCAATATTTTCTAGCTGACTCACTCCCAGGGCCGCTGAGTCGGGCGAAAAACCAAGCCGGAGCGTCGAGTAGCAATCTTCTCGCGATTGAGTTCTCCTCCAATGCTTTCTATTCCAACGACGATGTATTCCCGGGTCTTGAGGCTTAAATCTAACGCGAGTAGTAATCAAAATAATAATTTAGTTATTCAGTTCAACTTTCAACTAACTCGAATTGCCGATTCTGGAGATTCCGTTATGAAAAGGTCGAGTATTCTATCGGCCCTACTGCGAGTACAGGGTAATCCACAGCTATCCTTCGACCTCCCCCTCATGAGTTATGGCGTTCCTTGGGCGAGTGTATGTTTTCTTTATGTATGTAATATTCTTCTATAATTGATCTTAAACCCCGTCCTGAGCCTCTTTCATCAAGCATATATAAGAATAACCGTCATCACCACTGTTCATTTGCTAAGAGATAGTGCTCGCAACTAGATAAAGGAAACACTGATGACACCCTATTGACGAGGACAACCAATTAAGGTGTAAGTACAAGCCAGCCCTTTAGCGTCTGATGAAGCGCAGATCATACGCTGGAGGTGTCAACATGAACTGTTCCGAGCCAGTAGAAGCCCTGATTTTAGCCTGCTCCTGGGTCTCGCCCGGTTCGGGCACGACCTCCCAGCGGAAGTTCATGATCATATGTGCCAGGAAGCACACCATTGTTACCTCTGCGAATCGCTTGCCAATACACTGACGCGAGCCGGACGAGTAGCCGATAAAGTCCTCGTACGAGACCTACATGAGTGAGAATGTCAGTACCCGAGTCGGAACTAAAAGGACAGAAAAGGCAAACTTACAGTCACCTTTTTGTTGCCGTCCACGTCTTCAGTCTCGCGAAGGTGGCGTCTTGGGTTATATGTTTGCGGGTCTTCCCACTTGAAGGGGTTGACCCCAAACGCCGCCGTGTCTAGGTGCACGCGCGTGCCCTTGGGAATGGCAACGATGTGCTGATGAACCTTGGCCTCAGATGGGTTGGCGGAGTCACCATCCCACGTTGTGTAGCTAAGCGTGGTGTCGCGAGAGGCCACGCGCGTCATCTGCATGGCTAAGTCGCGCATGCGGAGTGATTCAATAGTAGCTGCAAGGACTAGAGGGAAGTTTGCCATCTCCTCGTAGTCGAAATACTTCAGTGGCTTCGCGTCTCCCACGCTTTCAGCCTCGTCCAAAGAGATACTATTCACCTTTCTGATCTCATCATATAGCTTTTCTTGCCAATCAGTATTCCTGGCGAGAAGTGACAGGACCCAAGTTAGGGTATGAGAGGATGTTTCGTGACCAGTCCTGAGTTATATGTTAGTCAGAGTATACATGGTGTAATACGACGTTGAGTGCCTTATTGACATACACCATGAAAGAGAAAATGTTGCCTTGGACTTCCTTGTCTGATAGACCGACATTAGGCGACACGTATCCCTTCTCGGCCTTCTCAGCCTTCTCCACATCGTTCTGGGAATCGACCAGCGCGTCAATGAGGTTCCTATACTTTCTCGACCGACCTGGGACCTCCGCGATATCCTTCATATCCTCAATTCTTTGCCTTGTCTCAGCCTGCGCGTTCTTGATATGAGTGATGAGGGATCGCTGCGCCCAGCCAGCGCGACGTAAATACAATGAAGGACTCCATTCCAAAAACCACAGCGGAAGCATAGTTTGTACAAATGGCGAATCCCATACAACTTTCAGCGTCTCGGCGAATGGCATCAGGTCGTTCTTGGCGTTGCGCTGCGACTCCTCTGCCGGATTCCAGGGTATGTCAATGTCAAACCACGAGGCGCCGATGGCACCTAGTGTCACTTTCAGCATGGTTTCTTTCATATCTCGTACTATGGGAGCCGCCTGCGAATTTGCGGCCGCTGGATAGATGTGCTCTTCGCGGAGTAAGGTTCTCCACATATTGCGCATGTTGTACCATCCGTTCGCCATAAGCTCGTTATTGAAGACTGCCTTGACGACACGCTTGTGTCTCTCATGCTGAGCGCCATTCTGTGCCGAAGCGAGCTGTAGCCCAAAGGTATTCAGCATCCGATAGCGGATCTTCTCAAGAGGCTTGAGGAAGATATCGCCGTTACGACCGATTTCGCGAAAGATCTTTGGCGATCCGAATAGATAGGCCACGCCATTAGGTGAAGACTAGTAATGAAATATATATGTCAGTAATTTCTCTTTCTTGAGAATGGGAAGAGTTACTCACGGCTTCGGTGATGACGATCATATCGGAGCGCGCGTTGGCGAACTTCTTAAAAGGATCTTTTAGGGTGAACTTCTCCATGGGGACCAGGATGGGAATGCGAGGATACCAAGAACGAATGACGGACTCGAAGATCATGACGCCGCTGTGAATCGCGGGATGACCATTGCGGCGGACCTTGAGGACGGTGCGCGCATATGCCGCTAGCCATTGGAGCACGATGATGACGGGAAGGCCAATGATGCCGATGAGCAGGAGAGGGGAGGCCATGGTAAGGTGAAGACTGAGGCTTGTCTCACGGATAATGAAGGTGAACCGAATTGAATCAGCAGCAATGGAATAGACTTAATCACTTAAGGTCTTTTCAAAGAGAGCTTTAGGATGTCCTGAGAAGAATGTTCAGGACTGCTACTTCACCTTTGGTACGACCAAGACCAGCTAGATCAATGTCTCCTGAAGTACTGATATATTGAGAAAAGACGAGTATATGCCCGAAGTGGTACTGGTTCCAAATATTACTTACCCCGATTATTTTTATGCTGCTTGTGGTCGTCAGCTGTGTCATCGCCGGGCAGGACGGAGGTATACTCAGAGCAGCAAGTTGGAAGACGTGAGACGGGGCTAGATCAGGGCGGAGGTGAGCCCAAAGCGGCAACTGTCCATCGGCCGGCTTCCAGTCTGAACGAATCGCCTGTCAGCACTGGAAGCGCGTCTGACACCTGGAGTTAGAGAGGCTGTACTCTCACCTGCAGCATTCAGCCCAAGATAGATGTTGAAAGTCATACAGTGCATACGGAAGTAGAAGTGTTGGCAATTACAGTTATCTGACTTGAGCCTTATCATTTTGAATCATCTCGTAGCTGTATCAAACTCTATGAAACCTCAATGTTGGATATCTCGATCCGGCATTTGACATGTCTGTCTGAATAGTCTACCGAAAGTGATTGCCTCTCAATCGTCTATTCCTGGAGTAGTCCGTTTTCCCAACCCATATAAACTATGTATAACTAATTCTATGGTACAAGGGCTCAAGAAAAGTGGCGAAATGACAATGAGATCAGAAGTTTGTTAGATCTCTTTCGTAGAGCCTGGACTAACCTCTCATGCCAAGGCCATGCATTTGCGCTTATAGTCCCCTCAGCCATGGTGATTAGATTGCCGAGCCTTGTCGCGCGGGACTTTATCAGGCTAATGACCAGTTCCATCTCATCGTCGTCGTCGATCTGCCATGCACCCACCCCGGGCTGCAGCATCTGGGACGATCGGGACAGGGATGACACTTCTAGCCCCGTGCGCGATGGTGTTGCCATGCCCTGCATATCTAGGGCAGCAGTAGCACCGTTGTAGCTGGCCTTATAATTATCATCGTCGCTTCTGCTACGAACAAAACGCTCGACTGCCTCCAAACTCGTCAATATCCGATCGCACATAGTCGTTATAAGCATGACAAAGTCTGGCCGGGACCAGCAATTACCGCAATGGACAAGAGAATCGCAACGGAGAAGTATCATCTTCTGGCGTTTCAGGATCGTTTGCTGGGTCATGAGAGGCGACGTTAATTGGCATGTTGCTTCGGCTGCCCTCGTGCTTGACCCGGACTCTGATCCCGACCAGGATGGCCCGGACGAGTATGAAGAGCCCGCTGACGTAGAGTTGGGAGTTGATGCTGTCGATGGGCCGGCGATGGGATCGCCCCAGACGAGCTGAGCCTGCATTGTCTCGTAGATACTCACGGCTGTCATCATGCAGCAGCAAGATGATGAAGAAGAAGAAGTAGAGGTAGCAACTGAGCCTGATGGTGTTGAGGAATGGGTCGTAGTTGGCCGGGCCTCGGTTGTGACTCTATTAGTGTCGTGGGCACCGCTGGGAGCCACCGTTGTAGAGACGCGTGACTCATCCATCAGAAAGTCCATTGGGTCAATCCCGTATTCGAACAGGCTATCAGCGGATGACGATGAGTACACTGATGTGTGATTGCTCTGTTTGCTATCGTCTCCTTGAGCCGTCAACGCTTCGGCCGTAACACCAACACCACTGTAGCCTGCCCGACTTTTTGAGACAGCCGTAGGCGTAGGGCCGGGCATATTACCAAAGAAGTCTGGATCGAATTGTGGAAAGACTGATGGCATCTGACCAAGGGAGTTTGGGAAGAGTGTGTCGAGAAACAGTTGCTGTGCATCTTCAAGGCCCATGTCTGGCCCTGTTGTGATGTTCTTGGTGTTGTCATTTTGAAGTGAGGGCTGGGGGGTGGATACGACCCTTGGTTGGTCCTTGGGGGATGCCAAATGTGTTGACAATGGCGATGATTGTCTCATAGACTGCGCTCGAGACCGAAGTTTGTGCCTCCTCGCCTGGTGCGCCTGCTTCTGTTGGTTGACGATTGTGTTGTTGTTGTCGTCGTCGTTGTCATCGTCATCATCATCGTTCCGTGACTTTGAACCACCACTTGCGACGCTGGACGTGCGCCGTTGAGGCCTCGAGATGACCAAGTACTCGCATTTCCGGTTCTTGGCAACGCATAGCATACAACCGTTCTCGCCGCTCACGCACTTGGACTACAGGCAATGCACACGTCAAATCAGTCTCGTTGTTGTCAAGTGAGGATGGAGGAAGAGGTCTCTACGGTTTATCTATCAAGATTCGCCGACTGGATGATGATGATGAATGTGAATGGCCGCGATGTGACCTACCTTTTGTGCACGGCATCTCTCACATGCAGTGCGCATGGACGTCCTGTCCTTGTCAAAGGGCGGGGCGATCTCCACGCTGAGGAGTCGGTCTCCATCACCAAACGTTTGCCGTAGGGTACTAAACATGTTGATTTCCAGTACAGGTACCTCAGGTTTGCTGGATAAATTACCTATCGAACGAACAGGATCAGCAGTATATGTAATATGCTGGATCAGGCAGTGACTGTGACTGTCTACCAGTGGACAAGACAGTGGTGGACTTTATCGTCCTACCCATGCATGCTTGCGTTCTCCACGCCTCTCCCCTGTGCCTTTAGCCGAGCTTACAATTACACAGTGGCATACTGGGTCGCAGATTGCAAAGGATTAGCAAAGAAAGTCGGAGCGGTTCGCCAATATGTCCTGCGCGGTTTCGAGCTTGTATGTAGATAATGCTCACCTTCCAAATTCCCCATGAACAAACCTTCTGGACCCCGATTATCGAACGCTGAAAGGTCCCTAGCCCCCAAGGGCAGCGGGGCCACCCGTCGATTGCCATGTCCCGCCCCAGTCACTGTCAATTTCAGTACACCCAAACCCCTGGATTCGGCAGTGGGTCGCCGAGGTAGGGGTGCTGAGGACCTAATCTCACCAATCTGATATCAGCGCGTTTACTCCGTCGAGGGAAGGGATACCATCGATTTCAGTAGGCTTCCCGCTGCTTGTAGAGGCTTGTTCACCCCGTGGCCAATCGAGTATCTCCTTAGATCGGGACCGACAGGGAACTGAGCTCAACTGCTGAATATACAGGGGTTCAGATGTAAGCGCTACTCCCTAAGGGCATTCCTGCTCGTATCCCTCTGCACTGCGCCTCTGGGAGAAAAATACAAGACCCTTGATGAGCTTAGCTTACATAGAAATTCACCGGTGACCCACTGATCCAGGGTCAGTTTTTTATCTTCCCTTCCAGACTTCCTATACGAGTATCGTCGTCGCAAGGGACTGATAAGGACCATGCAGAACGGAACATATTGAGGCTCACGTCAGCTGACCGGAGTGTTATTGCTTAGGGCCTTTCGGGAGTTTGTCCGGCACTGAACATAAGCAACCGGATCAAGTCTCAAACGGACGAATTCGTTGCTAGTGTCGGCACATGAACGCTTTCGCAACGTTGTAATTCCTTTTCCGCAGTGGCGGCGTCTTTCCCAATCGAGACTCCAGAGCCACAGCCTGCACGAGTAGATCCCTCGGCGAACGCCACGCCTTAAATGTACCAGAGATCTGCTGCTGCATTATATGATGCTTCCATACATTGACAAGTTTCAGACGCGTTTGTGAACCTGACATAAGATTACTCATTTAGTAAGTATAGAGCATCCAAATCTAACAACAGAGTGGAATCATGGTCAAATTCGATAGTGGTTCTGAGTCCGAGATGACGAACGGGGACGAGGTTTACATCAACACGAAACATGAGGTCAAGTCCAGAATGGCCAACGGGAACGGGGTCCACAACGTCCCCGACCATGACCAATTCAAAGATCGTGCTGAGATGGAGGTTCTCATGCTTCCCGACCTCTTCAGCTCACTCATGTCGGTCCCAGCCCGTGAGAACCCCCATTATGCCAGCGTTAAAGCCGACGCAGACGAGTGGATCTCCTCGTAAGTTGCACTCGGCGCCTCAAGCAGAACTCTTTGACTGACAGTGTAAAGCGTGATCAACGCCGATGCCAAATGGGCCAGCAGAAACAAACGGGTTGACTTCACCTATCTGGCAAGCATCTGGGCTCCCGACTGCAGCGCATTCGCCTTACGCACGTCTGCTGATTGGAACTCATGGGCCTTCCTGTTCGACGACCAGTTCGACGAAGGTCACCTCTGCAATGATCTGGATGGCGCCATCAATGAGATTGCCAGGACACGTGAAATCATGGAGGGTACTGCCCCGCGGTATAGCGCCGACTCAGAACACCCTATTCGCTACGTGTTCCAGACATTATGCGATCGCGTTAAGCAAAGCCCAGAGGGCTTCTACGCGGGAAAGCCATCGTCAGAGCGTTTCTATAGGCGCTGGATGTGGGCACACGAGCTCTACTGGGACGGGTTGGTCGCACAGGTTCGGACAAATGTGGAGGGTCGGTCCTTCACACGTGGCCCGGAGGAGTACTTGGCCATGCGCCGGGGCTCTCTCGGTGCCTATCCCGCGCTGGTCAACAATGAGTGGGCCTATGGTATTGACTTACCAGAGGAGGTAGCGGACCATCCTCTCGTGTTCGAGATCATGGTCATCATCAGCGACCAGATCCTGTTAGTCAACGACATTCTCTCCTATGAGAAAGATCTTCGCCTCGGGGTTGACCACAATATGGTCCGCCTGCTCAAGGCCAAGGGACTCTCAACCCAACAAGCCATAAACGAGGTCGGAGTTATGATCAACAACTGTTATAGACGCTATTACAAAGCCCTTTCGGAGCTTCCATGCTTCGGCGAAGAGGCTGACCGCGCGCTTCTTGGATATCTCGAGGTTGAGAAGAACCATGCCCTCGGCAGTCTGCTCTGGAGCTACAAGACGGGCAGGTATTTCAAGAGTAAGGAGGATGGTGCTCGGGTCAGGAAAACGCGGGAGTTGCTTATACCAAAGAAGATGGCGGCGTTGTAAGGTTACGAGCGAGTTGGGATACAATAATAGTAGATCAGAAGGATAGCTAGACTGAATTTTCGAGTACATTGAGCGTATATGCATATTGTTCCTTAGATGGTTGTTTAGTCACTAAAGAAAAGAGATAATGCATTGATCTGCTAGATTCTAGTCTCCACTGTGTTTTGGCTTGTAGATGGCCAAATATAAAATAAAATCACTGACAGCATAATATGCTGCCTACAGTGTGCTTCCAGAGCGTTGCTTTCAACGGATAGACCTGATAGCTGGTGCTTGCATTTCGCACCTTACCTCGACCGCACAGACGTGACTGTTTGGAAATGTAGTCTTTTTGTAACTGCATCCGTTACCGAGATTAAAAACCCATCAAGTAGACCTAACTATGATAGTGTATATCAAGATAAATGTTGATGACATACTCAGCCTTCTATGTTCTGTAGTGGTACATACCCAACATGTTCCACCTTGCCTCTGCGTCCCATCATCTCCCTTACCCACCCGACGATTCCTCTTCCCCATGCCCACCTCTCTGACCTGGGCTCACTGCCGCCGTTCTTCGCCATCTCGTCCATCCAAACAGGCCTTGTCCAAGAGTTGAGCATCAGGCTGCTGACCACCACCGTGACACTGCTAAACGCCATCGCAAGACTCGCCATTATAGGATGGACGCTGAGCCCGAACGGAAGAAAGAAGCCCATGGCAATAGGGAGGCCAATAGCGTTATAGACGCATGCCCATCCGAGATTAAGCTTGATACGGCGGAATATGGTGCGCGTTAGCGCCAGTGAAGCCGGGATGATCATAAGCTCTGTCGGCCTCATAAGCACCATATCCGCCGCCTCCATCGCGACATCTGTTCCGCTGGCCATAGCAATGCCCACGTCTGCCGTCACGAGCGCCGGAGAGTCGTTAATCCCGTCGCCGATCATGCCGACAACCTCACCGCGTGCCTGGATCTCTTTCACGATATCTTGCTTCTGATCGGGGCTAACGCCAGCGTAAACATTGTTGGCATCAATACCCACGGCAGAGGCGACGGCAAGTGCCGTAGACAGTTGGTCGCCGGTCACTATGGCGGTCTTTATGCCCATGCGGTGCAGGACTGAGATAGTCGCTGCAGCGTCCTCTTTAATTGTGTCGGAGAGGCATACATGGCCAGTGTAGAGACCGTCGATGGCAACGAAGATATTGGTGGTCCCAGCACTGCGGGTATTGCTCTTGCCCTGTGATATGCCCTCGTCAGCCGCCAGGTTGAGTTTCTCTGCGGCCTCGACAGCATCCTCAGGAACAGTGATACCATTGTCCTGCAAGAAGACGAGATTGCCGACCAGTACCATGTATCGTGACCGATTCGCGGTAGCTGGCTCGATGGTCACACTGACGCCTTTGCCTACGACTGCTTTGAAGTCTCCGACGCTGCCATCAATGGTTCCTTCGGACGAGATACCTAGCTCATTCTTTGCAGCACCAAGAATAGCCTTGCCCACAGGATGTTCGCTCCCCATCTCTGCTAAACCGACAATGGACCACCACAGTCGTTTGCTGACCTCGCTTCTTGCCCATTGCGGGACAAGACCCACGCTGGCCACACTCATCTTACCGTAGGTAATCGTGCCGGTTTTGTCGAGAACAACCTGCGTGACCTTGGTTACACGTTCCAGGACAGCACCGCCCTTGATGAGAATTCCGTTTTCTGCACCGACCCCAGTACCGACCATCACGGCCGTTGGCGTAGCTAGTCCAAGAGCGCACGGACAAGCAAAGACAATGACGGAGATACACAACTTAACACAGACTACGACTTTGCCACCACTATTATCTTCGAGGAAGATCTCCGGGGAATGGGATAAAATATGACATAGGACCATCCATACAAGGAACGTACCAAGACCGAGGATAAGAATCATGGGAACAAAGTAGCCGGCTATGGTATCGACTAGCTGCTGAATGGGAGCACGGGCAGTTTGTGCGTCTTGTACTAGCTTGACAATCTGACTTAGCTGGGTATCATGGCCAGCCCGAGTAACGCGCACGTCAACGCGCCCATCGCCGTTAACAGTGCCTGCGACGATACTATCACCAATGTACTTCTGAACAGGCATGGCTTCCCCGGTGACCATACTTTCGTCAACAAATGTAGTCCCTCGAACCAGAATGCCGTCTGATGGAATCTTGTCGCCGGGTCGGATGACCACAATATCGCCAGCCTCAAGTAGTTCTGTTGGGATGACCTTTTCCTCCCAAGCAGAGACGCCAGGTTCATGAGACTCAGATGCCTTGGGTGTTGGGGGCTCGTCAGATGACCTTGCCCAGCTCTCTGCTGCCTTCTCCACGGCGATAGGATCAGCATAAATGGTAGCTGTGGACGGAGCTAGGGACATAAGACGAGACAGCGCCTTAGAAGTCTGACCTTTAGCCCGGTTCTCGAGCCACCGAGACAGTGTGATGAATGTGATGAGCATGGTGCATGTGTCGAAGATCGTGGAAGGTTTAGAATGTGGCTCAAGAAGGATTGAGACGAGTATGGAGAAGACGCTGAAAAGGAAAGCACATGAGGTGCCGAGAACGACGAGAACATCCATTGTTGGCGATCTATGTTTAATAGATTTGTACCCAGAGATATAGAACCTCTTGCCAATCCCGAACTGAACAGGCCAGGTGAGAACGAGACATACGATGTCACCCAGAAATAGACCAGGTATGAGTTCGAATCGTCCAATGTCTATCACTGGGATCGCCATCGGAATAATCATGCCGATGAAGAGGACGGGGATCGCGAATGCAAGCGACGTCCTGAACGCTGTCCGCCACTCGGTGATCTCGCGCGTTTTGGCCAGCGACTCAAGTTGCGCGTTATTATCCTCGCCACTTGCAACGAGGGCATTCAAGCCCTGCGCCTCTATAGCCTCAACAACGCCACGTAGGCCTATCGTCCTGGGTTGGTAGACGACCGTCAGGCGATCCGTACTGAGGCTGAGAGATGCGGACCTGATGCCCTGGACTGCAGTGAGGCCTTCCTCCAGAGACTGGGCAGTGGTCGCATCCTTGCAGCCGAAGACCTTGAGCTGAACGGTACAGGTGTCTCCTCCCTGATGGACCAAGTCGCGCTGTGTTGATAGAATAATAACATCGAATCCGCGATCGTCGATAATTTCGGCTATCTTCTCCGCTGAAAGCTTCGTCTCGTCATGAGTAATGACAGCTCGTTCCGCCAAAAGGCTAATGTTGAACTTGAGTACGCCAGCCACGCCATTGAAGCCGGCTTCAACAGCAGACGTGCAAGCGCCACACGTCATGCCCTCAATGGCGAAAGTTGTCGTCGCAGTAGGTGCAGACTCAGTTTCGTTCCCAATCACAGTGCTCTGGTCGGAGAAGTGGTTGTTCCATCGAGTAGTCGCGGGGTTGGAACGATCGGTCGAGAGGACCTCAGCATCAAATCCACGGTCCTCGATGATCTCTTGTATCTTCTCGGCGGGTATGATCTCTGGGTCATGGGTGACGACGGCGCGCTCCATTACCAGGCTGACGGAGATTGTTCCGACGCCGGCAACGCCTTTGAAGCCTGATTCGATGGCCGACGTGCATGAGCCGCATCTGTTGAGGGTACAATGTTAGCTTTACAGAACGGAATGAACAAAAGTCAATCGGCGACGCACGTCATGCCGCCGACCTGCAGCGTGGTTGTTGCCAGATGTGCGCTCGTGGGCGCTGGAAGCCTGCTGGCACTGGAATTTCCGTCATCGCCATCTTCTGGCAGACGCATATAGGTTTGTCCCATCGCAGCGACAGCGAAGGCGACAGCAAGCAGTTCGCAGGGCTTCTGGCCGTGGAGCTGTAGTGGAGGGCCGCAAGCGCGCCAGACCACTAGTCTACCAGCTGAGACGCTAAATGGATCTCAAGGATGCCGCCAGATCACGATGACTAACTGACTAGGCTGAGTACCGGGGGTGTCGTTTGCTGAGGTGCACTGAGAAGACCGGCTTCTTCAGGCGAAAGTAAGCGATGAGGGAATGCGATTATGAGAATGTTCCGTAAGCCAGAAGAGAAAAGAGAAGGAGGAAGAGGAGAAATCCTGTTTCTGGGTGACACAACAGAAGGTCTCAGCACAACTACCTATCTGATAAATGAGATTGGGGGCGGGCGCTTAGGTACCTTAGTCTCAACAGTACCCCTGTCTCTCTGCTAGGGTCCCGTCTCGGTCCACTCCATCTCACCTCAGACGCACGCTGTAACCAAGGTAAGGTACCTACCTAGGTAGTTAACGGCAGTGGACCTGAAACGGCAATGTCCCGACCCGTCGACCCTCTGTGCCCTTTGCGGGCTAGCTTTCCTAGCGTCCGCCCTACCAAGCCACACGTTCCCTTCCTAGTGCAGTGCTCCCCAGCATTGATTTAGCATATGCGACAATGGCGGGCTTTGCCTCACTTGGGCTGGGGTGAGGCAGACATCGTCTTGCTTCTTCTGGCATTCTCCCGGATAAATTAAGGCTGAGCATGTCGGTCAATCTCTTTGGCAAAGGATCAAGGCCTATTCCACTGGATCATCTGTCCCAATTGGATCAGTGTTATACGCGATACTATATGTACGGCTTGTTCTAGATTGCGACTTTTACGATACCGCCGCTTCATCCCTATTGCACGTTTATCGCTATCATTTGATCTTCTATTATACAATTCGTATGTGCTTGGCTCGCCATGTCCATCGATCTTGATCATCAGACCCCCTCCGACGTCTTGAAGTTGAAGACACCGGCTGTAACCATAGCTGGATCAGACGTTTCGTTCGACGACACCATGTCAACGAGATCCTCCCGCTCCAGTGTCCCGAGCGAAATGACGGGCCCTCTAGCAACAGATGACAAAACGGAAGAATCTGAAGAGACTAAAGTCTCTGAGATTTCCAACAGAATTCTGGACGCCATTCTCGAATACTCCCTTCACAAGTTCGACACCACCGAGGAACTGCATAGTGCCGGCAGACCCAAGTTCTTAGCCGTCGTGTCACGCTTTGTCAGGGCACGGCAAAAGGTGGTCATGTGTCTGCCGGCATTCCCGTTCAAGTCAGCAAATAAGGTCGAAAAGGTGCTGGGCAACCTCCCAGATAAGGCTGAAGAATTGGCACTTGCTAGACTAAACTCCATATGTGTCACCATTGGTCAATTCTACGAGCCGGGGGCCGAACTGACTGTCATCTCGGACGGCCTGGTTTACAATGGTATGTTCATCCTCTGCATCCCTCGCTCGAAGCAGGGTAAAAGCTCCCATGGCTACTCGCACATAACTAACGCTTGTTTTTGAATTGTTCTCCAGACTTGCTGGGTATTTCCGATCAGGAGACCTGGCGCTATGGGTCGGCACTACGGGCCATGGCCGAGCGCAAGGGCTTCTCTCATCTCTCATTCTCCCGTTTACAGGATTTGGTCGCAGTGAAAGGCTTACCCAATGACCTTAATGAGCTCACGTACGTTGCCAATGCAACTAACTTCCGCCGAACCCTATTCAACAAATATGGCCGGGACGGTGAGCTTGATATTGACCACGAAATCGCCGTAAATCCGGACACTCTCGGGACATACAAGGGGTACTGCCGCTTCCTCAAGTCAGATCTACAGCACATCTTCGGCCCAGCCAAGAGCAGTGCTAAGTATAGGAAGGATGTCAAGTATCTGGCCAAGCAAATGCTGATCCGTGGATATGTAAGTTCCTAGTTCACTAGTTTAGTCATTTCGATATCCATCCGAGCTTCTATGGCTAACAGAATCTCTCTTGTTGCTAGGCCTTTGCAGGAGCCGTTAAAGCGCGCTTCCCGAACTATCTGCGTCTCAGTATTCACCAATCCACTGGCGAACATAAGATTTCTATTAGCCTGCTTAACACAAAGAGCGGTTTCACGACGCCATGGCATTGCAGCGTTGTGTTGATGGCAGATGGTGAGTGGCTTAGCGGTCTTACGGTCGACTTCAAAGCCGATCGGCTTCTGGAGCTCGTCGAAGAGGATGGCCGGCCGAGCTACTTCAGGGAGGTCCTCCGTCAGAGACCATACCTGATGGAGAACGCGAAGCCGCGCATAGTGATTCAACCGGAGCCACAGGTCCATAGGCCCAGGATACGCGCATCCTAGGTGCCTGGAGTGGTTAGGCTATAGCTTTGACTGCTGTCATAGCCTGGAGTTACCGGTGTACAAGAACCGCTCACCCTCACTTACTGAGGGCTAAGTTCGACTCGAGGGGGCCCTGTCTTAGATTCAATTCTCTACGAACCAGTATCAAACCGGACAGTTTTATAGACTTTTAGTAACTTATACAAGAATGAAACGAGATACCTACCCTACCGAGCGTGGAAAGACACTGAGCGCACAACCGAACCTCATGTGAAATGCGAACTATAGCGCCTCTACAGCATTCTGTTTCTTCTTGATATTTGTGGTTGGAGCGATTATTGGACACTGATCCAAGACGCTTAGTTACCTTGCATCCTTCCTGGGAACGCAAAGCCCCTGTTGGTTCATGTGGTGCAGGAGGGCAGTGACTTTGACGCGGTCGAACTCTAAACCCGGACCACCCATATGCGCCATTGACTATCATGGGTTAGAGCCTGTATCACTACACAGAACTTAAGCTATCGAGTATTTTGAAGGCCAGTGTCATGTATCTTTCTTCTTTCTTCATCTAGCTATGTGTAGTTCTTATGTACAGTCCCAAATCGTTGCCTTAGCGCCATAGAATGTCATTACCCCGAATCACGCTATCTTGATGTGAGTCGAGATATGTCCTTTCTTCGTCTGTAACACCACCAGGTCATGGTCATACGTGAGATCCTCAATCGTAGTCTCGAAAAGTTCAGCTTTGGGAATAATTCGAATCGCCATCAGGGCGGCCATGATGTAGATCTCGCACAGCGCAAGACTGTCAGGCACATCTGTTAGCATGAAGACTTCGACTAGGACATGCCCCGTACTAGACATCGGGCAATAGGGATGAGACTCACCTCTCGCCAACGCAAACCCTAGATCCCTTCGAAAACGAGATGAGGAACTTTTGCAGCGTATAATCAGGCTTGCCGTCGGGCAACAACCACCGCTCGGGGTTGAACGCATCGGGGTCCGGAAACAGCCGCGTGTCCCAGTGGTTGATCATGGCCGTCATGCTTACAGGTGTGCCTCGGGGGATCACAAATTGCGTCTTTTCGTCTTGACTTTTATAGTAGAGTTCCTCCTCACGGGCTATGCGAGCTGATCGAGCGGCAGCCCCTGGTTGGTGTCTCAGAGATTCCTGAACGAGGGCCCAAAGGTATGGTCTCTGCTCGAGCTGTGCCCATTTGAGATTATTGGGATCAATGCCTTCCAGGTCTTTCATCAAACGAGCATAGATCTTGGGTTGGTGAAGGAGGTGAAACGTCATGACTGTGAGGATAGCCTGGATCGAGTTAGTTGCCCAAATTCGACATGGCGACTATGGTGAGAGAACTGACCGCTGTGGTTTCTGTTCCAGCAACAAGAAAGACAAAGCCCTCGCCCGAAAGACGATAAATAGTCTTCTCTTCTTCGGGTAGAACGTTCGAGTTCAGAATCTCGTTGAATACACGGCCGCCATCGGGATTTGCCAGGGCAGTCTTGATATACGCTGGGATAACATGATGCATCTGGTGCATGATCCTCTTGACATCGTCGCCCATATAATCCGCGAAGATGGGGAGGATATCGGCCAGTCGCCTGGCAAACCCATTATGGCGCACTATTTGCCGTCTAGTTAGCATGACTGTCTAGTAGGAAGAGAGCTCTCTAAACGTACTCATGTAAGTGGTTGTCAAGAAGGACGAGGTCCAAGTCCCGAAGTTGGGCTCCCAGCCCTCCTGTTCAATGAAGCCCATAGGCTCTCCAAATGCATACTGGGAGAATACATCAGCAGTGTAACAGTTAAAGGCGCCCTTGACTTCGAATGCCTCCTTGCCTGTCCAGCGCAGCATCTTCTCGATAGCGAGCTTAGCGTAGTTGTACACTTCGTCTTCAAGCTTGAGGACCTGTCCGCGTGAGAAGAAGCGTGCATGGGCAGCCCGACGTTTGCGGTGGAGCTCATGCGGTCCAGCAGTGCCGGTTGCCATTGAGACTGGTCCAGCGCCTGCTATTTTGAGGTGATGTTGCCATTTATCGCGGACTGAGAGAATTGTAAGCGCAAGGGTTTCATTGAGGCGAGGAAGCCAGTTATAAGAACGTACTTCTACCTGGCTTTCCCGTGTAGATCTCATCGGCAAAGTAGGGGTCGGAGCAGTGAAGTTCGTCAGGGCTGACGCGCACAATAGGACCTTCAATGATTATTAGTTACTTCAAATTTATCAGGAAGTCCTCGTCAAGTGCTCACCATACTGCTCATGCATCTTTTCTATCCTCCTGCCATACCGACCCATGAGGATCCAGTCATAATAAGCTTCATATACATAAGAAGCAGCCGCAATTTTGGGACCAGGGAATTTAGATAGAGGGTGAAAAGGAGAGATGTTGTAAAGTGCGAGCGCGACTCGATAACCAAGCCAAACTCCAGTAAGGCCAAGCAGCCCTGAGGGGCTCAGTAAACGCTCGAGAGCGATTGAATTGAAGTTGTCCATGGTCAATAAATGGTATCCCAGTAATGACCTTGGGAGAATCGAACTAGACACCAAAAGAGACGGCACACAAACGAATTCTATGTCAATAGACTCTATATATCGATGGTCCTTCTCCACTGAAATGGCCCGGCGGGCAAAGCCATAGCATGCGATCTGTATGCGGCAAGCCCCCGATAGCGAGACTTACAGGCCTGTAGCACTGCCTGTGTCGGATCCTTGTGTTGTAGTGGAGCGGTGTTTAACCCCTTTCGGAGTGTGCCGGCTCACCCACTGACCTTTTTGACCCCGCGGCGCTGCTTACACGGACCGGGCCCTGCTGAGGCACCTACTAAATTTAGAAGGCCAGGGTCATCAGCGACCTACCTACGTAAGGTACTGTCTGAGATAAGGGCTGATTGGAGTCGCAAGCATGCAAAGGGCCTGGCACTGTTACAGTGTCAGCGTTTGGCACAGTCTTCGGAGATGCTTCAAGTCGGCTTATCACGTGGATAGCCACTGCAATCAGCAGTGAAGTCATATTAACGTGATATTAAAAGCTCGTTGCTAGTACTGCGCCCATGCTCAGCGTCAATCTGAACTTCAGTCGTCTGTTGGAAGTACGAGGATCATAGTGCATATCGTCATAAGCTTCCAGCATCAAGGTACTGATGACTAAAGTTTTACCATATGGCAAAACTGAGCCCACCGAAGTTTAGTATAATTACTGATTCTCCATTGTCTCAATCAATAGAATGAAATGGCTGTGGTATCTCTATACTGTGCCTTTGAGGGCCCTATCTACCTCCTTCGCAATCTCAATGCTCTCTCGCAACACACGCTTCTCGTCGGCTGAAAGTTCCAGCACTTGAGTATCAGTCATACAGCTCATATCATCCTTTGTCCTTCCTTTATGCCATTTGCCATCCATCATCCAGTACTCCGGGACTTCATAACCATCTGGGTTCACACGCTTGTTCTTCAACAAACTTCCATTGTACCATAACAGCTTATCCTTCTCATCAGTATGAGCAATGACAAAGCTACAAACCTTTGTCACGTTTCCTCCTTTGCCTTCACCCCAGCCAATCATTGAGCCATAATGCGACTCAAACTCATAACTGGACCCGCCAAGCTCAAGGCCAAGCCACCAAGACTCCTTGTCCCCGTGACCTTGCCTATAAGTGACTTCTTCCCGAACGTCGTATGTGTTCTGCCATGCGACATGCAGAAGGCCAACAAGAGTGCTTACTCGTGCCTTGTTAAGAAATACTACACCTGAGTCGCACTCCTCAGCATAATCCTCTGTCCATACAAGTGATTTGTTCATCTCCGCTGAAGGCACCTTGATCTGGTCCTTCCACCATTCATGCCTTTCTTTGAACGCATGTTGCCAAAGCAATCTGTCGTGGAAGAGCAACGCTCCTTTGTCGATGTATGCTTTTTGCGCAAACAGCCTTTCCGGTTGTCGAATGAAAACCGCATCAGCATCTAGGAGGATGACCTCTTCAAACTGTGACCCAAGCAGTGCAAAAGCCTTGATGGCCCATCCTCCGTCGTTGAGCTTCAGTGTCGCATCATCAAAGACAGTGAAGATGTCAAGAAACTCAACATCAGATGCGCCATCAAGTTTTGTGATCCTATCGCGATCCCTTTTGGGCAAGTCATCTTCTCCGGCATAAACAATCTGTATAGGCAGACGACAGCCCAACACCTTGCGCAGGCTCACTATCAAATGGCCAGCGAAGCGGACTGATTGCTCTTCTCCACCGACAGGAATCACTATCCCTCTGGATCCTCTGTCAAAAGAGTGTCGGAGGTCAGAGAGTGGCGTCTTTGATCCGGGGTTCTGTGGTGGGTTCTGGAGGAAAGGAAATAGTTGTTGGGCTGTTATCTCCGTAACATCCTGGAGCTGCCGCCCAACCTTTGAAGTCGGGTCAAGTTTGTCAGACTTTGATAGCCAGTAACTCAACTCTCGTGATCGTTGGCCAACTTCCCAGAAGGTACTTTTATAAGGGGCCTGTACAGGATTTTCGGCATATTCCTTCGCCCTTTGCGATAAGTTCGTTAGCTCAGACTCGCTGATGGGTGGCGTCCAGCTGTAAGATAAGCTTGCCGAGCCCTTCCAGGTGATGAGAATCAGTAAAAGGGAAAGGCCGTCAAAGATACTCAATCGCACAAGAGCGCGAGGAGGGTCTCTGAACATTTGGCCGAGCCGTACTATGAATGCCGATGCCAGCGACATGTTCACAGATGGTCGATTCAGGCTCAAGGTCGTGTGACGTGATGAAGAATTGAGGCTGAGAAACGGGAGAGCACAGTGAGCGGTACTCCGTAGCCTAATTAAGCCTCCGTGCGGGTCAGGATGACACCCCTGGATTCGTGTTGTCAGAGATTTCTGCCTTGGTCCAACCACCGATGAATGTCACATTACCTGCAACCAACAGCATAATGACCAGTAATTGACAAACCAACCATGGATCAGGCTGTGCCGCCCCCATTGGCGCAAAGTCTTGGCTCAGGAAGTTGGCAAATTTCAGATCTTCCTCAGCTCAATCTTTCCCAAGTAAAACTTCTGTATTCTCTGTGATACTTGATACAGATATTATCCATCTCATCTTGAATTGAATGTCATGAATGATAAGATGCTGCCAAGGTGCGTGAGTTCAGCTATGTGGAGAAATTGCAAAAGCTTGACATAATTCCTGCGTCGACATGCAGGGGTCCTAAGTTTCTTCAGTGGCCTGACTCGCTAATCATTAACTCTCTCCAGTCGCTCAGCCAGACCAGGTTGTCCGTTAGTTAATGAATTGACTGTTGGTACGGAGTAGTAGCTAAAGGACTCTAATTTTAATCCCCCAGTTATCAGGGTACTTCTCTCTGCCTTCACTGTTTAGCGACGGGTCGGTACTAACTCTCTGTGCAGAATGGAATGGAATTGTTGACAACTCAATATCTCTGGCAGGCGCGTTAGAGTTGGGTTTGAATGGCTTCACGTCGGTTCTCTAACGTCTACAAACCAGACATTAGAGTGTCTCTCCGCGAGTATATAAGCATCTACTCCAAACCGCGCCTGCAAGACACATGACTGAAGACTCTAGACCTGTAACAGGTCCTTATCGATACTATCCAATTGAAGTGTTCAAAATGTCCCAGTAAATGCAGCCAAGCAAGCAGGGTGTTAGAAACTGGCGGTTACAGAAGTTTCCGGCCCCTGGCTTTGATACTGTCTGTTGGTAAAAGCCCAAGACCTCCCGAGTCCCCTCCCCCTTATCGTAATGCTACTCCCGCCATCTACAGTCTTCTCGGCCTTCGTTCGTCTAAAGATCATTCTACATATCCAGATATGCAGTTCAGTTTTGTTCTGGGCGTTTTCTATGTGCTTTTGCAGCCAGCAATGGCTCAAGAGGGTGTGTGCTGGGGTGTCGATGGCAAGCAGTGGACCAACAACAAACAGTGCCCAGGTTCCTCGGCGTGTTGCGGTGAGGGGGCAACTTGCATGCCAAATCGACTCTGCAAGAACAAAGGACAAGGAGAGAATGAGTTCGTGAGAGGTCCATGTGCCGTTGCACCATACGATAAGAAGAAATGCGCTGCCATTTGTCTTTACGGTTCGTTCTCAGCCCCTTTTCTGTTCCATTTATGAGTCTTCAGCCTGGCTAATGATCGTTTGTAGAGGAGAGGAACAACCGATTCCCGCGTGTAAAGCGATGCGAAGATGGCAGCTACTGCTGTTGGGAAGACGATCCTGGATGTTGCGCCGGTAAACGAGGTGTCTTCCTTGATTCAAAGGCAACATTGAGGATGACGCGGCTTCTTCAATTGTGTCTTTGATCGAGACCACCTCTTCAACTGAGACAACACCAACTACGATCATTGCTACCTCCACAACGACCTCCTCCGACCCGAGCCCTACGTCAGGCGATACGGAAGAAACGAATGCTGGGACGATCGACAATAGTCAGGCCATGAAGATCGGACTTGGTGTTGGTGTCCCGGCCGCTGCCATAATCGCAGGCCTATCTGTCTGGCTCTTCCTTCGCAATAGGACAGTCAAGCGTCAAGACCAGAGCACCGCTACCTCGCATCCCCCGATAAACCATTACCCACAACCGGGGGTGCCAGACCTTTCCCAGGCGCACTTATACCAGCAACAATATCCTCAGGCATATGGGCACTATCCTGAAGTTGGCGACCAAAGAAGAACAAAGTCCCCTGTAACCATACAAGAGCTCCAAGGCTGATATCGGTGACTTGCTTGTGTCATGTTTAGTAAATATTACGATAGTTACCCAAGCCTTCGGCGGTTTAAGAAATAGTTCCGCAAGTATCAAGCGATGTTGGAGACTTTTTATGTTCCGTTTTGTAAGATCGCAGGGGTTCACGCCGTCCACAGAAAATTGACGCACCGATGGGAGATAAGAAACGACAAATGGAAAACTTTTACGCCTAAGGGCTCAGTCTAACTCACAACCCGAACCCAGTTTTCACTCCTTGTGCGCCGCCTTTCTCAGTACCATCCTCCAAATCACCTTGTTCTGCAGCTAATTCCAAGCCCGCTCAAAACCAATTGTTCCAAAGAGAGGACCCATTATGTTTCAAAATGTTGTCCATGTTCTCTTTCAGTTCGCAGGTCTGAGTCTTGATATCCCGGGCCTTTTTCGCCTCATCAAGTTCCTCTTGTTTCTGGGCAACATCCTTTTCAGCTTGCTTCAGCTTTTCGACGATCTCCTCATAATGTTCGTGGATGATCTTTCTGCCTACCTCAGACCCGTTGGCGAAGCTCTGATCCATCAGCGTTTTGCTGTATCGACTCAGTTGGGCAGAGAGGTCTTCTTGGCTATCACCTCGGTCCAAGGGCTCGAGGTTCAAATGGCGAGTGGGCTCCGATTTAATCTCAACAGCAGCATCGAGGCGAGTGAGTGCTTCAGCCAAAGTATCCTGCTCGATTCGAAGCCGGCTCAGCGTGGCCTGAGCATTTGTTAGTGCATCGCCGGCGCGGTCTACGGCAATAGCCGCAAGATGTCTATCTGATTCGAGGGACTCAGCCGTCCGTTTTCGAACCGATTCCACTAGCATTCCTTGTTCCTGCTTTTGGAACATCTTCTTGACTTCCTGTAGGGGATAATCGCCTTCGTAAGAATTAGACTCCTTGATCTTTCGGATGAAGAATCTGCGCTCAGCATACGGGTTGAGCGATTGGGGGCAGTGTCTGTTTGTCAGGGCGTGTCGCAGACAGGAGAGGACGTGAATTCCACAGCTGATTTTATCCCGCTGTGGAGTGCAGGGCTATAGATAGAGGTCAGCATTAGTCTTCATGGCCGGAGGATCAACTGACGGCGACATTGTTGAACCGCAGCTCAAACTTGTGTCCGGCGGTCTCATTCCATTTCTGGAAGCCGTCGCAAACGGAATTGAAACGCTCTTCGCTAGGGGTTGAGTCGTGGTGATTGAGTATCATGGATTTCTCATCATGATCAATGTCGACAATAGCCAAGGTCCAGTGCTTAGGCTTGAGGTGATGGATAGGGAAGCAAAGGATGGTATACCCGTCGAGCTTGACGTTGTAGCAAGCAGTTGTGCCGTCAACTTTGAACCAGAGAGGGTCGAGGACCTTGACCTTTCCCTGTTCCAATGGTAGCCAGGAAACGAGAGCTTTTGTAAGGAATTGAAGCGTTCCATCCATGAGTTTCATATTGCTGGTGAGCTGCTTATAAATGGTGGTGGCTTGGTTAACCACCTCCTCTTCTCCCTTAGAAGTTTCGGCACGCTTCGAATATCGCTGTGGGGTTGTTGTAATGGATTCTTTCTCTCTTTTGCGCTTAGATGAAGTGGCAGCTTGTGTTTGGGTGAAATGACGAGAAGTGTTCATTTGTGTGGGCAGAGGTAGAGAGCCGGCATTCGAAACAGCAGGTTTCTGGTCTTGGGGACCCTGGTAAGTGTAAACGGAGATCGGAATGGTCTTCTTGTCGCTGTTGCCCACGACCTTGACTGGCGATTTGGCTGGTGATTTGACTGGTGATTTGACTGGCGACTTGACTGGCGATCCGGGGCAGCCTCCCAAGATGACGCTTGGGCTTCGTGTGACCATGAGGACGGACTCAATATCCCCATCATCGCTGCTGTCGCTTTCAATGTCGTCACTTCCGCCGTACATACAGGCACCAGGCTCAGTCTCTCGGGACTCCACAATGATTACCTCTGATGGGCCGCCAGCCTCTTGAGCACTTTGAGAATGTACGATCGCTTTGAGACTACTGAGAGCAGCTTTCGCGACCTCGCTAGTCAGTCGGAGAGAATCTCTAGGATGCTGGCGAACACCGATCCAAAGGACATTGTAGGGTGGCACCTGACTCCACAGGGATGTCAGCGCGATGCCGTTTTCTTGGGCCAACTTGGTGATCTTGATCAGGGAGTCGAGTGCACCAGCACTGAGTTCGTTCTGCTTGGGGGGGTTTTGATGCGCGCTGCGGACGTCGTCGAGGAGCCAAGACTTGCCGCCCCATTGTTGGTCAAGCCATCTCTCTTGGTCGACTCTGGAGAGCTTGCTAGGTGAACCGGGCATCGTGAAATTACCTGCGCTCATGATGTTAATGTTGGGACGAAGTCAATAATTATGATGGATTGTGGTAGAAGTGAGAGGAGGATTTGTTAAAGGGGGCCAAATCGTTTGCCGAATTTGTGATGGAGCGAGGGTCAAGAGAGCGTGATGAGCAGAGAAGTGAGCAGGAAAATAAAGGGGTGAGTGGAGCAGTATCCTAAGTTTAGGTAAAGCTGAATCCAGAAAGGGGAAATTGAGGCTGCATTTGAAAAAGTGAGAAGAGGTTAGGGCAAAGAGAGAGGAGATGAGCCTAAACTTGTGATAACTTTAGGGTTGATGTACCTCGAGAATTGGAGAAGACAAGAAAAAGTATTGACGGGCTTTGAATGAGCAAAGGGCTTGAGAAATACTCTCTGCGTACAGGATTCCCGTGCCTTCGAAGTCCGATCGATTGCTTCGGTCGCGTCCAAGGTAATGTGCAGGCAGTGATGTAGTGTTGAAGTAAGCGGTTGGGCATTCAGGGAGCGTGGTAGATACCAAGATTCACTGAGGGGGATGATTCCAAGTTCTGCACTGTGAATATCTGTGAAGTTGAAGGTCAAAGAGGGGGTCGAGGGGCAAGAAGTGACGTTGACAGGTCTTATGCGTGAGGCGATTATGCGACTGGATCGACTGACGTGCTGATCTGGACTAGAAGGATGAAGAGTGAGGTAGGCCGAATTGAACCTAGGTATCATATCAGTAAGAATTCAACATTTGTTGTGGACGAGAGAGCGACAGCAATAAACCTGATGTTCGAAGCCTGACGGTTGAAGGCTCAAGAGTAGAGGTAAAAGTGAAGCTTGATGGTTGAGAGAGGAAGCAAGGGGCAGCTCTCAGTGAATCACACAATGCTGTTGAAGAAGTAGTGACATTGAGTCACTATGCAAGGTCTTGTCCTTGTGGTCGACCATGTGAGAGGCTGCCTGGGCTGTTGCATCAACAAATCTCGGACGTCCTAGTACTGTCCTTTGGAACCTCTCGTGATATCCGTTCACCCACGATTTCCACTCGGAAACCGCCAGTAAAAGTGATACTTGGAGACAACATCTTTAAGCGATTGTGTCCACTTCGTTTGGCCATGGGCGGGACCCCGACTTCGAGCTGAACACCCCTTCATAGTCTATAGCGCTGAAGACATAACAAGAGGGCTCCGTTGTCGCCGCATTCGACGTCTTGACTCATTCTTCCATTTCGTATCGACACCATATGGTGGTCAGTTCGCGAGTCATTCGGATCATCCCGGTGATTGTCTCATACGAATCCGCTTCTGAGACGCGAGATTGAGAAGGAGATTCGCGATCCGAGGTCCCGTCGCGTTTGTTTGAAACGCGGACCCGGCGATGACGGATCATGCGCAGCCATTATGAAATCTCTGCTGATTCTTGTAACATTTCTATCTTCGCTTGAAGATGAAGAGAGTAATATGTTGCGACCGATCGGGGACGTTGTCTGCTCTGTAGAGGCGAAGTGGCAGAATGACGACTTTCGTCAGGTCAACAGTGGATAAGTCTCCGGGCATGGCACGGACCACCATTGCTGCAGGGTAGCTGGACTCGCGGCCAGAAGAAAAGATTGATAGTAAACAAGGTAATCGTCCCCAATATCGGTAAGAATATTTAATAAAAACTAATAGGTAGGATTTTTTTGTTGTATTTTGAGATTTTAGCAATACTAAGTGAAGTGGAGTGCAAATTGGAGACATTGAAGGATAATGTACGAAGCCGCCGACCACATTTGAAGACGATATTGGACATGCATTTCCTGAGTGGTCATTACTTTTTCGCAATTCTTGATGAGAAGGGCACTCAACACAGATATCAGTTAAGTATTATCGATAGTAGTCACTAAACTTATCATCTTTATCATTTTTATGATCTTAATGAGCCTTTATGCTTCATGGCGTTCGCTTTGTCCTTGTAAATCGCTGAACTCAACCCAGCAGCCATTCGGTACGCGAACTTGACCCTGAACGAGACGAGACATTGATTGGCTGACGAAGACGCGTCCTGACACTCCTCAACTTCCAACATCCAACATGAGACGAAGTTGCAAGGGACGGGGAGATTCAAGCTGTAGCTACACTGCATCGCTGTCGCTTTTGTCACTATCATTATGCGCACGATTGCGCAATTGACCCAGTTGCTCCCTCAAAACCTTCACAGCCTCCCCCTCAAGCAAAACACCATTTTCAAGCGATCGCCCTTGATGAATCATGTTTCTTTGTGTTGGCCAGAAGAACGATGTGCCCAGATACGCTAGACTATCGTCTGCGATGATCGCGTTATAGTGCGGTCGCGGTTCCCACCAGCTGACATCTTCCACCGACAGCCGCTTGCCATAGCGTCGCGTCGCTTGCGCAAGAATTCTCGATGAGACCGCGTCTATTTCACGGACCTGTATCGCTACCGTCACGCCGTTGGCTGCCCGTCTCACCAAGAGTTTCGCGATTTTCGGGTCAACGAGTTCTGAGACACTGACGACAAGATCGCGACGAGCACCGCGAAGTAATGTATGTTGCGCGCGACTGATATAGGTCAAGCTCGCGATGGGATCGTTGATTATGACGCCCAGACTGGCGAGTTGTGAGCCCAGATGCGCGCGACGCTCATTGCTTACGCCACCGAGGATGGCTTCTTGCATGTAGATCTGAAAGGCTTTGGCTGCCGTGGGCGGAAGCTCGATGGAAAAGTCGGCCTTATCAATTAGTTTGGTATCGACAATGGCACCAGTGCTGAAGAGCGTCCTGTCGTCGATGACTATTGCTTTAGCGTGCACGACTTGACGCGTTGGACCATCAACGCCAGTAAACATGTCAATGTGAATTCCATTGCGCGTAAGCAGCTTAACATACTCCCTGCACGCTGGCGTATCCTGATAAATCGTGGGTCCCAATTTCGATATCACGACAGACATGATTGCATCGGAATTGTGCTTTCGAAAGTCAACCAACGCGTCGACTACAATCTTGGCATCGCCTTGATCGCACATTGAGAGATTCAATATTGTCAATCGCCGTTGCTGAGGGGCCTTTGAACAAGGGACTGTGCACTCTCGTATGAACTTCTCGAAGACGACAAGATGGTCCAAACCGTTGGTGAGAAGTGGTACTGGACCTCGTTGTAGCGTACCAAACATGGCATCGCGATCGCTTGTGGTCAATCTCATCGCTTTGATGGCCTTGACACTGGTAGCCCGACATCGAAGCTTATCCTCGCAGTAAAGAAAAGCGTCGATGTCGAAGCAACCCCCAAAGTCGGGACAATTGACCCTTACATATGACGGCGCGATCTCATGGGGCTCAATAGCGAATTTGATGAGACACAATCCGTCTAGAGTGTGCTTGGCTACCAGTTGGCCATCTTTCTTCACCTCGATCTGGAACAGACCGTAAAGCTCACGGCCTCGTAACCGAGCTTCGAAAGTTGCCCCAGGAAGTAATGGGTTGTGAATTCTCTGCCGAGATGCGATTGGGATCATACGTACAATGCCATGCTTAATCGGGCCTAATGTATGTTTTCCTCGAGCCTGGAAAGATTGCCCGAAGATTGTCTGGTTCTTCAATGACTTTCCGAATCCGGCCTTTTTCGGCCCATCGCTTGAGATGAAGGACACGCCTGGGTGGTTTGGTAAAGTCAAGGGGATCGGGAATGGCCTCAAGATAATCGACTTGCCATGGCTCGCCGTCCAAGATGGCGGCACGTCCAGCAAAACACTCGATGCGAATGTCCAGGTGTAACGCATATTGATCTCGTAGGATGAGCTGTTGGTGAGAGTTCACACCAACCAGGTCATATATATGACCGTTATGCTCAATGGGTGTCGGTGCTCTGGCTCGCTCGCTACGAGACCTTGCATATACTGGTGACAATGGATCTAGGGAGCCAGGCTGCCATTTAGAAAGAGGATTATCATAACAAAAGTGCCTATCATTATTTGGTAGGATTGGCTTGATGACGTTGTTGTATCTCATAGTAGCTGGTGTTATTTGCAGTTGAGACTTGTGGCTGAGAGCTTAACTCAGCAGACAGAACTTAGTGATGTAAAGAGACTCGAAGTGGTGTCCAAGCTCAATCCAAGATGAGCAATGAGTTAAGTAAAGTGTTTGCTCGCGTGAGCATCAATCGACTTTCGACCTTTGACTCTCGACGACGCCCAAAGTGCGGCCCGAGATCAACATCGGGAGCTAGAAACTGGGCTAGCTGGGCTACACAGAAGATCGTATATGTCATTGTCTTCGCTTCTCGTCCCTCGTTGGTCAGACGAATCCCGAAGAGGCTTGAGCTGAACGAGCTGGACCATTGGAAAACCCTCTTTGGTGTTTCCATCAATTCGCTCTGCGTTAGCGGGTCTGAGCAATATTGACGTAAGAATTTTCGATATTGGACGGCATTCAAGACAAGATCTGCGGTACTCCACAAGATGGCGCTTGGAGCTACCGCCTCGAGCTGGGAAGTGCCGTGTCCCAGTGTCGATCACTTAACGCCAATTGCGGAGGACGACATATATTTGGGGCATAAGACGGCAGGATCGGAGGGGTTCAGCCAGCCTCTTTGCTTGCAGATCACAAGGGAGATGAGGTGGGTAAGACATGTATGCAATGTATTGGGAAGAGGTATCACAACTGCCTCATAGTACGAGGCCATCTCTTCAAGATCCTCTGTCAGTGCTACAGGTTTCTCCAGAGCAGGGCTGAAGAAGCAATGAGAGTATTCCAGCACCCAACGCGCGGCTAAGATTGTGAGGCGATTTAAGAAACTGGTTTGCTCTGAAGCCAAGACTCTGGCAACCGATTACTCACAGTTACCGTCCAGCAATTCTAGCAAGGTGTCTCTATTGGGCCAGTCGGTGACTGTAATCCATTCCCGAAATGAGAGCTGTTCTGTGAAGTTCGTGTCCCAGTCGATTGGGGATTTTCCTCTCAGAGCCGAACATCCTGAAATAACCTTTCGTAGATCTTGATTGATTGAATTGTTCGCTGGAATCCATGGAATGACATGGCGAGTCTTCCAATCTCGAAAACAAACCGTGAAGATGGTATGGGTTAAGAAAAATTGACAGGGAGACAAGGCAAATAGGTCAGGCACAACCGGGCTATCGTTTCTCCAATGCTTGTGTGGAATTAAGGGTATTGTGGGATCCATTGTAAAGACTCTCTTGTCGAAGAACATTTCCCAATGCTGCGACAGAAGAATGGACTGACCAACAAAGGCTCTCTTGGCTGAGTTGTTCAGAGCAGTTGCATCATTCATGATTATCCACTCCAAGTAATCAATATGGCCAGGAGACACTGCAAGACACATATTGTTATAGAGTAGTCTCCATTTGTTGTTGCCGATAGCTGGCGCTCCACGAGTCCTGAGGTACATATCTGTACCCCCGAGAAAGTTGGAAAAAGACGAGTCCCACTTTGCTTGACTATCATCTAGCCACCCATCATTAGTCCAAGAACCAACATACTCCAGGAAAGAATAGGGTGCCTTGTCAAGTCTGTTTTTGAGCCGCATGAGTGCTATTGACTTGCAGGTAGACGTTTTACTCCACCCTGTTTCCGCTTTCCCCAAAAGCCGCAAGGTAGCAAAGCAAAGATGAGAGACAATATTAATAGTGTTCGTACCATGGAGCGCATCTTCCATTTGGCGAGCAAGTTCCGAGTGTTCCGTATCATTTCGGAAAATGTCGGGAACCGATCGGTGAACAAACTCAAGGACCTCCCGACCGTCGTATCGTGAGCTCTTATGGCCTTCTATCAGACCGCCACAAGCACCGCGAAGCTGCGCCTGGAGTATTTCCTCGTCTGGGACGGTCTCAAGAATGAGCCTGTCCCGTGACGAGAAATCTTGGTCTTCATCATATTTATCTAGGAGGGTAATGGTGAGTAATGGTAGCTCTAGTCTATTCGATTTGGCAGTTTGAAGAGCATTGATAATCCGGAGAGTCTTCTTCGCATCACCTGGCTCAAGTTGCTGAAGGATGTGATGGAAAAGTGATTCGAGGCCTCTAGGCAAAGTGTTAAGGTGTTGCCTCAACATGTCGCTAGTGGCCTTATGTGTCATTTTGTTCCGTATTGTTTTGGCAACAAGATAGGTCCAGAGAAAGATCCCTGAGGACCTTTCCGGGATTTCAGTAGCGAGATGGAGTTTGAGGTTTTCATCCCTGAGGCTGCTCAGACGGCTGCGGACATAATTTTGCGTGTCGGATCTGGTCAAGTCCTGGAGCCGAAAATTGGGGTCATTGTCATACTCATCCATGAACACGCCTTCTTCTCTACTTGAGAGACAGAGCTTTAGGTTTCCATTGGCATGAATCGTCCATTGTCGAAGGATATTGACTAAATCAATATAGTCCATTCCATCTTGAATGCCAGGCTCAAACTCATCGAGGCCATCAATGAAGATACAGAATATGTGCTGCTGGTATAGTTTCTCGTTCTTAAAAAGTCTTTCCAGAGCACCTTTCACAACAGACGATGGGATTTGTTGACGGTTCTCAAACTTCCAGGAAGCATGTTTTGCTTGACTCCTCCACTGGCCAGGGAAGGCTTCAAATATGAGATCAGGCCGCTCTCGTAACATGTCGTGGAGTATTGAGCGACAAAGTCCGTCTAATGACTTCTGTGCCTTTGAGCCATTCCGCCAAAAGAAGAATGAAGTGAATGCAAGCTTCTTTGCACCTTTTAAATAAGTCAGCTGAATGTGTTTTGCATAATATGATAATCATTTACCAACCCATTTAGTTAGTTTGTCTTCTGTCTTGTGATGAGAACATATAAACTTCATTAGTGTTGATTTTCCAGACCCCAACTTTCCAGAGATATGGAAGATTGGCGCTAATGAGTCTTGCGATAGAAGCCACCCTGTGAATATTTCCTTTGACTTTAATTGTATCTGTGGAACGCTCTGGCGTTAGCTTAGCTTACAGATGTGATATTGCTACTAGTACCTCGAGCGCCTTTTTTCGTTCTCTCACATCCCAAGACAAGTCATCACTTTCCTCAATAACCTCAGTCGGCTTATATATCCATTTGAACGTATCTTCATGAGCAGTGTGAACTGCGTCGAATCTCTGACGCATCTCGTCGAACTTCAGGCTTTCTAGAATGTGATCTTAATATATTGCTCGACGGGCCTCCTCGTCGACCATCAGTAGCTGCTGAAAGTGACTGCTAGCCCGTGTACTGGGGATCGAATCATGCGTGGAGAGTTGCGATTGGCGCAGATGCTCTATGGCGTGGGTTAAACTCTTCAATATAGCTTCATTGCCTTTAGTAAGTGAGATTAGTTCACTGAAGCCATCAACTGCCTCAGCTCTAGGAGTAAATCAGTTACAGTATCTCTCATGACTAGAGAATTAGCCTTACCTTGAGAATTCAACTAGTGCGAGAATAAGCTGATGACGATAGTCTTTCAGTTGGCTCTCCAGGCCTTCGATGCCTTTAGCCTTGGCATTTGCCTTGAGGGCATGTCGTACCGATTTGAAGGGGTTAGACGAGATTTGCTTTGGTTTGACTTCGTTCAGAGTTTTGATTAATTTCGCTGAAGTCGCTTTGCACCTTTTGGCAAGATCCGAAAGTGACTCTTGTTCGGGAGTCAAACGGCCGTTGCCTGCCACTTCAAGCCTCAGAGCTGCTTTTGCTGACTTCGATGATGACGCATTCGCGGTGTTTGTTTTCGTCTAGGACACCATCAAGAGATTTGTGTATGCTGTGTGCTATTTTTACGAGCTTTAGACCTGCTTCAACAAAGGTCAGGATCCCAGACGCCAACCCGATTGCTGAGACAGGATCCATGGTGGCAGAAATGTGTATTCAGAGGAAAGTTCTAGGACCTGACAATAGACGGATCGGCGACTTCGCAAAGATAAAGCTCTGCGCATTTTGTCATCCCAAGCACAGCCTTAGAGTCAGCCTGGAATGATCGGGAGGGGAAATTGTAAAATCATGGTCTTGTTGGTGGCCTCACATCACAGCCTGATTATGCAAAACCATCCAATAGCCTGTGCTCCTGCATTGTGGCCTCAGGTACTAATATTCCTAATTGTCACTCCGTCCTCTGGTTTGCCAATTTTCGGCACAATATTCTGGCTTGTTTTAACACAGGGAATGGCTGTCTTCACCACCCGACGAGGGCACATTTACCAATCTGAAACGCAATTATCGATCTGCGGCATCGCAATAAGCCAATTGTTCAATCATACAGGGGAAAACATTATTCCGGGCTTTCTCATATGATTGTTTAATGGCGTGATCGCGATTGGCCCTATCGCCATCACTTGAAGCTCTCACGCCATACCCCATGCACATGGGAACAGAGCTCTTATCACCTATCACAAGCCCAAAATTTCCAAAGCATACTGAGATTATAATCTAGATAGGAAAAAGAGATTAGATCCCGGAATTTGGAAGATATCCGGTCTAGTGGAACTCGTTTGACTAATAAGATCCCCCGCTGACCTCCACGATTCATTAGATGGATGTCCGGCAGTTATCTAGCGATTGATAGACCATTGCATCATCAAAGCTATACAAACGACATGGATTCGTGCCTGCCGATCGCCAGACATAAAGCTATCCCACGGACCCCCAAGCTCAAAATGCCGAGACATCAACCCGAGCTGCCGGATCTTTCACAGCCCCAAGACTCTTTGCCAAAATGTCGCTTCACGTTCGAGCAGACGCAAGCGAGAATGGCATTGAGCCTCCGCTTTCTCAAGCCGTCGGCTATGTCGTCGTTATCGCGATTGGATTCCTTATCGCGTTTATCATGATGTTTTTGACGCATATCTTGAAGAAGACTGTTGGTGAAGATAACAGGACGACAGAGATGTTCATGACAGCCAATCGAAGTGTTGGCACCGGTTTGACTTCGTCTGCTGTTATTTCATCGTGGCTTTGGAGTACTGCTATGCTTGGAAGTACTCTTGTTGGATACAACTTTGGTGTTGCTGGGCCGTTCTGGTTTGCAGCTGGGTATGTACCCTTCCCCCGCGATCATTCTCGGAAGTTGCTGACCTGTATTAGATGCTCGCCCATGATCGTCTTCTTCGCTCTACTTGGCATCTCTTGTAAACTCAGAGTACCCGAAGCGCATACACTGCTCGAGATTGTCCGTATACGATATGGAACTTCGGGTCATATTGTTTGGATTGGTCTTTGCCTCATCAACAACATCATCGCTATCGCAAACATGTTGTTGGGTGCAAGTGCTGCTATATCCGCGCTGTAAGTTACTTCTCCTGGAGCTACGTGATAACGCACTAAAAAGATCAGATCCGGCATTCATATCATCGCCGCTACCTTCTTGTTACCCGTTGGCGTGGTGCTATATACCTTCGTCGGCGGCATCAAAGCGACCTTCCTGACTGATTACTTCCATACCTTTGTCATTACGATCATCATATGTTTCTTCACCATCAAGGCATTCCTTGTCCCCGAGATTGGATCACCTGGCGGTCTCTATGATCTGATCGTTCAGGTTGGAAAAGACCATCCCGTTGCTGGTAACCATGATGGATCTTTCTTGACAATGACTAGCAAAGACGTGAGTTAGCTGCTTGACTATCACCAAGTCCTTGCTGACAATATGCAGGCTATATACTTTGGTATCATCCACGTTCTGGCCAACTTTGGTTTGGTCATCATGGACACTGGCTTCTTCGCCAAAGCCTTCAGTGCTGCACCTCAGGCTGTTGTCCCAGGGTACATCATTGGCGGCATCGCCTATTTTGCCATCCCCTGGTGTCTCGGCACCTTGATGAGTTTTTCTGCTCTCGCCCTTGAGGATACCCCACGATTCCCTACATACCCTCGTCGCATGTCTTCAGTGGAGATCTCGAACGGTCTCGTGCTGCCCTATGCCGCGATCGCAATCGCCGGCAAAGGCGGTGCTGCTGCCGTTTTGTTGATCACCTTCATGGCGGTCACTTCAACCATCAGTGCCCAAGTCATCTCCGTGTCATCTATCATCAGCTTCGACATCTATCGCCAGTACTTCAACCGTGGTGCAACTGATCGTGACGCCATTCGGTGGAGCCATATCGGCGTCGTCTTCTTCGGCCTGTTCTCTGCTGCCTTCTCGACTGCTCTATACTACGGCAAAGTAGATCTCGGATGGACTCTCTACATGCTGGGTGTTTTGACATGCCCTGGCATCTTCCCAACCGTCTTCACGATCTTGTGGAGAAAACAGTCAAAGATTGCTGCTATCGTCTCACCTCTGCTAGGCATGGCGACTGGCATCGCTGTTTGGCTTGGCTCAGCGTCGTCACTGTACGGTGAAGTCACAGTTGCATCCACTGGAAAGTCTCTCCCATGCGTTTACGGAACTGTCGCTTCGGCTTTGAGCCCAGCTCTTTACTCAGTCGTGATCTCGCTCATCAAGCCTGCCAACTACCAATGGGCTGATTTCAGAAACGAGCGTCTTGCGTTCGACCAGGTTGGTTCAACGAAGGAAGAGGTGAGAACGCACGAAGAAAAGGTGACGAGCTACACCGCCGATAAGGCCAAGCTCAAGCATTGGGGGACTCTTGCGGCGATTTGGTCTGCGGTTACATTCTTGGGGCATTGGGTTCTTTGGTAAGATACCCCTTATCTCTCTATAATAACGTTGACTAACATACAAAACCCTAGGCCACTTCCGATGTACGCAGCCAAGTACGTCTTCGGAAAGACATTCTTCGTCGCTTGGATTGTAATTGCCATCATTTGGGTATGGGGGACCATGTTCGTCGCAGGCTTCTACCCCATCATTGATGGTTGGCCTCAATTGAAGACAGTTTATCGGGGCTTGAGGGGCCATGGCCCAGTTGAAGGTGAACCCGAAGAAGTCCAGAATGCCCAAAGTGATTCCTCCATTACGGAGAGGGATGAGAAGGGGAACCAAGGGGTCCTGGCATGAGGGAAGTCTGACAGCGGACTATATACAAGAGTTATACATACTTTAGGTAATAGCCATATTGAGACTCGCTATAAAACATAATTCTACCTTTACTTTACCTGTAACTGAGATAGGAAAGCATTCGCGATAGAATTCATTGACAGCCCCGATCGGGCCTTGCTTCCCCGCTTGACCCCGCCAGAGCCGACAGAGGCCGCGCCCGATAGCGGCATTAATGAGACCTCTACCTAACTCCAACTTCATTTTGTCCGGCTTATCACCAGCGACTTCTTCCAATCTCACGTTACGGGTACCCTCAAAATAGCCCTTCAAGATGCCTTTCACGGTTCTCTCAGACGCCAATGTCAATCACATCCTCGACACGCTATCTTCATCCGACGTGACTGATCTTGCAAGCGCTCTCGAGCAGGCCCTCATTCGATATTCATGTAACAATGAACAGCAATACCAGCCTCACCGTGCAGTCGTCAATCGAGATGGCCAAGTCAGCTTGTTCATGCCCGGAACCACTGACCAATTGATTGGTGTAAAGATCGTCGGTATCACCCCAACCGAAAAGCTCAAGCCTTCTGAAGCAGGTCTCAAGAGTGTCTTGACTCTGTGCGACGCTAGAGGTAAAGCCATCGGAACGCTCAATGCAGCTGCTCTCACCGCGTTCCGAACTGCGCTGGGTTCGATGCTGCCGTATCGATTTAGGCGTAACACAGAGAATATTGTCGTGTTTGGTGCGGGGAAGCAAGCTCTGTGGCATATTCGCTTAGCACTTCTGTTGAAAGAGAAGGACATCAAGTCTGTGACCATTGTCAACCGTTCTGCGGAGAGGACACAGCAGTTGATAGACTCGCTCAGGTCAAATGCTGAGTCACCATGGCCATCGCATATCAGTCTTCAGGCCTTTGACCCCAAGGATGACCGCAACGCCGCTTTGGAGGCTCTGGTCGTAGATGCAGACGTCTTGTTCTTTACAACACCAAGCACGGAACCTCTGTTCCCAGCATCATACCTCACTTCCGAGAAGGCTCTGAGCAAGACCCGGTATCTTGCGGCGATCGGTTCTTACCGTCTTGACATGCAAGAGATCGATCCCGAGCTTCTGAAGCAAGTCATCAACCCGTCAGGGCCCTTTTCCTCTGTGGGGTATCGGGGGGGATCCGTTGCAGTCGACAGCCGAGAGGGCTGTCTGCAAGAGGCCGGAGAACTCGTCAAAGCTGAGATCCCTACGGATAAAATGCTAGAGATTGGCCAATTGTTCCAAACCAGAAACACTGAAAACCCGAATGACTTGACCAAGTGGCTTAAAACCGGATTTGTTATTTACAAGAGTGTTGGTACTGGGGTTATGGATCTCTCAATCGGTCAAGAGCTTCTTCGTTTGGCTAAGGTGAAGAATGTTGGCTTGACTGCTGAGGACTTTTGAAGTCTTTAAACTAGATAGATGCCAGATAGATTGCTTGACTAAACATTCATACTCGCTTTCTCGGAACCACGTCCTGATGATTCGGGTTATACTCAAACAAAGATCGTTTGGAAAGCGACTCGTCCTCTTTACTGGCCACGTAATTCCCAGCCGACATAAAGTCTTAATGCAATCACCAATACTGCTGCTTCTCACGAGCAGTGCACTAATTGAAGCTGCAGAATTAGGAATTTGAGCTTCGTGAGGCATAATTGGTTGAAAATGAACAAAGTTGAGTTGACTCTATATACTCTATGACTGGTGAAATACTCTATTTCTAAGGCGATTCAATATCTCCTTCCGTATGCCGCTTATAGTCCATCAATGTCAAGAAACAGTATTAAGTAGAAATTAGTAAGAAATGGTCTGGCAACGCCTCAAGATCTAGCCCTTCTTTGCCATAGCCAACGCTTGTGCGGCCCTTGCCGAATATTTACATCGCTGTCGAATAGCAGGGCCGTACTTGAAAAAGACGAAAGGCATCGGTAGACAGGCGAGTGATAGAAAGGCCGGAACACAACTGGCCCACTGGGTTCCCAGGTTGTCGTACATCTGCTTGGTGAAGAGAGGAAAGGCGGCGCCGAAAAGAGACCGTAGCACAGCATTGGATGCTAAAACTGATGCAGCATAGATGGTGTAGGAATCGATGAGGTAGCTGAAGATGCTATGGAAGACGAGTGACATGCCGAGACCAAAGGGGGCGCCAGCGGCTACTGGGGACATCCAATGAACTGAACGATACGATGTCCTATTGCTTATTAGTAGAGGAATACAATACACCAGAGCCTCAACTTACCATGCGAACCAGAACATGCCAACAGGGACACAGATACCGCCGAGCATGCATCCAGGGAGACGATACTCGGGGGGCACAGGCTCGTTGCCGAACCTTTTTGTGACCTTCATGTACCATATGTTGATGAGGCCAATCGTGGGAATGGCACTGATCATTCCGACAGCAACTCCAAGGAAGGCCAGTCCTCCCTTACCAGCAGACCAACCCCTCTCAAGCTGGAAGACAACAGGGTATGCGCCAAAGAGCATATAAAGAGTTCCGAAGAGAATAGCGACGTAGATTGAGAGAAGAAGGACGATGGGTTCGAAGCATAGAAGTTGCCAAGGACGAATGAGGGCCTTTTTGAGGACGACGGATGGTGGATCGGCTTTACCCTGGTGTTCGTAGATGGAGATGTAAACCTTGCCAGTTTTCTTGGACAAGAAGTCGGCGCGGTTCTGGAGAATGTAGGGTGCGTAGGTTTCAGGGCAACAGCACATATCAAGTACCCAGAAGAATCCGGCAACAATGGCCATCAATCCCATCACCTGGAGAACATGGTTAGTGCATGATGTTAAACACTAGGACATGCTTAGCTTACCCATCTCCAACCTTGACCGTCACTCAAGTAGCCACCGATGAAGGGGCCCAAGCTAGGTCCCAGTGCAGGTGCCAAAGAGAAGAATGCCATAGCAATGGCACGCTCGTCGGCGTTAAAGATATCAGAGATAACGCCTCCTGCATTGGTCAGAGGCGATGAGCCAAAGGTGCCGCAAAAGAAGCGAAGGACCAGAAGAGTTGCAACACCATTGTCGGCTGTACATGCTGCACTGAAGACAACATACAAACCATAGCTAATAATGAAGATAATTTGTCGACCGTAGATTTCACAGAGTGGTGCCCAGAGGAGAGGTCCGACTGCGAAACCCAGGACGTAGAATGAGACACCGGCCGTGACGAGTGTATGGCTTGCTTTGAAGTGGATCATGAGCGGCACAATAGTACCTGTCGTATGACATGTCAGCTACATCGATTGGCGAGGGCTATAATACTGACCTGTATAGGCACTTGAACTAAACGCGACAGCAAAACATGTTGCGGCTGAAACCATGGTGATGGTCCATTTCAACCACTTGGACCAATTGAGCGGGTTCCCTGTATCATCAGGGATCCAGCTAACAACGAACGGATCTTCAAAGGAGCCTGACCCAGGATAGTTATGGTTCTCGACAGCTTGATCAACTCTCGTTCTGTCAAAAAGAAGTTTCACCAGTGGTCTATGTCGCTGTTTGGACTCTGGTGTCTTTTGTCGTAGTGTTTCATCGTCGCTCACACAAGAGCTTGGCAAATCTGGTCTAGAAGACATGATGATGTTGTAAATCTGCAATGATTGCTCATACTATTCCTCAAAAGGACTTCCAAGACGGGAGGAAGAGCCCTTTATAATAATATGGGGAGATCGGGCTTCCATTTCGTCGGGAACGCCGGCGAGCGGGCCTCGAAGCCGGGGTGAGCAACAGGTGATTCCTGCTGTGACGACGGAGTCACAGGACGGATTTGGGCGTGGTGAGATACAGATTTGGGCAGAAGGGGGTCCAGCACCTTTCGATCTTGCGGGTATCAAGGAACGTAATTAGATCTTGATGATGAAGTCTGCATAATCTCTCCGGCAGGTCGGAAATCGCAGTCTGGCAGCGCCGACATTCTCGATAATTCTTGTCTGGATCCACCGAAACGTGGTTTTGACAGTTGCTAGACAAGGGTTGTGTTAATTAGAGATAAGAAGCTTGGGCTGTTGGAATCATGCTTAAAATGTCCGACGGAGTTTGTAGGGGAAATGGATACGAGAAAAGCCGACTGTGGATCGCATCAGTCCACTATTTGCCGTGCGTTCCCTACCAAAACTCCGGCCGAGGCTTGATCGTGCATGGAATTGGGGTTTCTCATGTGCTGGCAAGGCTGATCACATGTTGCTAGGCTGAAGAGTGATTGGCGATTATAAATATCGAGACGTGGTACTTCATGTGATTTTAATGAATTATTCTATTCCATGTCTTTGTTACAAATGCCAAGACTGGCTTCTTGAGGCCATAAATACGTGGCTAAAATTGACGTCATGAATCATCTTTCAATCTCATCAATTGGCATCGAGATCATTATGCTACAATTATCGTATCATGTATCGTGAGTTTAAAGTTTGTCGGCGTCTTGGTGTTTTCCGTCTTCAAGGTCTCGGCCGAAAGACGGACATTGGTCTTGATCATGTGACGAGGCCAGGCAGTCATTTCATCAGTGGCGACGATCTAGTCTGCGCAGCATTTGACGTCTCTATGATGCTTCAGTGTGACAAACAATTTTACGGGTCCCTTTGTGTATCGCCACAAAAGTAATTCCAAGCCCAAAACACCTTTGTAGGTAATTGTGCGCTGATCTGGGGCGCTGCTCATCAAGGTCCCCAACCAAAAGGTGTCCACTGAAGACGCCCGAATTGATAATCTCGAACTCAGTCACCAGCGTCGCAAAACTCCGAGTTTCATCTCACAAACAGATTCACGACTCACGGAAGATTACTATGGGACGCACAGAGCCATCTGTCGGCCGACCACCAGCGGCTTTTCGCAAAGATGCACGCTCCAAAAAGGCCAAAGCCACCATCAACAAGGTCATTCCCGGCCTCCTCACGGCATATCCCGGTGCTCAGAAAGGAATCAATTCAGCAGAGCTCATCCCTTTCATGAACACAACAGTCTTGCCTGAACCATATGGAAA